CCCGGGGATTTTCCCCGACGACTTACCGGAAGGACTGCCACCTCAGCGGGCGCACGACCATAGGATAGAGTTAGAGCCGGGGGTGTCAAAATAGTAGGTAATAGAGAATAGAAACATGGGGCCTAGGCTTAGAAGCCTAGGCCCTAACTTAGTGTCGAGCGGGTTTCTCCTAGGTTTCAAGAAACATATAGCATAGGAAACATAGTTGGTGCACCACCTACAAAGTACAATAACTACACTACAACTACAAGCAGTTATAAAATATGACAAACATATTTCGACACGCCCCCATAATGCTTGTAGGTAGAAAAGTAGTTACGCCCCCCTGAGGGGGTACACCATGCAAAATAATCACAAGCAACAGCAGGTAATGCAGGCGGGCTAACATTAAAGAGTTACCCCCTCCATCTCCTCACCCTCCTCCTTCCCCTCCCCCACACTGCTGCAGGAGGAGCAGAGAAGGGGGGAAGAGAGGAGAGGTGGAGGGATGGCTGCATGTTGCCTCACACCCGCCACCCCGGTACCACTCCCCCTGCTCCCCCACATCCTCACACCTTCTCCCCCCAGCGGCAGCTGCAGCGGTGGGACTGAAAGAAGGAGGAGGGGAAGGGAGAGAGGTGACGCCACACTCCAACACCCTCCACCCCCATACCCTCCTCCCCGCGGCTGCAGGGAGACAAAGGAGGAGGGGGGTGGGAAGGAAGAAAGCCGCAGAGCGGCGAAAAGGTGTCGGTGCAGTGGTGTCAGGGGCGGCTTCAGGGAGTGCAGGGGCGGAAAGGCCCGTCGCGTGCCAGTGCCACGGGGCGCACGACGGGTAAGATAAGAGCAAGGGCCCGATCGTGTGCCTCGGGGCGCACGACGAGCAGGGCACCATCGTGTGTCACGGGGCGCACGATGGGCAGGTTAAGGGCACCGTCGCGTGCCACGGGGCGCGCGACGGGCAGAAAAGGCGTCACACGCCAACCGGGGGCGGGACAAGGAAAAAATTCGTCACGCGCCCTAGGCGCGCGACCAGAAAATCGTAGCAGCGGAAACGTGAGGCCAGATCGAACGTCGCTCTGATAACATGTGAGAATCCCAACCACTAGACCATTGGGATAAAGGGCTTGTTAAGTAGCGGGTCAGTGCGCCCATAACCCCCCAGGCCAACGTGCCTGTAACCCTTCCCTAGGATCAATCGGGGATCACCAGTGGACCTCTGACACCCCCCCGCACTGGGATGCCCGAAGTGCATACACCGGGATTCGAACCCGAGACCTTCGCTCTGATACCATGTCAAAATAGTAGGTAATAGAGAATAGAAACATGGGGCCTAGGCTTAGAAGCCTAGGCCCTAACTTAGTGTCGAGCGGGTTTCTCCTAGGTTTCAAGAAACATATAGCATAGGAAACATAGTTGGTGCACCACCTACAAAGTACAATAACTACACTACAACTACAAGCAGTTATAAAATATGACAAACATATTTCGACAGGGGGCACAGCCAACTGTACAGCGCCAGTTCAGACTGACACAGCCGGAGCTCGACGAACTGAGGAAGCAGTTAGATTACCTGTTAGCGAAGCAGTTTATCCGACCGAGTTCGTCCCCGTTCGCCGCACCGATACTATTCACACCAAAAAAAGATGGAGGGTTTCGCATGTGCATCGATTACCGAGCGCTCAACAGGGTTACAGTGAAGTCACGATACCCCATTCCCCGCGCCGACGAACTGATCGACCAGCTGCGAACAGCACGGGTGTTCTCGAAGATAGATTTACGGGGAGGTTACCACCAGATTAGAGTCGAACCATCGGACTGCGCCAAGACAGCTTTTAGGACTAGGTACGGGTCGTTCGAGTATACCGTGATGCCTTTCGGGCTGACCAACGCACCTGCAACATTCCAGATGACCATGAACGAGGCGTTTAGACCACTTTTAGATAAGTGTGTGATAGTCTACCTCGACGACATTCTCGTCTACAGCCGCGATAAGCAGCAGCATTTAGCGGACCTGGAAGCAGTGTTTAAAATTTTAGAGGAGCATCGGTTATTGACCAAGGGGTCTAAGTGCGAGTTCTTTCAGGATAGGTTAGAATTTTTGGGGCACGTTATTTCGGAGGCAGGGGTTGCGATTGACCCGAAGAAGCTGGATACGGTCAAAGCTTGGCACCCCCCGACAAACATCACGGAGCTGCAGAGTTTTTTGGGTTTTGTTAATTACGTCCGTCGGTTCGTCCCCAACATGGCACGCTTAACTGCCCCACTGACGGATCTGCTGCGGAAGGGGGTCGTTTTTACGTGGGGGGAGAACGAGCATGCTGCCTTCTCTACCCTGAAAAATGTTCTCTGTTCTCCGCCTGTCGTGCGCATTGCCGACCCACACCGCCCATTCGAAGTCATTACTGACGCAAGCGACATCGCCATCGGAGCCGTACTGCTACAGGATTTCGGGAACGGCCTACAGCCCATCGCATACGAATCACGAAAGCTGCACCCACCTGAGAAGAATTACCCGATACACGATCGCGAAATGCTTGCGATCGTGCATGCGTTCAAAGTGTGGCGCTGTTACTTGACCGGCGCAGACGTGACAGTACGGACAGACCACCGATCACTACAGTATCTCCGCGCACAACCCCACCTCAACCCACGACAGATCCGCTGGCTCGACTTTCTAGAGTCGAATTTCCATTACACGGTCACCTACAAAAGGGGAGCTTCCAACATTGCCGGCGCACTGACCCGCCCCACTGCCCAAATCCACGCAATACTACTCGCCCAGACTAGCCCACTACTGACAGGACTATTTACCCACGGATATCAAACAGACCCATTCTTCACCGGAGGCAATTCGCAGCAGTTCGCAGCAGCACGAGGGGTCTATTACGTAAAAGCCGGGACCGACCGCATTTGGGTACCCGGGTATACACTACTACGGGAATTACTGTTACAGGAGGCACACGACGGAGTTACCTCGGGACATTTTGGGGTAGAAAAAACACAGCAGCAGCTGCAGCGGTATTATTACTGGCCAGAAATGTTGACCGACATCCAACGACACGTGGCGTCGTGTCCCACCTGCCAGGTCATGAAATCATCACGGAAGCGGCCGGCAGGACAGTTGCAGCCGATTCCACCCCCAGAGCGTGCTTGGCAGCAGGTGACGATGGATTTCGTCACGGGGTTACCGGCCGGGGCGAGTGGGAACGACGCGATCCTGGTCGTCGTCGATCGACTGACGAAAATGGCACATTTCGCAGCTTGCAAGAAATCAATCACAGCCAAAGAAACAGCCCGCCTCTTCATCGCCACCGTTGTTCGCCTCCACGGGATACCATCGGCAATTATCACCGACCGCGACACGAAATTCACCAGCAACTTCTGGCGGAACCTGTGGCAGCAGTTTGGCACGCGACTACTGTTCAGTTCTTCGTACCACCCCGAAACAGACGGACAGACAGAACGGACAAACCAGACCATGGAGCAGCTCATCCGGGCCACGTGCGACGACCCGAACACGTGGGAACAGCAACTGCCACTCATTGAATTCGCGTACAACAATTCGCCCTCCGCCACGACCCAACAGTCACCGTTTTACCTGAACTACGGACAGGACCCAACAGTACCCATGACCCCAAATCTCGACAATCCAGTCCCACGCGCACAACAGTTCGCCGAGATTTTGCAAGCAGCACGGACCAGGGCAACAGACGCAATTAAAAAAGCCAACATCATCGCTAAGCGCAATGCCGATCGCCACCGCCGACCTGTCACTTACCAGCCAGACGGCCTAGTACTACTCGATACTCAGAACCTCCGCTTGCCCATCACTCCAAAACTTCGCCCCCGATATTGTGGGCCATTTCGCATCAGCCACATGATCACACCCGTCACCGCCCACCTCCTCCTCCCTGCTGACTGGTACGTCAGCCCGTCATTCCACGTCAGCCTACTTCGCCCTTACATCCCATCCACGAGCCAACTGCCACGAAATCGCCCAGCCAGCATGACACGCCCCCCAACCGAACCAATCATCACCCCTGGAAAAATCCTCAGCCACCGAGTCCGCGACCCTCGGGGAGGCCGAAGGATCGAGTTCCTAATTCGCTGGAAGGACCGAACGCCCACAGAAGACAACTGGGTCCCCCTGGATAAAATCGAGAACCACCCTGTCTTCACCGAGTACCTGCGAAGCCGAAATTTCCGCGACGTCCATGCGCTCTCGTAAGAGGGGCCTCCTTGGGGAGGGGGGTAGTGTAAGGAAAATTCCTTTTCCTTACTTCGCATCCCCGCTCAACGCGTACATCACTATAGCACCTCAGTCAGCACCGTTACCACTCGCATCAATAATCCGCCCGCCATTTTTCGCATGTCGTACCCCGACCTCACGGCTCGGCGGTAACCCGCGCTCCGGACCTCCGCCTCGACACTTTTCCCAACCTCAGTCCCAGGCCCGTCGCGCGACAAACCACAGTCCATTACCGTTACCACTGTAGTTTCGCTATATAATCCTTCGCTCATGCCTTCGCTCATTGTACTCTTGCTTCGATAGTGCAATCTTCGTTCGCTCACTCGATTGCACCCGTAACACCTCTCAAGTATAGAACCCAGGCCTTATGCACTCCTACCAAAATTATAACCGTTGTGCTACGCGCTTACATCTTTTGAGCAGACAATATAATTTGATCAAGTCGGATTAATCATCTTCGGAAGCTCGGTCGAAATGCCTATACCCTGTACAGAGAAAAATACATTCGCCAAAAATATACACTGGTGTCTCAGAGTAGCTAAATGAGAGAAAACTAATCTTCCAAAAAAAAATTACTGACATGTCAGAGTGACCCCCTAAAAACCACTCTGATTTTCGGAGAAACAGAGTAAATTACTCTGATAAAAAAACCCCTGCAATGCACCAATAATTTGCTGCATTGAATTGAAGTCCTGCCAGCACGATTTTGCGGCGCCTAAAAAAGCAGCACAACAATGCACCAATAAATTGCTGCATTAGAATGAAAGTCCTACCAAAACCGTGAGACAGTAGATGCGTTGGAGCGGTAACCAGTTCTACCTACTCCAACACCATCCTCGTCACTGGACTCCTCCCCCTCAAACTCGTCAGATAGGGATGCCACAACCTGCACAGGGCCGGGCCGAGTGAGAGGAAGTGAGAGACACAGCAGATGCATTTGGGTGGTAACTACCAATTCTACCTACTCCTTCGCCATCCTCGTCACTGGACTCCTCCCCCTCAAACTCGTCAGAGAGGGATGCCACAACCTGCACTAGGAGGGGCGGAGAGAGCTCAGCACACAATGTGCTGCGTGAAGAGCGCAACAAGGGATCATTTCTCACTTCACGCGCTTGAGAGCGGCATGCGTGATCACAATGTGTGCAGGAAGCAACAGGGATCATATATAACTGTGATTACGAGGTGCCGGCGTAGCACAAAGAACAAAGAGCTATGGACAATAAGCAGTCTCGTGTGTGGCACAGCAGTTACGGAAGCTGCATCCCTCACCTTTGCTGTTCCGGCAAGTTTCCACACGTGCTGCTGCATTCTGTACCCCCGTCTCGTTGCGCTCTTCACACGACACGTTCTAGCAAAGAACCTCGCTCCCACTGCCGCCGCACGGCTGCCGCCGTTGCTGCTGCCGCTGCAACTGCCGCCACCGCCACCACCACCACCGCCACCACCACCACCACTCCTGCTTGCCAACTCACACCTGTCTGCTGCTACATCATGCCCGTCCACGGTCTCACTACCCACTTTACCCGCCCTTCCAGCTCCAGCAGAAGAACCACCAGCCATGCTGCTCCCGCAACAGGCTCCAGCTCCTTTTTCCTTTCCAGAAGCACCAACACCAACACCTACACCCGTACCCGCACTGATATTCCCTGGAGTGACAATTCCGCCCCTGCCCTTATTTTTTCCCCGGAAAAACTGAGCAGATGAGAGAGTGGCTGTGGCTAGCGATGGTGCAACCGAGGGGGAAGAGGGAGTAGTAGCGTGAGGAGAAGGTGTGGGGGCGGCATTGGGTGTCCACGCCACCATGCTGCACTCCCTACACAGTACCCGGTTGGACTGTAAGGAGGATAACGGTGTAGCTGGAAGAGGGGATATGGAAGGTGAGAGAAGGCAAAGAGAGGGAATCGACAACTAAGTGAAGGGAGACGCACGCAAGAGGAGGATGGAGGGGGAGAGTGTGATGCGGGAGCAAGAGACATGACACAAAATGGGTTAGTCATCCACGTTGTGGTGTGGTGTGGTGTGGTGTGGTGTGGTGCGGTGTGGTGTTGCTTGCTGGGACCCATGGTAGGATGTGGAATCAACATGTTTGCAAAATTCTGAAACCAAGCTTGAAAATCTTTCTGACACAACATAAGCTGAAAGCGACAGAGAAACGAACGTGAGACAAAACGAAGGAAAAGAAAAAAGTGAAATCATGTCGACTTGAAGCAACGAAAACTCACCCCTTGCACACTGAGAAACAAACTCCTGCCACAACGGCGTCTGCCCCTCCTGCACCTCTCCTCCAGCTCGGCCCTTCCCATCCCTGCTCTCCCGAGCCTCAGCAGCAGGCATGGAACCGAGGCAAGCAGCGAGGTGCGTCACCCAGTCAGGTTCGGCAGCAGCTGCAATCTCCCTCCAGTGGAAGCATACAGCAGAGGCTCGGGCAAGTGAGAGAGGGTCCAGGTGAGAGAAGAGGAGATGGAGGATGTCAGAGGGGAGAGGAGGGAGAGATGGGGGAGTAGAAGTGATGGAGCATGTTTGAGAGGTGGGGACCAGAGGGAGCATGCTGGAGCATTTTTCAAAGTTCAAGGGCTGGAAACCCTGTTTGGAGCTTCCATTGAAGTCATTTGCTTCTTGCTGTTGCTGCTCATCCCCCTCTTCTTCCTCCTCCTCCTCCTCCTCTTCCACTGCACTCTCGGATTTCTTCTCCGCCCGAGCGAGCATGACGCAGAGTCGCTTGTACTCGGCGGTAACCGCTTGCTTGCGCTGACGTGGCAGCGCCGCCTGACACGCCTGGATGAGCTGGCGTGCTGCTGACCTGTGCAGAGCGCCGTCCATGCTGGCAACAACGAAACACATGGGAGGCATGCATAAAGGGAGCTGTTCCCAATTATTATACGTCACTGTACCAGGAGTTGTTAGTAATGGCTTGTTGAGATGAGAATGCAAGTGAAGGTGCAATTTGTTTCCTCAAAGTTCTCAAAAACCAGCTCATATGTAACGTTACCAGGGGAGGTTGGCAATGGCTTTTTGAGCGAGGGAGTTGAGGTGCGATTGCACTGGTTTGAGAGAGAGGGAGTAGCAGAGGCGGAGCAGGTGAATTTTTTCTAGTTGACTAAAAACCCTCCATTCATACCAGGGGAGGTTGGCAATGGCTTGTTGAGCGAGAAAGTAGAGGTGGGATTGCACGTGCTTGGGAGAGAGGGAGTAGCAGAGGCGGAGCAGGAGAGAGAGCTCGCGGCATGCTTCAGAGTAGTCCCTCCTGTGGCCATGCATGCATGGGATGTGCATGCGTGCAGGCAAGCATGGCAGCATATGTGTCATGTGCAAAACAAATGGGGGACATATACGCACAGACACACACAGGGAAGGAATGCTCATGGCATGCCTCAGAATAATCACTTGTGGAAATGCATGTTTCATCACACACGTGGACGCATGCATGTAGGGATATGCACATGCATGCAATAATCTGCACATGAACAAAGACTGGGAAACGCTGCCACAAAAACGGACACACGCAGCAGAGGGAGGGCAAGACGGAGAACAAGCAGACACTTGTGAAGTCAGAAAGAAAGACGAAGAGCGATACCTTACAAGCATGAACTTCATCCTCACCGTTGATTCAAGCCACCCTCCAGATCAAGCGACACCAGACGCTCTTCCGAGAGAGCAAAAGGGTCTCCTATGGAGCTCTCCGCTCCTCCTCGCACTCCTCCTCTGGGCCTATTCTTGCCGTCTTTCCTCTTCCCTTGGCTCCTGGGCTGCTTGGAATGAGACATGGAACCCTCTAAAACGCCTCGAAGCGTTGGGCTTGTGTGCGCGTGTGTTTGGAGACGGAGGGGCGAGGGGGTGTGGTTGTGCAATTCTCACTCGTGCTCGTTCTGCTGCAAAAAATGCGCGGGAGCGGGAGGAGAGGGAGGCGGACGAAGGATATGTAACGAGGGAAAACTGCCAAGGGACATGTAACTTACATGTAACGAGGTGCTTCCTGCGGTGATTTTTGAGTGGACTCAGACAGGTTGAAGGAGACGGGTATAGGAGGTGAAGACATGCACGGAAGATCGAATTTTCACGATATCAAGGAGACAAAAGAGGGGAAAACAAGTGACGACGGGACGACTAAGCGAAACCGCGGGTTCGCATGCCTTTTTTATGGGAGAGGCGACGGTGGATAGATTGCCGTTGTTTCAAGAAAAACGAACGGCGGTTAGTAGAAGAGTACGAATCCCGCCTTACAAGTTACTCAGTTTGTCTATTAGCTCCGAATTCTACGCGTATGTGCCATGGTTGGGACGGTGATTCCTTTCACTCTTAGCTTGAATTCGAACCATCCGCTCCGAAAATCAGTTATTTTGTAACAGGATGAAGGGGAAGGCCTATCACGGAGGGCATTTTCTCTTGATGATGAATTAGGGTGGTTTGCGAATTTAAACTGCTGCATGAAAAGTTTCCGGAATGTCTAGGCTAGTTACATGCCACCAAAACACCCTTTTCACTTACCAGAGCACAACTGACACAACTGACAGCTCTTGCCAAAATGATGCTCCATCCAGCTGCCCGAACTTTTTTCTCACAGGGACGACGAAACTTTTCAGGGCTACTAAAGAAAAGTAATGTTTACCCCCTAAATTTAGAGATATCCATGACTATCTCTGTTGGGGTTCGTGCAGGCAAAGTACAAAGGCCCACCACCATTTGCTGCACGAGTACTTTTCTGATAAGTTCCACATACAGGCAAGCTGTTAGGTTCTACAGGCACAGGCTAGGATAATTTCTGGCACTAGAGGATTCTCCGCTTTTTACCGGTCCTCTTCACCTGCGGAAGCTTATGAGAATGACATCGCTATTATCATTTTTAGGTAGTTGATGTCCGAAAACGGTTTCTCGTGCTGTTTTACGTCCGTCCTGTCACTCTCTGTGGCATTCCTTCGGGTTTTGTAAGTGCTGAGCCCACGAAGTCTCGGATCTGAATATACCGCTGCACAAGATGCGTCTTCGGTTCGCCATGGTCTGCGCATCGAATCAGAACCGTAGCATGGAATCACATGCGATTCTTCAACGAGAAGGGTTCGATGTCAGCTCGTATGGTACCGGCAGTAACGTCAAGCTCCCTGGACCAAGTATACGAGAACCCAATGTCTATAAATTCGGCACGCCGTACAAATACATGTTTGAGGAGCTTCAAGGCAAAGACCCTGAGCTGTAAGTGAGACACTTCACTCAGTTCAAAATACATGGTACTCAAATCTTCGGCAAGCTTCTGCAGGTCTAGCGTTCACACATTGGTTATCAATTTACTTATTCGTTCATTTGCCGAGTGTGTAATATATGGTTTTCTCAGGTATAAAAGGAATGGCATCCTAAGAATGCTGAAACGGAATCTTGCGGTCAAGGAAGCTCCTCAAAAGTGGCAGGACAATGCCGCTGACGGTCCCTTCGATGTCGTCATTACATTTGAGGAGCGAGTTTTTGACATGGTCATTGAAGGTAACGAGTGTTCCGAATCCCTACGCGGACATGTCTCTTGTAGCTTTGATATTCAAGGGTTAAGGTCGCAAGTCACGCAAGTGGTTACATATTGTTATTTTAGTTTTGTCGTGGATGTTATGTCACCTGGACTCACGTCCGTTTCACCTTCATTCCCGAAAACATGCAGCTTGCTCGGTCCTTTTCTCCTTCGCCCTCTCCCCACCTTCTCGTCTGTGGCTCTTCTGCATGCCCTGTCACTTTTGCTTTGTCACTCATGGACTCTTGCAATTACCTGAGCGTCTTTCCTCCCTCACTCACGCAGCCATCACGCGCACACACGCACCCATGCACGCTCGCACACCCACATCCATCACACACGTCACGATTACACTCATGTAGACACACCCATACATGCATGCACAGATATGCTGACACACAGTCAGTCAATGACACGTCCACTCACTTAGTCTTTCATTTATCAGCAGCGTCAATATTCCTCTGCATTTTTAGTAGCCCTCATCCGTTTGCAGGGTCTTGAGAATACGTAGTATCAGCAGAAGTACCAACAGCTGGTGAATGCTGTTTTTGGAGAAAGTATAGTAATCTACTATAGCATGTGCATGTAAATCCTCTTCAGGGGGGGAAATGTCAAGATTTTCACCGGTATGAGTTAGCGGTGTTGTAACTGTTGATGTTCAATACATCAGATCTAATGATCGAGTATCGCTTCATTCCTGTGCTCATCTGGTGGTACTGTGTTGCAGACATGTTTGCTCGGGAGCGTACACTTCATCAAGCAGCACTGGTCATCAACCTTGAAGTTAGAGATACGCATGAAGAAGCAGCATCTGGAGCAGAAGCGGCTCTACGACTTTGTAGGATGGTGAGGCCAATCAGGGAGCGCATCTGTCACGTTGAGGAAACATGGACCCATGTTTCAAAACGACGGGTATATTTCCCAGCAGATTGTGTACATGTAATGCCCTTTTACAAGGTCTTAGTGCACATGCTTAAGAAGCAGAAGCATCCAGCATATGTGCATTTAACCAAGGATACTCGAGGAGATCCAGGGTCCTACGATTGCTTTTCCTTCTAACGTGGCCAGTGCTACTGTGTGCCCCCCTCATTTTCTTGCAGTTGGAAGACCTCACAAGTTGGGAGGATGAAGTTGAGGTGGTCATGAGAAGATTTAGAAAACAGTATAAGCAGGATCTAGTGTACAACATAGTGTTCTATTGATTCCTGCTAACGTCATTCTCGGTGGTGCAAGCCTCAGTTTCTCATGCAGTGAGGCAACCTTCGGGGTAACCTACGGTGGCGAACTTTGAAAACGCAGCCTCCGACTTCGATAAATGGCTTCGCCACACTACGGCGAAGGCACATTGGGAATTCGCTAAATGTCTCAGATTTCAGACTGCGATTTGGATCCAATGTCCTTCTAGCTACTGTTTGATGGATCTGAAGTGCATTTCTTGAAACCCTAGTTTGCTTCAATCGCGTGCCGCCACGTGGCAGTCTTGATGCTACTATTTTAGACATAAGTTGTCAGTTGAAACCGAGGGCGACTCGAAATAATCAAGAAATAAATTAAAATTTGTAGCCCAACACGCGCTGCGCGAAGTAAATAATCTTACAACGGCAACAGCATGGATGCTTCACAAGCTTCCGATCGTGATGCTGGAACCAAGTATCAAGGCGTACCTAAGGAAGAAAGAAGCTTGCCGAGTGGAGCCGGCGGGGCGACAGTCTTAACGCGCGTCGCTGACATAAATGATGCAGTGCCAACGAACACCGCAGTTCCCGGATCTGTACCATCTCGAGAAAATACGAACGTAGGAGCAACATCTTCGAGAGCTGCTGAATCAGATGTCGCGGAACGCCGTTTCGCGAGGGTAAACTCCGCCTCTCAAGACGTTCCTGCAGCTGCAACTTATTTCGCCGTGCCAGACGGCGCCGCTGCCGCGAGCCAAAGCAGATGGCCGCCGGTATCCTCGTCTCCGTCGACTTTTCCGTCACCTTATGCGTCGACGTTTTCACCAGCCAGGCTGTCGTCTCCGTCGCCATGGGCCGCTTCCGCCTCCCCGTGGCGCTCCCCCTCCCGCTGGCTTTCCCCTTCTCCGTGGAACTCCCCTTCCCCGTGGCCGTCCCCCTTGCGCCACGCGCAGTTCGCGGTTCCCGCGACGCGGAAGACTCCGCCGATCGGCGCGGATTATCAGGCGGATATTCCGGAACCGCTTTCTTCTCCCCACCGTCTGATGCCAGCTGAAGAAAGCTTCTGGAAGATCGCTCCGGAAGATGGGGCTGTCGGTGAGGTCGGGGTTTGCTGCGAAGAAGGAACGTGTGATGCTGAGCTGGCATGGGAAGCGAAGTGGCTCGGCACGCAGGTCTGGCCGGACCTAGCCCGGTCCAGGCGGGTCGGTAGAGGAGCAGGCAAAGGGAACCCGTACCTGAGGCTCGGAGGGACATTGGCTGCTTCGGCTGGAGGCAAGGTCAACTGGCACGTGCCTCAGGGTATGCTTGGCGCGGCGGATCATGATGGTGACAATAAAGGCGGTGACACTAACGAAGATGCTGGTATTATCGATGGCGAGTTAGTGTTGGAGGGAGGAGAGAGAGGTGATATCGTTGCTGCTCCGTTGGTATTATCAGCCACTGTTGCTGATGTTAGCGTGAATGATTCTCACGGTAATATCGATGGCGGCTCCGTTTCCGCTTTGAGCGATTGCGATGCGGCTTCTAACGTCGCAACGAACAGTGTCGCAGCTAGCAATCTCACGTCTCGTGACTCGACGTCGCCAGCAGCTGGAGCCTCGTCGCACGGCACCCAAGAAGTCGCAGGGACTGTCGCACAGAGCTGCAGCGGAATCGCCGGAACCGTCGCATCATCCATGGCAACCCAGGAGGCTGTCGCTCAACCTGTTGCTGCAGCCGCACAGCCCCCGCCTCTCGACGAATCACTACCCGCCACGTGGCAACAGCAGCAGGAGCAGCCGAATGCATTACCGGACCGCCACCACCACCACCACCGCCAAAACCACCACCACCGCCAAAACCACCACCACCACCCTGGCTCCCCCAAAGACCCCCCCTTCCCATCCCAGCGCCAGCCGTCCCGCACAATCCACCACCTCCCCCCTCGCGACCTCCTGCGCGTTCCGCCCGGCGCGTGCGCGGCGTGCGGGGCGGACAAGGCTGGGTCCGCGGACTGCGTGCGCGCGCACTGCCACGAGGCGGACGAGGACCTGGAGGCGGAGCTGGGGCCCGCCGCGTATCACGCCCTAGGGCTGGCGGAAATGGGGGAGAAGGTGGCGGAGGGGTGGAGCCCCGAGGAAATAGAGCTTTTCCTTACTATTGTCGAACTTTACCCGCAGAGTAAGGGTCTAGACTTCTGGGGACCCCTAAAACGCGCGTTTGCGTCTGCTGGAGGGGCGGAGGGGGAGGCTGGGGGGGAGGGCGCGGGGGACCAGGGGGGGATTCTAGCGGGGATGGGGATGTGCGCGGATGGGCGGCGGAGGAGGCGCGTGCGGAGTGTGAAGGAGCTGGTGAGCTTCTATTTCAATGTGTTTGTGCTGAGGAGGCGAGCCCTGCAGAATAGGATTCTGGGCATGGAGGCCGATTCTGATGATGATGAAACGGAATTGGTGGTGGAAGAGGAGGAGGAGGAGGAGGAGGAAGAGGAGGGGGAGGGGGAGGAGGGGGAGGATGGGAGAGTGCATGGAAAGGGTTTGATTCTGGGTCAGCAGATACAGGAGGGAGGAGGAGGGGAGGTGGGGGAAGGTGAGGGGGATGATGAGGAGGATGAGGAGGAGGAGGACGAAGAGGAAGAAGAAGAGGAGGGGGATGAAGAGGAAGAGATGAGAGGGGGGTTTGTGGAGTATGGAGTGAGAGTCCAGGGTTTGGGTGCGGTTGGGAGTGGTGCTGCGGTGGAAGTGGTGGTGGAAGAGGAGGAAGAGGAGGAAGTCGAGGATGAGGAGGAGGAAGAAGACGAGGATGAGGAGGAAGAAGAGGAGGGGGCGGATGATGAGAGAGGGGAGGAGGACGGTTTGTGTGATTATGAGGGTGGGGGATATGAAATGCAGGGGTCATTGGAAATTAGAGAAGGGGGGGGAGTGGGGGATGAGGAGGAGGGAGATGATGATGAGGAGGAAGAGGAGTGTGTGAGTGGGGAGGAAGAGGAGGGGGGAGATGATGACGAGGACAAGGAAGAGGTGGGGGGAGATGAGGAGGGAGAGGGAGACGAGCAGGCGATGCAGCAGTATGAAGCGATGCAAGGGAGGAACATGCAAGGGAGGAACATGCAAGGGAGGAACATGCAAGGGAGGAAGAGGCGGCATGTGCTCATCACTATGAATGGATCGGTACTTGCTCGCCCTGTTGCTGCTGGTGCTGGGGCAGGGGGGGCAGAGTGGGAGGACGGGGCAGCAAACCGGGCAGGAGACGGGGAAACAACGGTGGTGAGCCGCGAGACGCCTGTGGGAGAGGAGCGAGCAGCAGGAGGGGAGCAGGCGGATATGCAGCTGCAGGGTAGGTCGAGAGCAGAAGAGGTGGACGCACAGCAGATGAACCGTGACTTGAAGACGATTCCTGGTTCAAGTGGAGATGGGAATCGACCCTCGGGTCTGTTCAAAGCGCCAGCTGATCGCCCACACAGGGTGAAGGTGAAGTGTGTGCATGGGAATACGTCAGCATCACTCGTCGACACGTCAGCAGCAGCGCAGTTCCACTCGTTAAATGAAGGTTCCAGGAAGCGTGCAAGAGAGGAAATGGATCTTCCAGCAGCAGCAGCAGCAGCAGCAGCAGCATCAGCTGGAGGAACAACAAGCGAAGATGCTGATGCTGCAGGATTTAACACGTTTGACAATGCTGCTAATCTTTCAGGCTGCTCCCCAGCCAACTCTCCTGCGCTTCCAACCACTGCTGCACTCTCAGACCCGTCCGCACTCACATACGCAGCCGCACCTTCCCAGAAGCAGCACGTGTATGCTCCCAGCTCACCTGGTGGTCTCATGCACTCAGGTGCTTCTGCAGCTGCTGATTCCTGGATTCTCACCCACAGTCCCAGTCCCGCACACAAACCCACCTCACCAGCAGGAGGAGGAGTGAGTGGTGGGAGCAGCCTTTGCAACAGTTTCAGTGGGTGTGGCGGCAGCAGTGGGTTCGGTAGTGCCTCGTTTGGTTCGGTCGCTCCGGGCCTGTTCGGGGCAGGTTCGGAGCTGTACGGGCCTCCGTTGAGCCCGTTCCCGCACCTGTCCTCCTTCCCGTCGCCCTCCTTGCCCTCATCCTTCCCCTCTCCGTCCCTCACTCTCCCGTCGCCTTCCTACACCATGTCTCCAGCCCCGTACACCTTAGCAGCAGCGCCGTATAGCTCACCTGCTCACCATACAGCTCCTACACCTCATGTGTTGTCGCCAGCTGTTGATATACTGGCAGTCGATACAAATGCTCATGTTACTGCTTCTGATGTTGCCGCTTCAAATGTTACAGCTCCGAGTGTTACAGCTTCGGGTTACAGCCTAGGGCAGGAGTTTCCCAGGGAAGGAGGCGCAGTGGGGAATGAGGTGGATGCTGGTGTGGGGGAGAGGCGAGGGATTGAGAGGTTAGGGAGTGAGAGCAGCAGGCAGGTGGATGAGTGGATGGATGTGGACTTGGGTACAGATGCAGAGGCAGGACGAGAAGCGCAAACAGCAGGCGCTGCTGACGTGGCTGCTGACAGCGTGGCGAATCTCTATGCGTGTGATGCGAGTAGGGGAGCGGAAAACCTCAGGATTGTACCTGCTGCTGCATCCCTAGGTGCAGGTGTAGGTGCAGGTGCTACTCCCAGCAGTGCTCGCAGCCCTGTAGGTCTTGAATCGCCAGATTTGGCTTTGGCTAGCATGGGAAGTTGAGTAGGCAAGGTTGTAGGGTGGTGGAGAGATGAGTGGAAAATGAAAGCGTTATCTGGTAGAGTGGTTTGGGAAATTTATCCATATATTTAACAATGTGTATCTATTGTAACCCGTACTAATACCTTCGGGTGTACTAAGCACTTGGAAAAAATATATATATATATATATCTTTTTAACTACTGTTCAAAGACTGGTCAACACCTTGCCTTCTGTGCATGGTTCTGATTCCACGTATCGAAGTTGCTTCTAAAAAGCTTTGGCGTTCCCTCCACTTCACCTTGGTTTGCCTTTCACAGCAGCTGCTGGAGTTATCTAGGCTCTTCACAAATCTGTCAGCAACAATACCGTTGATTGACTGGACGCGTGTCCCGCTGTTCGGACTCCTTCGCGTGTCTCTGTCTCATGTCTGTGTCTGAGCGGTCGTATGGCGTGGATTTGTTTTTTTAACAGGAATTATACTGTAACGAGGATGATAACGCTATATTAGCCTCGTTAGCCTTCACATTAGTACAGTTTTACGCTCTCCATCCCCGTTAGTGTCACATTGTGTGCTCGCCGCACTCTCAGTAAGAGCCGGCTACACACGTCAGTGATATGGCATCGGCGAAAGCAATCGCTAGTCGCCCTGCGATCAAATCCGGCTCCGATGGCGGATTCGGGGGGGGCTGCGGCAGCTTTAGCCCCGCGGATCGTGCAGCCAAGGCGGGGAATCGCGCGCAGCTGGCGGCTGTGTTCCGCGCGTACGGGCGGCTGCGCGCGGCGCTGCAGCGGCGGAGAGGCGACGGCGGGGAACCGCCGGGAGCGGATAAAGACATCCAGGCAGCGTTCTTTGCGATGCTTGACGCGGCTCAAGGTGCGGGGTTGAATGCGGTAAAGGTTCGTTATTAAGGTACGCGACAGGGTGCGGGATAGGGTGCGGGATAGGGTACGGGATAGCGTATGGCATACGGAACGGCCTAGGAACGGGATAGCTAAGACAATGGAATTCTAATATATCTAGGTACCGCGTAGGGTACGGCATGGGGTACGGTATAGGGAAAGAGGCCTTGGGAGCTTTGAGACGTCTCAAAACTTGAAATTTTTAAGACGTCTCAAGACATGGGGTACGGCATAAGGGAAGAGGCTTTGGGAGGGATGCGGTGTTTTTTACGATGCTAAAATAATTCCACGCGTAACCTAGCCAAACCAACGAAGTAGCCGGATCGGGATAAGATAAGTTACTTACTTCGTTAGTTCAGCTAGGATACGCGAGGGAGTATCAACTCGCTCCTTCATTACAACCCGCTCGCTCCCCCCTCCGTCCCTTTTCCCCAGGCTGCATCAGCGTGCGGAGGGTAGCAGCGGATCTCATCCAAGGCTATGCACGCTTTGCCCCTCGGGACTGCTGGACGCTCTTCCCCTGATACCCCCCCTCCTTTTTCCCTTACCCCTCTTCCCCGTCCCTTATTTCCCCCCAGGCTGCATCAGCGTGCGGAGGGTAGCAGCGGGCCTCATCCCCCGCTATGTGCGCTTCTGCCCCTCGGGATTGCCGGACGCGGCGCAGACGCTCATGCAGCTCTCTCTCCCCACTCTTTCCTCCCCCACCTCCCCCTCCCCCCTTCCCCCCAGGCTGCATCAGCGTGCGGAGGGTAGCAGCGGGCCTCATCCCCCGCTATGCGCGCTTCTGCCCCTCGGGATTGCCGGACGCGGCACAGACGCTCATGCAGCTCGCGGATTGGTGCGTGGCGGAGCTGCTGCAGCGCCAGGGGGAAGCGGGGGGAGTGGGGGAGGGGGAAGCGGAGGGGGGGAGAGGCGCGCAGGGGGAAGCAGGGGACGGGAGAGGCGCACAGGGGGAAGGGGCGGAGGGAAAGTCCGAGCAGGGGGAAAGGGGGGTGCAGGGGCAGCAGGGGGAGTCAGGGGCGCGTGAGAAAGCAGGTGGAGGGGAAGCAGGAGGAGGAGCAGCAAAGGAAGAAGAAGGGTCGGGTATGGAACAAGGCCCTGGCGATTCCACGACTGCCGCCTCTGCAGAGGCATCAACAGAATCAGCAGCAGCAGCAGCAGCAGCAGCAGCAGCAGCTGAGCGCCCTGTACCTGGTGGTATCAACAAAGCAGCATGTCGCCGCAATCTCGGCCCGCCGCCCGACGACACCAAGGTAATCATGGCGACGGTGCGGTCGGCGTTCCTCGGCCTGGCGTCCATCCTGGCTGTAGCGGCGGCTGCAGCGTCTGCTACAGCCCCCTCCTCGCGCACGTCTGCTCCGGCGTACCTCTCCTCTGCTGTGTCTCGGGATGTGGCCCGGTTTCTCCTGTCGCACCTGCATCCGGATTGCACCCTGCCCCTGCCTCCCTTTCATGCTCCTGACTCAGCAGCAGCTGCGGCTGCTGCTGCCATTGCTGGTGATGTTGCTGGTGGTGGTGATGCTGGTGCTGCTGCTGCCGGTGGCGATTTCAACGCTCCTTCCTCTGTTACCGATTTGAGTGGAAGGCCTTTAACAGGAGATGGAGCGGTATCAGCAGCAGCGTTGGCTGAGGGCAAACGGGGAGTTTCTCCTGACGGTGGCTCGTTGTACGATGCAGAAAGGAACAGAACTGGAGGTAGCAGCACCGCAGTAGGGTTACCACCAGACTCAGGCTCGGAGGACGGAAGCCTGGAGCTGACCGCAGGTCCGGAGCTAGCCTCGGTTAAGCAGATCGTGGCAGCGGCGGTGGTTCGGGCGATGCAGTTACAGCCAGAGGCGATGCTGGGAGCGGCGATAGAGCAGGCAAGGACGGGGGGGTGTGGAGGGGTGGGGAGGGGTGGTGGTGAGAGGCAGAGGGGTAAGCAGGCGATCTCGTTTCTTCTGCAGGTGACTGCTGCTCGGGAGGTGGTGGGAGGGGAGGGGGAGTGGGAGAGTAAAGAAGGCAGGAGGAAGGGTAAGAGGGCAAAGGTTAGTGAGAAAGAGAAAGAGAAAGAGAAGGAGGAGAAGGGAAAGGAAGAAGGGGGGGATGAAGGGATGGAGATGAAGGAAGGGGACGAGAAAGACGATGAGGGTAAGGGAGGAGAGGAGGGAGGAGAGAGAGGGGCAGCAGCAGCAGCAGCAGCAGCATTAGCAGCGGGTGAAAGTGAGAAGGAGGCTCGTGATGGTGATGGTGACAAAGGCGATGAGGTGAGTGGTCTGAGGAAGGAGAAGATAGGAAAAGCAGAGGAGGAGGAGAAAGTGGAGGAAGAGGCAGAGGGGAGTGCATCAAAGATGGTTTTTAAGGAAGAGAAGGAAGACTTGAAGGAGGCTAGGGGGGGCAGTGAAGGGAGGGAGGACAGGGAGGGCAGGGAGGACAGGGAGGGCAGGGAAGAAAAGGAGGGGAGAGAGGAGTTCGGGCTACAAGGAGAGACGGGAAAGGAGGAGAGTGCGAGGAGCAAGAGGAAGAGAGCGCAGGAGGAGCAGTCAAGCATGGCATTCCACGCCTTGGATGGACGTCCGGAGTCGCTTCGGTGGCTAGCTGCGGTGCTGCAGCAGGTTCGGCGGAGTGGCTCGGCAGCGATAGACTCCCTTGGGGATGCCTGGAACCCGCTCCAGACTCTGCTAGGTGCCCTCAGAGACGCTAGTGCTGCCTCTGCTGCTGCCGCTGCTGCTGCTGCTGCAGCGGCGGCGGCGGCAGCGTCGACGGCGGCTGCTACGGCAGTGGGTTCCGCTGGTGCTGGTTCTGCTGGTAGTGGTGGTGTTAAGGCTGGTGGTGGGGACAGGGGCGAGGGAGAGAGGGACGAGCGGGGAGGAGTGGGGAAGGAGGCGCAGCAGAGGGAATTAGAGAGGGGTGGGGCGGCAGGAGGAGCAGGAGCTGCTGCCGCTGCTGCTGTTGGTTCAGGTGTTGCGTCAGGTGCTGGCTCAGGTGTATCTGGGTGGTCGTGGGACGGGGAGGTGTTTACTGTGACGCGGTTCCTGGAGCTCACCTTCTGTTCCGAGGCAGGGGCGCCTGTCCCGGTGGAGGGCGTATCTGGGGAAGGTCACAGGACGGTTCTGCGGTCCCTGTTTGAGAAATTCGGGCCCGTGGATGAGGTGGTGGTGGTGGCGGGCAGCGGGGTAGGTGGAACTGGGGTAGGTGCATCTGGTGGGGGGTTCGGAGGGGGTGTTGGTGGAGGGGGTGTTGGTGGAGGGGAGGAGAGGGATGGGTTGGGAGGAGGAGGGGGGGGGGGGAGGAGGGAGAGGAGGGGGAGGAAGGGGAGGAGGGGGTGGGGGAAGGGAGCAGGGTTTGCCAGTGCATGTGGTTGTAACGATGGTGACTGTACGGGAGGCTGTGAGGGCGAGGGAGGGGCTGAATGGGGTGGTGCTGTGGGGGAGAAGGCTGCACGTGCGCTTTGGGGATGGACCGGGGGGGGTGTTACCTGGTGCAGGTATACCTGGTGGGGGAGGGCTGATGTTGGCACGAGAGCGAGGAGGAGGAGAGATAGGGATGGATGGGAGGGATCGGGATCGAGACAGCCTGCGGGAGCTAGGGTATAGAGAGGGTGGCATGAGGCAAACTGGGTTCTCTCCCAGTCTCACCGGCTCGCCTCTTGGTCTTGTTACCAGTAACCGGAGGGCGTTGGGGTTACCTATAGGTGCAGCTGCTGCTGCTGCCGCCGCCGCTGCTGCTGCTGGCAGGGGCTTAGGGTTAGGGTTTTTGGGAGCGCATTTGGGGGGGTTTGGAGGGGTGGGGGGGGGAATAGGGGGAGAGAGAGGGGTGGAGATGGGTCGAGCAGGTACGCCTCCTCTTCCTCTGCCTCCTGCTGCGACTGCTAGCGGGGGTTCTGAGGCTCTGCCGCCTGCTTCTCGGCTGCATGTGTGGGTGGGCGGCGTGAACAGTGCGAGCGCCAAGGAGAGCCTGCTGCAGCGGCTGGCATCTGCCAGAGTCCCGCCGCCCGCCCATGTGTCGGTCCTAGTCAGCGCCAGCGCACTGCTCCTGGAATTCAGGAGGCAGGAGGACGCTAACATGGCGCTGATGTTCTTAAAACGAGGGGTGGTGCCAGTGCCAGCGGCAGCAGCAGGGGGAGGGGCAGCAGGGGGAGGAGGAGAGGGGGATGGGGGAGGAGAGAGTGGGTATGTCCGTGGTGCGACCCCTGCTGGTTCTGCTTCAGCTGATGGTCGTGTTGCTGGTGATGCTGGTGGAGATAGTGGGCTAGCAGGGGGATTCAGAAGAGGGGGGAGTAGAGAGAGAGGTTACTCTGTAACCAAAACCCCTCCTCTGTCTGCTGCAGCAGCAGCAGGATCACCGTCACCATCGCCATCACCAGCAGCAGCATCTGCTGCCGGTCCTGGTGGTAGCTTCGGGGGGGGGTTCTCCAGCCCCCCCGCTCATTCCTCAGCTGCTGCTGCTGCAGCGGCGGCGGCGTCTGCTGCTGCGGCTGCAGCTCTTTCCCCTGTTATCCGCGGCTCAGGATCTGCCATTCCCTCTGCAACAGCCAGCACCACACCATCAGCAGCAACAGCTGCACGAGCAGCAGCGGCAGCAGCAACAGCAGGCACGCCAGCAGCACTGGCAGCACCAGGAGCAGCAGCAGGGGTGGGGGGGTTTACCCCTACCCACACAACAACCCAGCAGGCTCTAGCAGCTGCTGTAGCGGCAGCAGCAGCCAACACCCCCGGCGCGCAGGCTGTAGCGGCGGCAGCAGCCGCCGCGTCAGGGATGACGTCAGCGCTGGTGGTGGGCGGCCCGTCTGCCGCCCGGCACCTGTGGGTGGGGAAGATCGATCCGACGGTCCCCGAGCACGAGATTCTGTCGGCGTTTGCACAGTACGGCGAGATCGCCAGCTGGCGCTTTGTGAAGCCGCCAGGTCAGCAAGAGGGAGGAGCGGGAGCAGGCGGATCTGGAGCAGGGCCAGCTGGAACAGCAGCAGCAGCTGCTGCTGCTGCTGCTGCTGGCAGTGGTTTCAGTGGTGGGGAGAGTGAAGGGGGAGGGAGCACGGGAGCAGGAGGGGCGGCAGACGGAGTGAAGGGTCAGTCTGGAGGTGCTTCGCTCGTGTCGGCGTTTATTGATTTCCGGTCGGCAGAGTCGGCTATTTTGGCACGGTCCCGACTCAACGGGGCACGATACGGCTGCTCCAACATCCAGGTGTGGCGCCTCTGTGGGGTGTGTGCTGTGCTGTGCTGTGCTGTGCTGTGCTGTGCTGTGCTGTGCACTTTGAATCTGCTTTTGAGTCGACTCAAATGCAAATACAGCTGCTCCAACATCCAGGTGTGGCACCTCTGTGGGGTGTGTGCTGTGCTGTGCACTTTGACACATGCCAGTCAGTCAGTGTGTTGCATTTTGAGCGGAGTCTGTACGCACTTCTGAGTTGAATCCACCCTCCATGGAGCACGATACGGCTGCTTCAACATCCAGATATGCACCTCCTCTTCTTACCCTCTTCCACCCTCACTTTCTCGCGACTTGTTCCCCCCTCTTCCTCTCTCTCCCCTTCTCCATTATCTCTCCCCGCCTCGCCCCTCATCCATCAGGTGGAGTGAAAGCATGCAGCATCACGAGCAGAGCAGCTCCCTCCTCCCTCTGCAGCTCCCTCTCCCCACCCCGCCTCCCCCCTCTCCCCCATCCCCCCTTGCGTCCATCAGGTGGAGTTCAAGCATGCAGCATTACGAGCAGAGCAGCTCCCTCCTCCCACTGCATCTCCCTGTCCCCACTGCTGCTGCCCTTCTCCCTTTCTTGTCCTTTTTGAGACGTCTCACAACCTCACTCTTATCACGTCTCAAAATTTGAGACGCCTCAAATCCTCCCACTGCATCTCCCTGTCCCCACTGCTGCTGCCCTTCTCTCTTTCTTGTCCCTTTCCTTGCCCTCACCTCACCTCCTCCTCCGTTTCTCCTCCTCCCCTCTCCCCTCCTCCCCATCGTCCATCAGATGGAGTTCAAGCATGCAGCATCACGAGCTGCACCCTCCCCCCACCCCGCCTCCTCCCTCTCCCACCTGCACCACCTGCACGCCCTCTCCTCCCCGCCTCATGCTCCTCTTCCCCACTCCCTTTCCCCCTTTCACCCCCCATCGTCCACCAGGTGGAGTTCAAGCATGCAGCATTACGAGCTGCACCCTCCCCCCAACACGCCTCTCTCTCCCACCTGCATCACCTGCACGCCCTCTCCCCAGCAGCTCGCCTCATGCCCCTATTTTCCCCGCTCTTCCCCTCTCCCCCATCCCCCCTTGCGTCCACCAAGTGGAGTTCAAGCATGCAGCATCACGAGCAGCACCCTCCCCCCAACACGCCTCTCTCTCCCACCTGCACCACCCACACGCCCTCTCCTCCCCCGCAGCCCGCCTCATGCCTTTCTCTCCCCCTGTCGTCCCCTGCTCTGCCTCCTGCTCTGCCCGCCTCATGCCTTCCTCTCTCCCCCCTTGCCTCCCCCCTTGCCTCCCCCACTTCCTCCACCAGGTGGAATTCAAGCATGCGGCATCACGAGCAGCACCCTCCCCCCAACACGCCTCTCTCTCCCACCTGCACCACCTGCACGCCCTCTCCCCCGCAGCTCGCCTCATGCCCCTCGCCTTCCTCCCCATCCCAGGCCTCCCCTCCCGCCTCCCCTTCACCCCCACTGCTGCCCACACTCTCGCCGCCCAGTCTGCCGCCGCCCACACCCTTGCCGCCCAGTCCGCTGCCAGCCTCAGGTTCCTCCGAAGCATGGGCGCAGGCTTGGGCGGAGGCTTGGGCGCAGGCTCGGTGCCGGGCCTGGGTGCCGGTGGGATAGGTTCGGGAGGCGGGCTGGTGGGGGTAGGTGAGGGTGGGGTGAGAGAGAGGGACCATGATGGGGGGGCTGCAGGGGCAGCAGGTGCGGCAGGAGCAGCAGCAGGTGCGGGCACAGGTTTGGCAGCAGGCTCGGCAGGAATAGGAGGAGCTGGGGCTGGATCAGGAGGAGCGGGAGGAGCAGGAGTAGGAGCGGGAGCAGGAGCAGGAGTGGTGTACGGAACAGGAGGGAAGGAGCGGGTACCCACTAGCACTCTCTGGATGGGCATATCAGAGCAGGCAATCTCAACCCACTCCGCCGCCAGTGCAGCAGCAGCCATGGCTGCGTTCAGCCTGTCTGAATCCGAGTTACAGGGGATTTTCACGGCTGCTGCGGCGGGCAGGGGGTATGTGACGCGCGTGCGGAGTGCGAGATCCATGAGGGGCCCGTGCCGGTTCATCGAGTTTGACCGAGTCGAGGCGGCTGCTACTGCGCTGAGGAACATTGTGGCTTCGGAGAGATTTGATTCTGCAGTCCAAGTGCAGTTCAGGTGAGCAATTTGAAGCGGTAGGCAAGATGCTTGGAAAACCCGCTACTAAGAGTTGGAAAGAGGTCTTGAAGATTCTAAGGGGACGGAGGCAGACATCAAAGCGCTGATTAAGGAAAGCAAGAAAGTGGCTAGGAAAAGGGGGATGGGTAGAGGCAGGGCTGGGCGGGGCGAGCAAGGGGGCGAGCAGGGGGTGCGAGCAGGGGGGCGAGCAGGGGGGCTGAACTTTCTGCTCGCCCCCCTGCTCGCCCCCCTGCTCGCCCCCTTGCTCGCCCCGCCCAGCCCTGCCTCTACTCATCCCTCCTTTCCTAACCACTTTCTTGCTTTCCTTAATCAGCGCTTCGATGTCTGCCTCCGTCCCCTTAAACAGGATCTTCGATCTTCACGACCTTCTTCGAGCTCTTACTAGCGGGTTTTGCACGCAGCTTCAACATCCCCTTTGCATGCCGTCTTCCCCGTCAAGCCCCTTCCTCATCCTTCCCAACCTTGCTCCCCGTCTTCCTTCCTGCTCCTTCCTGTTTGCCTGTCCCTCTCCACCAGCAACTCTGCCATGTTGTTGCAGCAGACAGAGCAGCAAAATCGCTGCAGGGAACATTTCTGCAGCCCGCTGGTGTTTTTTTAAGCGCCTTAAATAACACGCTTTTTCCTTCCCTCTCCCTTAAACTTGCCTGCCCCCCCCTCCCCCAGCAACTCTGCTATGTCGTTGCAGCAGGCAGAGCAGCAGCAGATCGCTGCTGGGAACATCGCTGCCGCTGCAGCAGCTGCAGCTGCGGCCGCCGCTGCTGCTGTTTCAGGTGCCACTGCTGCTTCAACTGCTGGCGCTGTTTCAGGTGCCAGTGGCGGTGGTAGTGCTGCTGGTGCTGGCTCTGGTGGTGGTGTTGGTGCTGGTGGTGGTAACAGTTTAACAGAGGAAAGTGCCCCGAGACTCACTGCAAGTGGCAGCAGCAGCAGATGGGACATTCGGGAACCCTCTCATCCCCATCCACACACTCCTTCCTCCCATCCTCATATCCCCTCCTCCCATTCACACTCTTCCGCCTCCCATCCACACATCCCCTCTTCCCATCTGCACACACCCTCTTCCTCCACCTCTCTCCCACCCCACCCCTCTCACCTCGTGGGGTCTACTAGGGGCAGAGGGGCAGGTGTAGGTACAGGTGTAACGCCAGATGTAACAGCAGGTGTAACGGCAGGTGTAACGGCAGATGTAACAGCAGGTGTTATGACAGGTGCAGGGGCAGCGGACGGAGGGGCCAGTTTTGAGATATCTCGGAAGTGGGATAGTGCACGGGTGGGAGATGACTTTGCGGGCGGGATGGGCACAGCAGGTGGGATGGCAGGGGCAGGACCAGGAGCAGGAGGAGCAGCAGGAGCAGGAGCAATGGCAGGAGCAGGAGCAGCAGCAGCAGCATCACCGATTGGTACAGCTTTTGCGTCGCTTCCTCCCCCCCCTCCTCTGCCTCCTCCTCCTCTTTCTCCCCATCCATCTGCCATTGTTCCGCTCCCACCCACTGCCGCCCCTGTCACGCCTCTCCCGCCCCTCCCACCCCCCGCATCGTCTCTCCCCCTCACAGACTCAACAGACAGGGCAGGCTTGTTGGGGGCTGCAGGGGAAGGAGAGGAGAGAGGAGAAAGAGGAGGGGGTGGAAGGGCAGGAGAAGGGGGAGCGGTTGCAGCGGGTGGTGCAGTGGGTGGTGCTGCTGCTCCCTCTGTGGGTATGGGTATGGGTATGGAGGGTATGGGAGGACAAGAGGGTATGGGGGCACAGGAGGGCATGGGGGCAGCACAGGAGGAAACAGACATGGATTTTGATGATGACGATGGTGCCACTATCAAGCACATGTCTGTGCCTATGCCTATGCCTGTTCCTGTGCCTGCGCCTGTGCCTGCGATTGTGTCTGCGCCTCACACTGCTGCTGCCCAGCCTCCTGTCTTGCAACCCTCCCCTCCCCGCTTCCCTACTGTACCCCTATCGCCCCCCGCTCCTACTCCCCCTTCTCTTCCTCCTCCACTCCTGCCCCCGCCCCCACCCCCTCAAGAGTCTCCTGTTGCTCCTCCTGGACCCCCTCCCCTTCCACCTCCTCCTCCTCCCTCGTCCTCTGCTTTACCAACGTCAGCTGCTGCTGCTTCTGCTGCTGTTGCTGATGCTGCCACTGCTGCTAATGGTGTTGGTATTTCTGGCGGTGTTGCCCCTTCTCGTGTTGCTGCTGCTGACGTTGGTGCTGCGGTTGGTGCTGCTGGTGTTGGTGCTGCCTCTTCGCAAATGGAAAGGAAGGCTGTGAGGGAGGAAGGGCGGGAAGCGGACGGAAACGAGTCAAAGAAAGACACATCGACAGCTGGCGTGAGCGAGGAAAGGCGAGGAGAAGGGGAGAAGGCGGATGAGCTGCAGCAGCAGCAGCAGCAGCAGATGGTGCTGCAGGAACTGCAGGCGCAGAGGCAGCAGCAGCAGCAGCTGCAGCTGTCGCTGCTGCCGCGCTTTGCGCTGTGCAAGAGCGGGGTGATGTACTGCCACGTGGCTGCTTCCCGGCAGCAGATCAGAGGCAGCCGCTACGACCCCGCGCTCACAGCAGGCCAGCACGAGCCACTCGGGTGAGTTGGAGTTGAGAGTGCAGGGCAGGTGTGTTTTGAGTCGACTCAACACACACAAGTGCAGGCCTTAGTTGGAAAATACTCGTTTCGCGTTTCACACGCTAGCGTTTATCCGCTAGCGTATAAACGCCGAACGCTTCTTGGGAGGCTTCCTGTACGCAGAGAATACGCAGGCCCGGGCACCTAAATTTTTTCCCCGGGCAGTTCGTTAGGTTTAGAGCGGGGGATGGGGGAGGTGCAAAGCACGAAGTTGGTACTTGCAGTCTAGTCATACTCGTCGAGAGAAAGAGGTCGGCGAGATCGAGATGAAATGAAATTTAGAAATGTCGAGGTTAGGGCTGACTGGCTGGTAAGCACCGTGGGGTTTGTTGGGGGGGTGGGTTTGGACAGGTTGGAGTTCGTAGATGGTATGGGTTCCAATGCAGTACTAATATGAGATTCAACATTTGGATCCAGACACGCCTCCAAACTTCGAAGTCACATTTCCGCTTGCCTAGACCACCGATTAGCATTTCGACTTCCGCGAAATGCTCACCAAGAAATTCCGCACCTATTCCGCAATTTTTTTTTCGGGCAGCCCTACAAAATTTCTGACTGCGCATTGCGTATTCCCTAGTGTATAGCATATAGCGTTTAAACGCAAGCGTATATACGTGACACGCTTGAGGCTCTGAGCGTATACTCCAACTTTGCAGGCCGCTGCCAGGCAGCAGATCCGAGGCAGTCGCTACAACCCCTTGCTCAAAGCAGGCCAGCACGAGCCACTCGGGTGAGGATTGTTTACAGGTGCCTCAGGAATCGTCCCTTATTGGGGGACAGCTTGAGTTGCACGGATCAGACTGAAATCGTCCGTCGTGCGCTAGTTTTGAGACGTCTCAAAACATACAGGTGCCTCAGGAATCGTCCCTTATTGGGTTGGGGCACAGCTTGAGCTGCACCGATGGGATGAGACTGAAATCGTCCGTCGTGCGCTGTTTGGTGTGCATTGGTCATGCCTTTGGTGATCCCTATTCCCTGCTTTTTTGCCAGGTGGCCTGATAAGTTGGATGTGACAAAGCGGGCAGATTTCCGGGCAGTGCGAAACACTTTCAATGCCTGCCCCAGCTCTCGGGTAAGCCTCTTCTCCTGCGTGGATATTCCTCACCAATATTTTCCTGTTAGGAAGGCCCTTATTAACCATGAATTCTCAAAGCATGTTTCATCGCAACATCATCATCATCATCATCATCATCATCATCATCATCATCATCATCATCATCATCATCATCATCATCATCATCATCATCATCATCATCATCATCATCATCATCATCATCATCATCATCATCATCATCATCATCATCATCATCATCATCATCATCATCATCATCATCATCACGTCAGTTCACAGCCCCATGTTATGTTATGCATCCTCCGTTGCTTCCATTCCCAACAAGCATCCTCCGGTGCTTTTTGCATCTTCATTCATGTGCATGTTGTTCCTTTCATGTTCCCCGACCTGCTCCTCTCATCCGTTGTTTCGTATATACGTTTTTTCCTTTTATTTTTTTCTCTATCGCGCGCTCTGGCCGCCCCTGTGTGTGTGCATCAGAGGGAGGTGTGCCTTCTCGTCCCGCTGCCCTCCTCATCCTCTGCTGCTCGCCCAACCGACGCGGCTGGCCCATCCTCTGGGGTGAGTGTGTTGATTTTTGAGTCGACTCAAAAATCAACTCGCTGCTGGCCCATTCTCTGGGGTGAGTGTCTCTTGAAACGGGTATGCCGTGTGCAAGTTGCGTGCTTGCCACCTGCAAGCAACTTGCAGTCAGCTCTTTCTCACTCGATGCTGCTTGCTGGCCAGTTGACCTGCAAGTTGCACCCAGATCCTCTGGAATGAGTGCCTTTTGAAGCAAGCATGCGTAAAAACTGCTGGCCGGTTCGAGTCGGCTTAATGCGATTCTCAAGTTGACTTCATGTTCACCCCGTTGTACCCAATGCAACCGACACTGCAGGTCTTGGCTTGAACCCAACCCCCAGTTCAAGTGCATGGCAGGACTATCTGCGGCAGAAGAAGCTTCGTCTCATTCGTCTCCTCGTCCTCTCCCGTCCTCCCCTTGCCCCCCTCTTCACATGCCCACAGTTCACGCGCATGGTGGACTATTTGCGACAGAAGGAGCGTGCAGGGGTGGTGAAGATCCCTCCGGCCAATGGCGTGTGGCCACGTATGCTCTACGTGCTGCCGTGGTCCCGGGAGATGTGTGAGCTGCTGGGGGTCACTACCGACTCCCCTGACTGCCTGCTCGGTCTCATACTCCCAGCTGTGCCGCTCCCCGCCCACTGATCAAACCTCATTCAACCACACTCAACTGCATTTGACTGTTGTTAGTCGGAGTCAACTCTACATGCTGCCGTGGTCCCGGGAGATGTGTGAGCTGCTGGGGGTCACCACTAAGTCGCCTGATTGCTTGCTCGGCCTCATCTTCCCAGCTGTACCGATCCCCGCCCATTGATCAAACCTCACTCGATCGCTCTCAACCGCTGTGAACCTGAGCAAGCTAAACGTACTGCCGTGGTCCCGTCCCGGGAGATGTACGAACTGCTGGGAGTCACCACTAAGTCGCCTGATTGCTTGCTCGGCCTCATCCTCCCAGCCGTTCTTCTTCCAGCTCACTGATCAAACCTCGCTCCACCGCACCCAACTGCACTCGATCTTGATCAGACGCTATGAATCTGAGTGACCTCTACGTGCTGCCATGGTCCCGGGAGATGTGCGAACTGCTGGGGGTTACTACCGAATCCCTTGATTGCCTGCTTGGACTTATCCTCCCAGCCGTGCCACTCCCCGCTCACTTATCAATCCTCGTCAACCACATTCAACCATATCCAACCACATTCAACAATACTCAACCACACTCAACCAGTCAACCAGCAGTTAGACTGGAATATACACCTACACTCCCAGATGTGGCCCTTCTTGGCCATTGGTCGCCGTATAGGACACGTCAAGTTAGAAAGCAAGGTTGGAACAGCTCAGCCCTCACTCCATGGGGCTATTGTTACACACTTATCTGATGGTTTTATGTTTTTTCAATGTTGCCTCCATCCGATTTTCACTATAAGCATTTTTTTGTGTTTGTTTGCTCGAAGATGCAGATGTAGGTGTACTTGGTACATAGGGCTCTCTGGAAGTTCAAAATCGTGCTGCAGCGCTGGGAGCAGGCCTTGATAGGTTAGGTATTGGAACGAGTCAAGCCTACAAATATGCGGTAGACTGATGGCTCCAGGCCTGATGGACCTTCTCTGGTTCCGCAGCAACTCCAATAGCACAGAGACCTTTCACGAAGTTTGAAATACTGGAAATAAGTACTATACTGAAGGTACGGTAATAGATAGGGTTGATTGCTGTACATCGTGACATCTTCATAAACTGGCCTCACGAGGCCCCTATGAGATGATATGCCTTGATGCTCAGTTGACCTCCAGTCATCTCGAGTTCAGAGGTTGAACCAGCAGCACGACTGACTGTCAACTAAGGACCGAGCCACGTTCAAGTATCCTCAAGGGTTACACTTTGGTGTTAGGGGGAATCAGGACTTTATCCACGCCGTGGGCGATGAAGTATGGCCCAGCGTACAGCCGCACGATCTTGATCGTCGTCCACGCGGCAGGGGGGGCGTTGGGAGCCTTGGCGAGGGAAACGGTGTTACCATTCTGCACCGAAACCTTGTACATTGCCTGCTTCAGCTGCGTCGCCAGCGGCTGCGATTTCTTGAGCGCCGTGAGGGCGGGAACGGTGTACTTCTTGCGAATGATGTGATACGCGGTGATGTTGTAGATTTTCGGGATGTTGGCCTTGTTAGCGGGAACCTTCTTAGCGAGGGCCTGGGCCTCCGTGTCGCTGGGGAGTAGGAGGGTCGCGTCGCTGAGAGCAGTGAAATCGTACTTGGAGTTCACTGGAGATAGAAGGAGAGGGAGGGGGAAAGAGGGAGAGGGGAGAGAGAGAGTGAGAGAGGGGAGACAGAATCTGAGCGCGGATCCGAATACTGTCAATACGCGGGCTAGTAGAGAGAGTATAGCTGATAGGTGGCGAGATGCGCATATCAATTCCAGCTACGAAGCTGAAGAGAGGAGCGCGATAGCCGGTATCCCGCCGCACTTTCACGATTCTAAGTGAGGGACTTTCTGCTCGCGTTTGAACGAGAATGAGGCGAGGCTAAACGTCGTAATGAGAGTGAGAGAGAGAAAAAGAATGTAACGATTTGAAGTCCTTACGTGCTAGGCCGATGTACTTGTTGATGTCCCTTGCGTATTTAGAGTATTGCGGGTACTTCTTGGTGATGGCGTTCGCCATGTTCTGCAGCTCGGCTTTTATTTGCGCCTTGGTGGGCTTCGCTTGTGCTTGTGCGTGAGCGGCGGCGAAGCATAGCACGACGCAGAGCAGGCCGAAGATTGGAATGAACCGTGAACTGGCCATTTTTCGCGAATATGCGTACGATTTTCGTGAAGAATCTGCTGGATCGGGGAGCTGTGGAAAATGAGACTGGATCGCGTGGCTGGACTGCTCGCGAACGTTCTTAGTCGAGTGAAATTGGAGTGGGAAGAGAGAAATTGAAGTGGGATGAGAGAGGAGTTGAGGAGGCACGAATGGGATTCGATGCACTTGAGGCACGAAACGCCATTTATATATCCGACAGGGTTGGGGGACTACTGGGTGCGTGCGCGTCCACATTGGCCGACATGCGGTGCGGGAAGCGGTGCAGACCTTTCGCAATGCAGCATTTCGGCAATTTGCGGCTCAGGCAGCATGCGAATTCGCTTGAATGAAACTGTCGCGAAGTTACACGAGACTCTCTTCTGGCTAGGGGTTGCCTTACGTTAAGCGGTGGCGGCGATTGGCCGGTTGAAGTCGCGGTCCGCGTCAATGACAATCAATTTCTTTGCCTCCGCACTTGACCTCCAGCTTCCTCGCCAGGGTTCGCGCTGCGGTTTGGATACAAACAACAGAAATGGACAAACGGAAACCAAACATTTCTGTACATGCTATAATGGTGTCTCCCTTAAATCAGTACATCCACACTCCCCTTATTTGATTACAGATATATATAAATAACAATAGTGCTGTCTGTTTATTGGCTTTTATTTTCTTTGATTGATGAAAATTTTTTGAGTTCATAACGAATATGATTGTTCTTAAAAAAAATTACTCTAAAAAAAATAGTTGCACTCGATAACAACCCTGAAAATCAGGGCTGGGAGAAAAACCTCCCTGGAAATCAGTCTACTGGAAAATGGAAACATACCCCGAAATATATCTTCAATATCTATTGAGCCCGGGTTCTCAATAACGCAGATATCTCTCTCTGACACATAGCGTTTCGGTTCAATTCAGTCAGAACCGAGTTCCCAGCACAAGCACACTGCAAATCAGTTTCCACTGAATTGTCTTCCTTCAGCTGCCATGGCTTCCATTCCGTCCATTTCCTTCAGGCTCCCCTGCCTTCACGTGAACTCATGACAACACGCGCGGCACTCACATTAGGAATGACGCATTTGCGAGACTTTCGTTTCAACCGTACTTAGCAGCATCTTCCTGTGTATGATCGTGCCGCACATAGCTCAGGAAATGTCATCCTCGTTAAAGTCATCTCCCAGCTCCAAACGGTTCTACGCGGCTCCATGCAATGAACCCGTTAGTTGAATAGCCAATGATAGCGTCGCGAAAGAATCGAGCTGTTCATCTTAACCAACCGCTCGTTAACGTCCGTAATGAGGCTCGCTCGCTAACCACTTGTTCGGAGACTTGCAACAATTTACGAAAACTTTACAGAATCTTCGGGGTGTACAGCATCCAGCGGCTCGATCCTTTCCCAAGAACTCGCTGTTATTTCAAACGGCTTTTTTCTTGTCGTTTTCTCGTGCTCGCGGCTCGAGCTTTTACTAGCAAATGGCCTCGCTTCCAACGGTCACGCGGTTCATCGACGGATCCGCGAAGAATCCCTCCGTGCTCAGAGCAATCATTGCTTCGCGAAATGATGTCGCAAGAGCGGCTGTTTGTACGGAACCGAGCGTTTTCCCACCGGTTTTAATAGTTCCGCGTGACGCGAACTTGAATACCATCATGTCACGCTTCCGGCGGACGGAACACTGCGTACGAACAACAAGTGCGCTGCCATGCCAGCTGTAGGGAAGAGGGGAAGTCACTGGGAAACCTGCGAAATCGTAAGTTGTAACTCGCGCGAAAGTTGTTCAAGGCGACAACGGGACGAGATTAAAGGCATGACTATGAAATGAGGCGTGGGGAGTGAGCGAAGAGGGAGAGGGGACGTCAGGGGTCAGGGAGGACTCTTCAGAAGAGGAGAGGGGGAGGAGACAGAGGGAGAGGAGAGGGGAGAGGAGACAGATAGAGACACTGGGAGGGAAAGGGAACGGATAGAATTAGACGCTTCATAAAGCAAGTTGTTTTCTTCTTCTCTTTTTCATGAAGAATCTAGCTGCCGGTTTCTCTCGGCTAGTGTCACTTGCGAATTGTCGGCTAGTGCCTCACAGTGATGTGGCGTAGTAGGGTATAACGGCGTGGAATAAGTTATGGAAGGGTTCACTTCGGTGCTGAATTTCGTTACAGGACGAACCACACAGATTTGATAGAGAAAGTGGCAGAAGCAGCAGCAGCGCATTGGCATTAGCAGGCCCAAAGTGGCAGCAGAAGCAGAAACAGACGCAGAAGCAGCAGCAGAAGGCGTGGGTAATCGCAGAGTTCCATAATGCATCGAGCATGTCGACACATCTTGCTCTTCGTGGCTCTGCTGCTGCTGGATGTCAGCAAATGGACGGACCAGATCGTTCCTGGTGGGGATCGGACGGACGGGAAGCCATCTAGGGGAGTGCTGCTGTGTGCAGCAGGCATCATCGCTAAGAGCGACCTCACTATGTGTGTGGCTGATGGGGGGGTTGCTGGTATGCCAGCATCATCATCAGCAGCAGCAGATGTATCCGCATTAGCATCTGCGGGAGTAGGAGATGGAGGAGTGGGGTACGGTCCAGCTGGAACAGTGCCTGGGGGAGGTTGGGGAGGAGGGGAGCAGCAGCAGCCGAGTTACATACCAGACGGGGCCAAGTCGGTCAAGTGCAGGAAGAAGATTGTGCTGTCCCTTGCTGTCTCCAACGGTCATGTGAGTCCTCCACTGGTTACCCATTCATTCAATGTCAGACGGCCCTCTTCTAGAGTTACATACCAGACGGGGCCAAGGCGGTGAAGTGTAGGAAGAAGATCGTGCTGTCGCTTGCTGTCTCCAACGGTCATGTGAGTCCCCCACAGGTTATCCATTCAGTTGCTGCCAGGTGAGGTGACCCCTCTCTTTGAACTTTGTACCAGACGGGGCCAAGTCGGTCAAGTGTAGGAAGAAAATCGTGCTGTCCCTTGCTGTCTCCAACGGGCATGTGAGTGCACATGGTATTCAATTCATTCAGTTGATGCCAGCCAGGTTACCCTCTTCTTGCAGAAAATGCTGCAGAAGGCCAGGACGGTCAAGTGCAGGAAGAGGACTGTGCTCTCACTTGAGTCCACAGGCCTGCTTGACCCACAATGCTACCCAGGAAACGAGTTTTGGGACGACTCAAAACAGGCCTGCTTGACCCGGAATTCTGATTGACCTTTTGAGAATTCTCAAAAGTTGAATCTCACTTGAGTCCACAGGCCTGCTTCTCCCAGAATTTTTACCCAGGAGACGAGTTCTGGGACGACTCAAAACTAGAGACGTCTCAGAGCCAGGAAACCTAAACCCCTTTGGAAACAGCACAAGTGCCTTGCATGAGAAGGTGACGCCCATGCCGACTTTAATTCACCCACTCTCTTGTTCCTCCCTCCTCTTAAGCCTCCTATTCTCCCTTCTCCCCTCCAGACGCTTGGGACAGAGGCAATAGAAGCAGTGCTGACTCGAGTCAGTGACAGCACAGGCGGCGCTGCTGGTGGAAGGAATGGAGACAGCAGCAAGGGAGAAAACACCACCAAGGGCAGGGACGGCGGAGGAGGGGGAGAGAGCAGCAGCATGAGAGCGAACGGCGGAGGAGGGAATGGCACTGTGGCAGGAGGAGGGGAGGGAGTGGAGAGGCGGTTGGCAGACCCTGTGAAGATCACGGTGGTGAAGACACCGGTATATGCCGTGTACCCTCTCACGTTCCTGCAGGTAAGGTTGATGTAGTGCTGGCAACAAGCTACAGTGTTGACCTCCTTTCTTGCGTCGGGTAAGAAATGAAAATGACGCAAAGCCCAGATCTTCTTTCGTGCCGAGGCACGCGTTACAATGGCTCAGGCAGCCCGCATCCACTCCGCTAAGGCTTGGCTCTTCCGCATGCTGGGCCGGTTTTCTTGTTTTTCTTGAAGTCCCCTCCCCCCCCCCCCCCCCTCCCCCCCTCTCCTCTCTCTGCCTGCCACGTGGCAGTCCTTCAATGGCCGGCCATACGAGGTGGTGGTGACTACAACGGGGTGCAGGGACGGTGCATATGACAGCGACCCCACGTGCGGCTGGTTCCTCTACCCAGATGGCACAAGAGTGCCCAACAGCCAGGTGGGAGAGTTGTCACGGACAAAACACGTCTGTGGTTCTCACGGAACCCACACGTGTTTCTCACTGTGGTTCTCCCCACACGTGTTTCTCACTGTGGTTCTCCCCACACGTGTTTGAAGAAGTGTTTTGAGACGTCTCAAAATGTTTCTCACTGTGGATCTCCTCACACGTGGCTGCTGGTTCCTCTATCCCGATGGGATGGCCCCCAGGGTTTCAAGCAGCCAAGTGAATCAACATGCTGAGCAAATCACACACTCGAGTGAGCAACGGGGTGCAGGGCAGGGAGAGTGCGTATGACAGCGACCCCACCTGTGGCTGGCAGGTTCGTTCCTCTACCCGGACGGCACACGAGTGCGACGTGACTTTTGAGTCGACTCAAAAGTCACCTCGTATGACAGCGACCCCACCTGTGGCTGGTTCGTTCCTCTGCCCGGACGGCACACGAGTGCACTACAGCTAGGTGGTTTTTGAGACGTCTCAAAAACAACCTCGCTTCACGTGAGACGTCTCAAAAACCACCTCGCTTCACGTGAGACGTCTCAAAAACCACCTCACTTCACGTGAGACGTCTCAAAAACCACCTCGCTTCACGTGAGACGTCTCAAAAACCACCTCGCTTCACGTGAGACGTCTCAAAAGCCACCTCGCTTCACGTGAGACGTCTCAAAAACCACCTCGCTTCACGTGAGACGTCTCAAAAACCACCTGTGGCTGGTTCGTTCCTCTACCCGGACGGCACACGAGTGCCCTACAGCTAGCTAGGTGGTTTTTGAGACGTCTCAAAAACAACCTCACTTCACGTGAGACGTCTCAAAAACAACCTCGCTTCACGTGAGACGTCTCAAAAACCACCTGTGGCTGGTTCGTTCCTCTACCCAGACGGCACACGAGTGCACTACAGCTAGCTAGGTGAAGCAACATTGTAAGAGTCACACATCCATCTGAGCAACACGGCGCAGCTGCGCAGGGATCGCCTTTGCCAATGTCCCTCTGTAAATGTGGCAGGTTCTTCAATCCGGCTTGTCCCAGGGTTCCCAATGGCCAGGTGAATCAGAATGTCAAGAACCCCACATGATCTTTTGCTAACCTTTCCTCCTGATTTCGTCTTATTTTTCCCGTTGCTTGCGTTCAGGGGTTCTGCTGCAGTTGCAGTGGTGGTGACACGTGGAAAGACTCCATTGGTCTGGACAATCCGCAACAGTTCAGGGCTGACCTGGACTGTAGCCTGTGGCGGCAGAGTGAGTGGCTGAGGAAGGGAGGCGTATTTTGCGGGAAAGGGAAAAAGGGAGAGAGATTGAGGGAAGGAGCGGGTGAAGTTTGTAGGGACAATCCAGTAGTTTCCGTTAACACACAGCAGAAGGATTTTCGACTAATTTGGTGTTTCTGCTTCTGTTTCACATCTTGACTCTTCCACCGCCCATCACAGAGCTGTTTTTTGGAGGAGTGCCCTCGAGTTCTCACTGCCTTCGGTTCAATGACACCTGGTCAGTTGTGGCCCTTAGCTTTGTTTTGTTTTGTTTTGTTAATGTTGATGTTGAATTCTGTTCGGTACCTTCTGCTCGCTCAACAAGAAGAGCCGCACGTTTCTATGGTCGCTTGTCCACGTGTTTGCGTGTGCACATTCATCCACAACGGCCCCGTTTGCCTGGCCAGTGAAAAAATGATATCTTGCAATTCACGTGCATTCGTAGACCTTGTGCACATTCACATTCCATTCCACTCCTCTCCTCTCCTCTCCACTCCACTCCACTCCACTCCACTCCACTCCACTCCACTCCACTACCCTCCCCTCCCCTCCCCTCCCCACTGTCCATATCACCCCACCTCACCGCCTTTCTGACGACCAGCACCAAGTACAACATAGCGTGAACTGCCTACACTACTTTCCCGTCTCCCACACTCGTCCTCACCTCCCCACTCCTCTCCACCACTTTCCACACCACCAGGTACCCCACGTACCGCATAGGCGTGGCGTCTCTGGTGTTCCAGATCCAGATCACCATCAGCAAGCTGTTCTCTGACTCGCACGAGCAGGTGCGCTACAGGTGCATACGGGCAGGAGCAGGGTTGACGGGTGATGCTAGAGGTAGAGGTAGAGGCTTGGAGTGGCGTCTCTGGTGTTCCAGATCCGCATCACCATCAGCAAGCTTCTCTCTGACTCGCACGAGCAGGTGCATTGGGGGCAGATGTGTGGGGGCAGATGTGTGGGGGCAGATGTGTGGGAGCGACAGGTGTCGTAGTGGACTGGATACGGCCAGGTGTAGGGGTGAAGGCGCGTTGCAAGAGAGAGAGTCTTGAACCTCTGTCTCTGTTTCAAATCCAGATCCACAACACCATGCTGAAATCACTTTTGAGAATTGAATTCTCGAATGTGATTTCCAGATGCACATCACCATCAGCGAGCTGCTATCCGACTCACACGAGCAGGTGCGTGCATGGGAGAGGTGCTGTGTGGGAGGGTCTTGGGAGCAGGTGCATGGGAGAGGTGCTGTGTGGGAGGGGAGATAAGTGCGTAGAAACAGGTGTGTGTCATTGTGGACTGGACTAGGCACGGTCAGAATTTTTAGGCGCCTCAATTTCTTGAGGCGTTTTTTTAGGCGCCTCAAAAAGGTGTTGTGTGGAAGATTCGTGCGTAGAAACCTGCGGGTGTCATTGTGGACTGGGTACGGCCAGGCTTAATGCGTGAAGGGTGTGATACGTTCTCCTAAGAGTTAGACTGCCTACTCCTTCTCGAATGGTTGACTTCTCCTTTCTCCTTCTCTTTCCTTCTCTCCCACCCCCCCCCTCTCCTCTCCTCTCCCCGCACACACTTTTGAGGCGCCTCAAAAGCCTTCTCTCCCAACCCCCCCCCCTCCTCTCCCCGCACACAGGAAACGCTCATCCTCTCGCCCATGGCCCCAGTCGCAGTCAACCCCTCTCAATCGCTCTCAGCCACTCTGGTGGGGGACTTCCTGACCTACACGCAGCTGCCGAACCTGAGTGATCGCCTTCTGTCCGTGCCCCTTCAGCCAGGATCTCCCACGTTTGGCCGATTCACCTCCGACACGTCAGGTGGGTTGCAAATGGGGTTGAGTGGAAGGGCGCAGGTGATAGCAGGGGGATCGGCGAGGGAAAGGGAGAAAGGGTAGGGGATGGGACTTCCTGACCTACACGCAGCTGCCGAACCTGAGTGACCGCCTGCTCTCCGTGCCCCTGCAACCAGGCTCTCCCACCTTTGGCCGATTCAGCTCCGACACGTCAGGTGGGGTTAGGGTACTTGATACACACCAGGTGAGGGGGGGAGGATAGGGGTGAAAGAATGGGAAATAGCTGATTTCCTGACCTACACGCAGCTGCCTAGCCTGAGTGACCGCCTGCTCTCCGTGCCCCTGCAACCTGGCTCCCCCACCTTTGGTCGATTCAGCTCCGACTCTTCGGGTGGGGTGGGGCCATGTGCCTGTGTCCAAAGAATCTCAGGTATGTCTCACAACTCATCATGCCATTCTCTCTAACATTCCTGCGAAATCCACCTGGATAATTCTCTCTCGAATAATTCTCTCTCGAATAATTCTCCCTTACCTCCTCCTGTCGTCTGAGACTTCAATCTCAACTTTCGCCCAGGCTGGCTGCTAGTGGACAAGGAGCGCTACTCGCTGGACGGCAGCGAGTGAGTGCAACAAGGTGGGCACCAGCTTCAGTGGCCCAAGGATATGCTTGTAGCTCAGCTCAAGAACTTTGACCTGGGCAAAATCCCTGCACCGCGATTCCTGATCCCATCCCCAGGCTGGCTGCTAGTGGACAAGGAACGCTACTCGCTAGGCGGCAGCGAGTGCAACAAGGTGGGCACCAGCTTCAGCGGCCCAAGGTTATACGTATATCTCAGCACAAGAACAAGAACTCTCACCATAGCAACATTCTTGCATCGCGATTCCTCATCTCATCCCCCCGATCCAGGCTGGCTGCTAGTGGACAAGGAGCGCTACTCGCTGGACGGCAGCGAGTGCAACAAGGTGGGCACCAGCTTCAGCGCCTTCCGCTTTGAGCCCGAGCGCTGCCAGCGCTCTGTGGGCTCCTGCCTCTCCAATCAGCTGCTGGATTTCGCCCAGGTCAGTTGGTTATTGAGGCGAACCACAGCAGGAGTCGGTGCCTCAAGGTGCTGGAGTGGACGGCAGCGACTGCAACAAGGTGGGCACCAGCTTCAGCGCCTTCCGCTTTGAGCCCGACCGCTGCCAGCGCTCTGTGGGCTCCTGCCTCTCCAATCAGCTGCTGGACTTCGCCCAGGTCAGTTGTTAGAGAATGGCAGGTTCGAGGTTCAAATCTCAACACTGCATCATCGAATACACCATTGCCAGTGCTCCGTGGGGCTCCTGCCTCTCCAACCAGCTGCTGGACTTCGCCCAGGTCAGTTGATGCTCGGCTGATGCTCCCCACAGGTCGATTGGATGGGTGGTTTATGGTCTGAATCTGATCGGTTACCAGCATTTCAATTGTTTTTTTTAACCATTAGCCCAGCGAGGTCTGTTGGGTTAAGCCAGGAACGCTGTCAATGAGGCAGGAACGCTGGCAATGAGGCAGGAACGCTGGCAATGAGGCAGGAACGCTGGCAATGAGGCAGGAACGCTGGCAATGAGGCAGGAACGCTGGCAATGAGGCAGGAACGCTGGCAATGAGGCAGGAACGCTGGCAATGAGGCAGGAACGCTGGCAATGAGGCAGGAACGCTGGCAATGAGGCAGGAACGCTGGCAATGAGGCAGGAACGCTGGCAATGAGGCAGGAACGCTGGCAATGAGGCAGGAACGCTGGCAATGAGGCAGGAACGCTGGCACTAAGGCAGGAACGCTTCCAGCGGGTGGCTCAATACCTTAGGCCATGCAGGGTCTATTGGGTTCTCATTTCAGTAGGGATGACTCATGAGATAAGATAAGAGTCATCTCAATCCTTACTTTCTAACCCCTCCTCTCCTCACCCGTCATCTCGCCACGGCAGGAGGACGCCCAGCGAGTGGCGCAGGGCCTTGACCCCATCCACGCGCTGTCGTCACTGGGACCCATCACCACCCTGGAAAGCGTGAGTGCAGCTCAGAGGGTGCAGGCTTGTTTTGCTTTGCAGGGATTGTCAGGAGTTACTGAGTCGACCCTACAGTCACCCAGAGGTTGGCGCCAGAACAGACGAACGTCCCGCTTTCCCGGGTGGCGCAGGGCCTTGTCATCGCTCGGGCCAATCACCACCCTGGAAAGCGGGACGTTTGTCTGTTTTGACGTCGCCATATGTATAGCCTACTATACGGGGTTTTTTTTTCTTCAAGATATTGCAACACCGGCAAACGCTTTATGCGATTGGTAATTTCGCAGCAGTGTGCCGCCACTATGCTTTTTCCAGCGTACCTGCTTTCTTTCTTTTCCTTCCCTTCGAGATAACCTTTTTTTTATTTCATTTCTTTTTTGTCCAATCGTACCCACTTCTACCACATCCCTTCTCTCTCCCATCCCCATTATAACCCTCCGATTTCTCTGCATTACCCTGGTCGTTACTCAGCCACTCAAGTCTCATGCCCGACGTTGCCTGCCATTCCCTTAATATCCTGATTGAACCCCATTCCACCACACTAAACCGCGTCCCCTCCAGCCCAACGGATCTCTCAGCATCGCTCTGGTCGTGACTCAGCGACTCAACTCCCCCACCACAATATCAATTTCCTACATCTCTTACTCCATCTAAACCCATCTGAATCGGACCACTCCAACCCAGCGGCTTTTTCAGTATCGCTCTGGTGGTGACTCAGCGACTCAATTCCCTCATCACCCTCGAGATTGCTTCCTTTCTTCATGCCCCCATCATCATCCCTTTGCACCGCATTGAACTCCACTATTCTCCAGCCAAACGGCTCCCTCAGCATTGCCCTGGTGGTGACTCAGCGACTCAACTCCCTCATCACAATATCAATTGCCTGCATTCTTTACTCCATCTAAACCTATCTGAACCGCACCCCTTGCAGCCAAACGGCTCTCTGAGCATTGCCCTGGTGGTGACTCAGCGACTCAACTCCCTCATCACTCTCGAGATTGCTGCTGATGACGTCACCTTCATCAAGAACAGGTGGGAGATGATGTCACTCTTCTTTCTCGGAATGCAGTAAAAAGAGAACCGCAGTAAGGCAAGGTAATTGCTTCAAGTCCACCACGTGTTGTTTCTTAAACCAACCACGAGGGCAGGGTTGCCAACAACGGCTCTCTCTTTTCCTCTCCTCCCTCGTCTTCCTGTCACAGGAGCCCCGGTCGCATAGTGTCTGTGGCGGCGCCTCTGTTTGAAGCCATGTCCAGCGAGGGGCGGGTGGACATCAAGGTTACCAACAACGGCTCTCTGGATGCGGATTTCACCCTCACGGTACATTCACACATCAGGTGCTTACAATGCGCACTGGCACTGTGAGGTCTGTCTCAGTGTGAATTCGCCCTCAGTCCACACAATCCACGCACAGAATGCACCATATTTGATAAAAAATATCTGCTGTCTGTATGCCACCAGTCCCTTCTCACCCCAATCGCCTTCACTTTTTCACACCTCCCTCTTATCCTTTCCTTCTTTCATACTCCCCTCCTCGTACTCCTTTGCTTGCAGATTCAGAATTGCTCCTCGGGGGTTCTCCCAATACCAGTGAGTTCTTCTCTTCGTCAGTCCTTCTCTTCTCTCCCCTTGCCCTTCTCTTGTCCACTTCCTTTTCATTTTCCTATGCGCTCCCCTTTCCTCTTGAATCTTCCCCAACTTGCTTGTTTGCCAATATCATTCGTCTTCCTCCCCCTCCCACCAGGCACAGGAGCGCAGCATAGCAGCAGGAGCAACAACCAGCTTCACCTTTCTGCTGCAACTCCAAGATTCCCTTGCCTCGCAACGCTCCTGCCTTGGTGAGATGCATTTTGAGGCGCCTCTGCAGTTACCCCTCACTCATAGTGTGTCTTTTAAGGGTTTTTTTTTTAACTGACAGTGTGTCTTTTTCGACTCAGCAGCGGGCTTCACCTTTCTGCTGCAGCTGCAGGAATGTTTTGCTTCCCAGCGCTCATATCTTGGCAGGAGGCCTCCCAGCAATACAACATGCACCATGCACTGTGTTGTGACCCATGCACCATGCGCTGGGACCCATGCACCATGCATCACATCTCCTTCCCTCCTCCTCCCCCATCCCTCGTCCAGTGGTCCTATATGATGCCATCTCATCGGTCGCTGACGTGGCGCCCCTCGCATTCACCACCAATGCCACGGTGGACAACCGGGGAGCGCAGAGTGGGCAGTCGGATGGCAAGGCCATCCAGAACACAACACTCTTCTCCCCACGCCCTGGCTCGTCGTCCTCCTCCTCTTCCTCGTCGCGTTCAAGTGACAATTCATGCAGGTGAGGCACTCATGGTTGGAGCAGTTGCCTTATCATGGTGGACAACCACAGGGTGCAGAGCGGGCAGTCAGACGGCAAGGTCATCCAGAACACAACGCTCTTCTCCCCTCGCCCTGGCTCCTCCTCCTCCTCCTCCTCCTCTTCCTCGTCCAATTTGAGTTCAAGTGACAGCTCGTGCAGGTGGGTCAGAAGCTTGTGTTTTGCCAGCTCACAGACAGATGGAACAGACAGACGGAGCGGGCAGACAGACGGCTAGACTATCCGCAACACAACACAACCCTTTTTTCTCCTCCGCATTTTCAGAAAGGCCTGCTTCGTCACTCACGCTTTCTGCCACCGCTTCCTATTCCCTGTGCCTCTCTACGCACTCCGTCCTTCCTTTTTCCCTTCCTCCACACACCAGTTTCGGCTGTCCATCATTCTTCAGCATGGCCTGCTAGGTCACTCATGCCTGCTGGGGTCACTCATGCCTGCTGGGGTCACTCATGCCTGCTGGGGTCACTCATGCCTGCTGGGGTCACTACCAACCCGCTGTGCCTTTCCATATACCCTCTCCTTCTGCTTATCCCTCTATCCATACAGCCTCGCCTGTCCGTCATTCTTCGGCATGGTCTGCTTCGTCACTCATGCCTGCTGGGGTCGCTTCCCATCCCCTGTGCCCTTTCGCACACCCTCTCCTTTTTTTTCATATCCCTTCCTTCCAAACAGCTTCTCCTGTCCGTCATTCTTTGGAATGGCCCACTTCGCCACTCATGCCTGCTGCTGGGGTCGTTTCCTCTTACACCCTCTCAACCTTCTTCGCACACCCTGTCTTTCCCATCCAATCAGCTTCTCCTGCCCGTCATTCTTCGGCATGGCCTGCTTCGTCACGCATGCCTGCTGGGGTCGTTTCGCCGGAGCCATAGCAGTCATGCTCATCATCCTCGCAGGTATGCTTGTGCAAGCTGGAGCCTGCCTTCCTCATTTGTAGGTTGGGACCGTTCGACGTGTTTGAGTTGAGACTTTATGACATTTTGCAGCCATTGCTGTCATCCTCATCATCCTCGCAGGTAAGCTTGTGTAAGATGTTTGTCATCCTCACTCTCCCCTTCTTCCTCCTGCACTCCGGTTTTGAGACGTTTCAAAACTTTTGAGACGTCTCTCGTTGCAGGTAAGCTTGTGTAAGACGTTTGTCGTCCTCACTCTCCCCTTCTCCCTCCTGCACTCCACATTCAAAGCTCTCCACCTAAGCTTGTCTTGTGAACCCTCAATCTTGTCATACCTTCGCCCAACCCCCATCTGCCCCCATTCACCCAGCTCTCATCACCTTGGCCCTGCTTCATCGCTCCGGTGTGCTCCTCCCCGCCCTCGCCCTCCCCTTCTCCCTCCTCCACTCCGCTCTCAAGGCCCTCCCCCCTCCTCCGTCCGCCTCACCCTCTCTTCTTCCCACGGATCCTGCTGCTGCTGGGGAAGGAGGGGCGCAAGGGAATGGGGTGGGGGGAACGCATGAGAGTGGGGCAATTTGGGCCACTCCTGGTGGTGGGTATGCAGAGGGTATGGGTAAAGGGAAGAAGGTGAGGAAATGGAAAGGGAAAGGAAAGATGGAGGAGGAAGCGGACGGGGAGGTGGAGGAGGGTGGGATGGAGGATGGAGGGGAGGGAAGTGGGGGAGATATGGGGGGGAGGCGGTACGGCAATAGTGTGTGTATATTTGTGGATGGTGGAAGGAGAGGGTCCACATTGGCTGTTGGACCGGGAATGGATGAGGTTCCTGGTTCCGGGCTCCACAGCCCTTCGGCTATCCACTGTGCATCATCGACATCTGCACCGTCCACGTCAGCACCATCAACATCTGCTGCACTGGCCACATCGGCACCAACATCATCATCATCATCATCATCATCATCATCATCATCATCATCATCATCATCATCATCATCATCATCATCATCATCATCATCATCATCATCATCATCATCATCATCATCATCATCATCATCATCATCATCATCATCATCATCATCATCATCATCATCATCATCATCATCATCATCATCATCATCATCATCATCATCATCATCATCATCATCTTGAAAATCATCCTCGTCCCATGGTCAACCTACCATCAATGTGCAAAACTACGCAAAAACCATGCAAACTACGCAAAAACCACGCAAACTACGGTATGCAAAAACCATTCAAACTACTACCGCACCGTAAATAAATACTGTTTTCGTGCCTGCAGTTGACATCGAATTCTCTCACAGTTCCTCATGGAGATGTCTTATTGTCTACCCTAAGTTAGGGACCAGTGCATTGCTCGTGTAGGACAATATCATAGCTATTACAGGATATATGACTAGTACAGTTGTGGAAACATCGCCCCTTCCTCTCTTTATCGCGGATTGGACTGCTTGCCAAATCTATTGGGCATCCTCCAGTTTGGCTCGTTTCTCGAGCTTATCATTTCCAGGCGAGATATATTTTTGAAACTCCACTCAAGAACTCCATCCTCGAGCTTGTCTCGTTTCGCATATTTGGGAATCTCGTCGCGTTTCGCCTTCACCTCATCGAGTTTTGGGTTGGGACATCTCGAAACTCGTTTTGGGGCTCCCTATTCGAGGTTTCTACCACCATACCCATCCACGTCCTATCACTGGCACTTCAGCTTTTGTTGTCCTCAGGCTATGAAAATGCCTGGAATTCTCTGGTTGCTTGGATCATGCTTCCATTGTGACCTGTAACCGGAGTCTACGATCACCCTGATTCGGATCGCTTCGCCTCTTTGGCGAGAGGAAAGAAACGACAACCGCGTCGCGTCCTCCTCTCCAAGCCTGAGCAAAGATGAAAAGAATCCACTAGGTAGAGTCATCTGCATCCCTGAACAAAGCTTTTAAGTATCCAGCTTCCTCTATGCTCACGCCCTCCCGCTCCTGTCACCTCGCGCTATAGTCACAATGCGCAAGCTACGTGTCCTGATCGTGGGAGCCGGTATCGGCGGCTGCACGCTCTCCCTCGCGCTCCGCCAGATCACCGCGCGCACGCTCCCCGCCATCCTCCAACGCGCTTCTACACCCGCCGCCTCCTCCTCCGCTACAGCCGCCGCTGCCGGCTCCGCCGCGCCCTTACCCCCCGCGTCGCCCGCCGAGTCGCTGTTTGAGGCGACGGTGTTCGAGCAGGCGCCACAGATCCAGGCGGTCGGCGCGGGGCTGTCTCTGGGAGCCAATGGGCTGCGGGTTTTGGACGGACTCGGGCTGTATGAGAAGATCCAGGTGAGGAGAATATAGCCAAGGGAGGTAGATCTGGGAGAGGGAGAACTGGGGGAGGTGTAACAGAGAGGCTCTTGGCGCGGGGCTGTCGCTGTGCGCCAATGGGCTTCGCGTGTTGGACGGATTGGGCTGTATGAGAAGCTCCAGGTGAGGGAAACAGTGGCTGGGAAAGGTAGGAAGTGGGGGTGGTGGACCTAGGAGAGGGGAGGTGGATCTGGGGGAGGTGGATCTAGGGGAGTTGGATCTGGGGGAGGTAAATCTGGGGGAGGTGAATCTGGGGGAGGTGAATCTGGGGGAGATGGATCAAATGGGGCCAATGGGCTGCGCGTGTTGGACGAACTCGGGCTGTATGAGAAGATCCAGGTGAGGGATATACAGCGTGGAGGAAGGTAGATCTAGGAGAGGCTGTCAGTGGGAGGCAGTAGGCTGCGCGTGTTGGACGGACTCGGGCTGTATGAGATGAGAAGATTTAGGTGAGGGAAACACAGCGTAGGGGAGGTGTACCTGGTGGAGGTGGAACTGGGGGATTTGGAACTGCAGGTGTTACGTTCCAAACACATCGTAGAGTCTCGATTTCATGGTTACGCTTCAAAATCACCGTTTACGTTCTTAACACGATGTTACATTCTTAACACATTGCCGCTTTCGTTGATACGTCTGCCGTCCCTTCCTGCTCTGCATTTTTTAGGCGCCTCAAAAATTGCCACTTTCATTGATACGTCTCTCGTCCCTTTCCTGCTCTGCAGAACCTGAGTGGGCCCATCTCCTCGCTGCACACATACACGGAAAGTGGCAGGAAGCTTCGCACCTTTGACTATTCATTCATGTCCAAGCGCTACGGCTACCCTATGATGGCACTGGAGCGAGCAGAGCTGCAGGTGAGTCGGAGGAAGAGGCAAACGAAGATTCAGGGGCGATTTCACGGTGCAACATAACCACTTGCACTTGTGAGCTTCGCTCCGTTGACCAATCGTTCATGTCTCAGCACTTCGGCTACCCCATGATGGCATTGGAGCGAGCAGAGCTGCAGAAGGGTGTGTGAAGGATGGTAGTCTCTTGAAAAAACTCAGTAGTGGCCCAAATATAGTGAGCGCGTGTAGGTGAAGGATGGTAGTGTACAAGTCATTCACAGTAGAGCAGAGCTGTGGTGGTTGGAAGGTGATGCGGCTACTCCATGATGGCCCTGGAGCGAGCAGAGCTGCAGGTGGGTGGGGGGGGAGGATGGTAGTGCACGAGTCACGCGATATGGCTAGTGGGTGAGAAGGCGCTATAGCTACCCCATGATGGCCCTGGAGCGAGCAGAGCTGCAGGTGGGTGGGGGGGGAGGATGGTAGTGCACGAGTCACACGATATGGCTATTGGGTGAGAAGGCGCTATAGCTACCCCATGATGGCCCTGAAGCGAGCAGAGCTGCAGGTGGGTGGGTGAAGGATGGTAGTGCACGTTTGAGAATTCTCAAAAGTAACTTATGAAAATTCTTAGAAGTGGGTGGGTGAAGGATGGTAGTGCACAAGTCACAGTGGTTTGGAAGGCAATACGGCTACCCCATGATGGCCCTGGAGCGAGCAGAGCTGCAGGTGGGTGGGGGGGGAGGATGGTAGTGCACGAGTCACACGATATGGCTAGTGGGTTGGAAGGTGATACGGCTACTCCATGATGGCCCTGGAGCGAGCAGAGCTGCAGGTGGGTGGGGGGAGAGGAGAAGGGGAAATGGGGGGTTCAGGATGATAATGCAAAGCTTGCATTCGGTTGGAAGGCCCTTTGACTGTCCCCTGATAACTCTTCCCCCCCCACCACCTGAACTTCTTCCTCCTCTCCACCCTTCCCGACCTCCTTTGCTGCTTCCCGAACCGCTCTCCTTCCCAACCTCCCTGTGCCACGTGGCAGGGCCTGCTGGTGCACGAGGTGATGTCAGGCGCTGAGTCAGCATCCGTGCCGCCCATTCTGTTCAACAAAAAGTGCATCTCCGTGCAGAACCTTGGGCCAGGGAAAGGTACGCCAGCTGTCTGTCATTGAGCGTGACAGGTGTCACTGGGTGTGTGTGCCAGCTGTCAGTCAACCTGTAGGCCTCTGTCCCTTCTTTCCTTCCCCACCACCCACCAGGTGTGCGAGTGCAAATCGAGGATGGCATGTGTGATGTGAGGTGGGGGATGTGGTGGTGGGAGCACTCGTGCCGCAATCTTCTTTACCCGCTCACCTTCCCTCCTCTCCTTCTCTCTCCTCCACCAGGCGTGGGAGTGCAAATCGAGGATGGCACGTGTGAGGTGGGAGATGTGGTGGTGAGAGACCGCTCCACCGTCTCTCTCCACACTCTTGGGGTGTGCGAGACCGCTCAGTGTTCACTGTACCTTCTCTCTTTCCTACTCTCCTTCATCAGAAGTGCGAGTGCATTTCGAGGATGGCATGTGTGAGGTGGGCGATGTGGTGGTCGGAGCACTCTCAACAAACTGCAGATTTCGTACTCTCAAGGGGGCTCACCATTCCTCTGTTTCCGCTTTCCTTCCCCACCACCCACCAGGCGTGCGAGTGCATTTCGAGGATGGCACGTGTAAGGTGGGCGATGTGGTGGTCGGAGCAGATGGGGTGAAATCAGCCGTCCGTTCTGCTGTCATGCCACGTCATGATCCACATGTGAGTGACGCCATGCCACGTCATGAGTGATGTCATTCTACGTCATGATCCACATGTGTGAGTGCTGTCACGTGACGTCACACTCCAGATGTGAATCATGTCATGCCATCTCATCAGCTGCTGTCAGCTGCTGAAACTCTCACTCACGACCACATTCACTCACTCACATGCATCCACACCTTATGCACACACACACTCAATCACTCACTCTCACACACACTCAGCTTAAACACGTCACTCGCTGACCTCATCCCCCTCAATCCCGCCCTCTCTCCCATGACCAACATCCCAGTCGAGGCTCAGCAGCCACTTGCAGAGTAGAAAAGGTTTTGAACCGCAGCAAGTAAAATTACTAATTGGGCGAACTCGTTTTGGCATTTCCCTTCCCCTCTCTCAGGAATCTCCCGCATCCGCGGAGTCACTTCCCCCATCCCTGACTGACTCCCTGGAACAACTTCAAAATAGCACCATGCCTCTTTCCCCCCACCCCCCACCCTCTCATAGGACCGGAAGCCAAGCCGTGGCTCAGCTGCCTACAGCGGAATCTCCTGCATCCTCGGAGTCACCTCCTCAGTTCCCGACTGGCTTAAAGGCAGCGCCTACTGGGTTCTCGGGCCAGGCAAGGTCTATGGCACATGGAGCATGGGTCGAGACAAGCAGTACTGGTTCCTATCGGAACAGGAGCTGATTACTGCGGATAACCTCGCTATGTGGACACCGAGTGACGCTTTAAAGGGGATGGACGACATGTGGAACTGGTTTCATCCGTACGATGCTCATGCGATGTTTTCCCGGACCGTTCGGGCAGTTAAAATTGGGTTTTTCGAGCTGCCTGCGGACGCGCCGTGGGTGGGGGGAGCGCCGAGTGTGGGAGGAGGGGGAGGGGGGAAGGTGGAGGGGCGGGTAGTGGTTGGAGGGGAGAACAGAGTGGTTCTGTTGGGTGATGCGGCTCATGCGATGCTGCCGACAGTGAATCAGGGGGCAAACAGCGCAATAGAAGATGCTGCAGTGTTGGCCCGGGCTTTAACAAAGTACTGCGTTGCTCCAACCATGCAACACAGCAGAAGCAGCGACAGCAGCAGCACTGGAAGCAGCAGCGATAGCAGCAGTGAGGGCAGCACAGAAGGTACTACCAGCAGCAGCAGTCCCAGTGCGGTCTACAACTGGCAGAATGAGGCAGCAGCAGCAGTGCCCACGGCACTTGCAGCGTACGCAGCAGCGAGGGAGACGCGGGTGAGGCGCATGATTGCAGTGTCCCGGCGCACAGGGCAGTGGCAGACGAGCTATAACCCGCTCGTGCAGCGCTTGCAGCAGGGTTTATTGCAGTTCACGCCTCAAGGTGCTATGGAAAGATCTATGGACTGGATGTACAAGTACAGAGGGCCGGAGGGCATGTCGTGGTGACTGGGAAGCAAGGGTTGCAGTTTGGTGCACAGGGCACAGGGCACAGGGCAGTGGCTGACGAGCTATAACCCGCTGGTGCAGCGCTTGCAGCAGGGGCTGTTGCGATTTACACCACAGGCTGCTATGGAGCGGTCTATGGACTGGATGTACAAGTGTAGAGGGCCGGAGCCTGGTAGGGTGGCAGTGGGAGGAGGGGTTTGTGGATAGGGAAGTGGCGAGCTACAACCTGCTCGTGCAGCGCTTGCAACAGGCACTGATGCAGTTCACCCGCAGGCTGCCATGGAGCGATCGATGGCAGCCTGCGGGGTGAACTGCATCAGTGCCTGTTGAAAAACCTGATCGATGCACTGGATGGTAGAACGAGCTGAGGTTGATTGTGCGGTTTCAGAAGGCCGGAAGGGGTGTCGTGGAGAAAAAGGGAGAGCTGGTTGAATAAGGGTGGAAGCACAAGCACAGAAGGCCCAGACGAGATTTATGGTAGGATGCATGGACTAGGAGCGAAAGTACGGTAAATGAGTGCTGGAGGGGACGCCTCGGCAATCAAGGGGACACTCTACAAGTAGAACAGGATGAAGTTGACTGTAAAGAAAGTGTGCCAGCAAGCGGTAACATGTGGGTATTGGAAAATAGGACTAGGTAATTGTCACAATGTGTGTTGCTTAACTAGAGTAACATTTACAAGTTTAAAGGCTGGAGTCCTAAAAGCCATGATGTAAGTTCTTAGCCTGAAGTTGGGTCTTCGAACTGTTGAAACAAGATAAGGGTGCTTGCGGTTTGTTCGACCAATTTATTTAGGAAAGACACCCCACAAGCGGGTACAATTGGGTGACTAGCCCCGATGCGCGCTCCACGTCCACATATGGACACGAGTGAGGGGCCACGAATCTCGCAGGGCCAGGAAGGGATTTCGCCAGAGTGCGTTTTGCGTCGCCGCCTGTTTTTTCGCGAACCTTTAGTTCGTGCGGTGATTTGGCAGGAACGGTTCGATGAAACGAGCGGTGCAGTGCGGTGTCATTGACAATCCCAAGGTCTCCATGCAGAGTTTGATTTGAATGCCTCGAGGTTGGATTGGGCTGTGATCATGATCATGCGTCCTGCAGAACGCAGCCGTGATGCTGCTCAACTGATGATCCTCCTCACGCTTCTTGTAGTCAACCTTTTCTAGCTTTCAGTCTCATTAGTCTAGCTTGTTTGCAATGTAGCTTTGAAGCTAAGACAGACTTATCTAGCTGAACAGCCGTTAGACTCTTGTTAGTCCCTCGTTTCAAGATGCCGGCCGGATCGCCTATCCAACGGCTACCGGAGGAGCTGCTGTCTCAGATTCTGTGCTCTCTGGTTCGACCTGATGGTCAGCTGGAGCACGCGCGTGTTAGCCAGCAATGGCGTCACATCGCGTACCGCTTGCAACCAGAAATCTACTTGCCTTACAACCTCCTTATGGATCCGCGTCAGTTCGTTCAACTTCTGTCGTCGTATTCTAACCTCAAAAAAATCGTTCTTTCTGATGCCAGCCTCACCTCAGCGTCGAATTTCCTATTCTCTCGCCTGGCCGACTTGTGTCCTCGTTTAGCCGAGCTTAGTGTCGAACGGATGGGGCGTGGATACAGACGCACAGGCGTAAGCGAGAAGAGCCTGACGTTTCTCTTCGAGAGCTGTACTATGCTCGAAGATCTCCATTTGGAGTGTTCACTCAATGCTGCCATTCCTCCGTCGATCGAACGGCTCACATTGCTCAAGAACCTGCATCTCGACGCAAGCGTCACGCGTCTACCCGACACAATGACCTCGCTGCAGTCTCTCAGAACCCTCGTTCTGCACGCTTCCCGTCTCGAGGCCTTACCACAGGAATTCGGCAATCTGGTTCTCTTAGCGTCGCTCGAGCTGCACGGTTGCCGCTCCCTGGCGTCGTTTCCAGACTCCTTCAGTCAGCTTTTTAATCTGGGCCGTCTCTCCGTCAGCAACTCTTCCAGGTTGCAGCTGCCGGCCTCTCTCACCGGACTCTCGTCTCTCACTGCCTTGGAGCTTCGAGATTGCGAGTTTTCCCTCCCGCCACCCGTCGATTTTCCTCAACTGTCGAGGCTCGAAACTCTCATCATGGAAGAAGTAACGGGACTGCACGAACTTATCGAGGCTCTGGAGCATCTACGGCGGCTCAAGACTGTAATTTTGAAAAACTGCATCGAAATCACGTCTCTGCCGGAGTCGCTTTTCCGCCTGCCTTCACTCACCAGTCTCGCTCTTCACATGTCAGAAGTATCAGCTCTGCCTGACGATATTGGGCGCTTGTCCAAGCTACAGACACTCGTGCTGGAGTTGGAAGAACTCATAACTCTTCCTGATTCCATCACTCTGGTTACCACGCTCCAAGAGCTCTCTCTCGAAAACCTTTTCCACCTGTCGTCACTGCCCGAGGACTTCGGGCAGCTGATTGCTCTTCAAAAGCTGCACCTGATCAACCTTGGCCAGCTCACAGGCCTGCCTGATTCCATCGGGCAGTTGACAACTCTCCGGGAGCTCAAAGTCGTTGATTGTAGGCAGCTGAAGCAACTTCCTGACACCCTATCCCGGTTATCTTCTCTCGAGCACCTGACGATCGAGAGTTGTCCGGGCCTCAAGGTGCTGCCAGACGAAATGGGGAGCGGTATGAAGCGGTTGCGCTATCTACATCTGGTGCACTGCTCTTCTCTCACCCACCTTCCTCCGTCTTTCTCCGCCCTGACGTCCCTCGAAACCCTCAAGATCATGCGAGCTAAGCGCTTCAGAGGCGCCCTATTGGACGGCTTTTGCTGCCTGACAAGCCTTAAGGAGTTGGTGCTGCAAGACATGCCTCGCCTGGCTGCCCTTCCTGCTTCCTTCTCAGGCGTTTTCTCACTCACCAGCCTGGAGATTATCAATTGCCCTAAAGTACCGGATTTTCCTGAGGGGATCGGACGGCTGGAGGCGCTCGAGGAGGTCAGAATCGCACGGATGGACGGCTTGAAGCGTCTTCCTGCGTCGCTGGTTGAGCTGCCCCGAGTTCGGGTGTTGGAGGTGCGGGTATGTGATGGGATCGGCGCGTTGCTAGGGGATGAGATAGTGCTGAAACGCACTGCCAAAGGATCTTCGGTGATCTTCAACAGCACCGCCAGCAGCAGCAGCAGCAGCAGCGGCACCATCTGCAGGAAACTTCTTCCATCCGTTCGAAGCCTCAAGATTAAGTCTCTCCCTTTCTTAACCATCGGCCCGTCCCTTGGCCAGCTCTCCTCTCTAACGAAGCTGAAGCTGATAGAAATGGACAACCTAATAGCCCTTCCTGAATCCATCTCTCGACTCTCACAGCTGAAAAAGCTCCGGATCGATTTTGCCTTGAAAATTGAGGCACTGCCGCACAGTTTGGGAGGGCTGTCAGGGCTGCGGGTCTTGCAACTGCGCTACTTGGCGATACGGGAGCTGCCCGAGTCTTTGGGGCAGCTGAAAATGCTCGAGACACTGGAAATTATTGACTGTGACAAGCTGAAGAAACTTCCGGGATCCTTTGGGAAACTGTCCAAATTACAAGTCTGTATCTTCACCAAGCTTGCGATCTCAACATTTCCAGGGAATTTCTGGAAGCTTTCTTCCCTCCAAGAGTTGGTGCTCCTGGGTCTGAAGCATGTCCGCAGCTTGCCAGAGTCGTTCTCTAGGCTGCCTAAGCTACAGGTGCTGGTGGTGTGTGCGTGCCAAAAGCTGGCTCACCTGCCGTCTTCTCTCTGGGGAATGCCGACATTGCGTGAGTACGACGTTAGCGAATGCCCTTTGCTTTCACGGGCAGACAGGAGGGGGTTTCGTGCAAGGGCGGGCGAGGAGGATGATGAGGAAGAAGAGGAAGAGGGAGTGGCGGTTGGTGAAGGAGAGGAGGAGGGAGGAGAGGAGGAGGAGGCCGAGGGAGAGGAGGGAACAGAAGTGGCGGTGGAAGGGGAAGAGGCGGAGAGGGAGGCAGAGGAGGAGGATGCAGAGAGTGATGGTGAGGACTGGAATATCCACCATGAGTATGGGTTTGACAGTGAAGATGATAGGGATGATGATTATGGAGGCTGGGGGGCAAGCGATGAGGATGAGGAGTAACCTATTGTTTGAGGCGCCTCAAATATGAGGACTGGGGGATTCACCATGAGTATGGGTTGGACATTGAAGATGATAGGGATGATGATGATGATGGAGGCTGATGAGGATGACGAGGAGTAACCCGTTCTTTGTGGTGCCTCAAAAGGGAGGACTGGATTATTCACCATGAGTATGGGTTGGACAGTGAAAATGACAGGGACGACGACGGAAGCTGGGGGGCGAACGATGAGGATGAGGAGGAAGTGGCGGAGAGGATGTGAGGACTGGAAGAACGGAGAGCAGGTTGTACGGTAATGGTCGGATTGGAAGTTTCATATGGAGGATGGGTTGGAACTTGGAATGGAAACTTTTATGTTTTCTTAGCCACGGTGTAGTTGCAATTTTGGTACCATAGCTCCTTCTAGTTCTAGTTGGCTTGCAGCGTGCATGTTGCTACACACCCCAGAGGCACCCATCTGTTGTCTAGGTGTTTTGCAAGCTATGCCCTGCTTCCTTTTCTACTACTTTAAACACACTATTAAGGTACTGCACTTGCACCACAGAACAAGGTTGTCCTAAAAATGTTGCAAATTTCTCAAACTGTAGGTGTACAAGTGCACTGTACAGGTAAAGGTTGTTGGGCTGAGTGCCCCTTAGGATCTTTGGTAGGGTTAAACTCTGGGTAGAGTGATGTAGTAGCGGAAGCGTTTAAATGAAGTCCTTGAACCACCTTGCGCTGGTATGTGATGGCAAAGTAAGTTGATTAAAACAAGCAAGTACAAAGGTTTATATAAGAGTACAAAGAATACGAAGAGATATAATTAAACTGTTGCGGTTCGATACAGTGCGACTCGGGCAACTGCTCAATGTCGAGTCAGTTGTGTGTCCTTGCTGTCGCGCTGCATTTGTCAAGTCAAAGGTCGCTGACCTTTGACTTTCGCGTAACCTCCAGCGGTTACTTCAATCTCCGAGAGTTGACTCGCTGGTGCCTCGATATGCTATGCTTCGCTTGTGCCTTGGTGTTTCGACACGACAGAGGCGCTTAAGATTGTTTGTTCCCAACACTCCCCTTCGCTTCTGGAGTGTCGCTGCTAGTGACGTGGCTTTGTCCAATCAGCAGCATGCAGTACTCGAACTTCTGTTTTTCGAGCTTCTTGGTCAAGTAGTCAGCTGCCATCTCGGACGTGGGACAGTAGGATAGTTCAAGTCTCCCCTTCTCAATCTCGTCTTTCACGAAGAAATATCGCAGAGCGATATGCTTCGTTCTGTTCGCGAATCCATTTTTGTTGGCGATGCGAATTGCAGATTGGTTGTCGCAGAACAGAGTGAAGTTGGGTAACTCGGCTAACTTCGCTTCTTCCAGCAGCTCGCGAAGATAGAGTCCTTCCTTGGTGGCTGAGCAGAGTGCAATATATTCTGCTTCAGCTAACGAGAGAGCAATTAATTCCTGCTTGCTCGATTGCCAGGAGATCGGTCCGATAGGTTCGAGGCGGTAGATGTAGCCGGTGCGGGAGCGCCTGTTGTCTGAGTCGCCAGCGTGATCAGCGTCGACGTAGCCGATTAATTTAGTCGGTGTAGTTGTGTTCTTGTAGTAAGTTAGGCCGATTGTTGAGGTTCTGACGAAGTAGTGGAGAGCGTGGTCGAGCTCCGCCAGGTGTTCTGCTTCAGGCTTCTTGAGGTAGGTAGCGAGCTGGCTTGCGGAGTATGAGAGGTCGGGGCGGCAGGTGACAGCTGCGAAGAGAAGGCATCCTAGCTTTCTCTGGTAGTCGCGTATCCCGGCGGATTTGAGTAGAGAGGATCCTTCCTTGTGGTTTCCTGTCGCGTAGCGGTAGGGCGTAGAGATGGTGGTAGGTGTGAGCGCGAAGCGTTTGGCGATGGTGTCGGCGTACTTAGCGGCGTTGAGGTAGATCGCGCCTTCTTCTTCCCGAATGTTTAAGCCGAGGTACCGTGTGACGGTAGAGGAGACCGTGAGTGTGAGGTCCCTCTGTAGCTCCCCTTCGAACCAGGTGGTGATGTCGTCAGTGAAGCCGATGTAGAGTAGGTCGTCTACGTAGACGATCAGCAGAATGTAGCCGGTGTCTTTAGTGAGTCGGTACATTCCTTGGTCGTGAGGTAGTTGGCGGAATCCGATGCGAATGAGGCGAGCGTGTAGGTACTGTTGCCATAGCCGCGGAGCTTGCTTGATCCCGTAAAGTGATTTCAGCAGTTGACAGACTTGGTTAGGTTCCCCGTTGGTACCGTGTGGGAGCTCGACGAAGATTTCCGCGTCGATAGGTGCGTAGAGGAACGCGTTGGCGACATCGATTTGCCGTAGCTTCCTTTTCTTCATGGCGGCGATCGCGAGGAGGATTCGAAGTGAGGTATGTCGGCTAACCGGGGCGAATGTCTCGGTGAAGTCCCGTCCGTGCTCCTGATCGAATCCACGCACAACCCAGCGTGCTTTGAACTTCTCAATTGTGCCGTCTGCTTTTGTTTTAACGTGGAAGACCCATTTCCCGGTGAGAATGGTCTTGTTCCTTGCCACACTGATGGGGACAAATTTCCAGGTGTTCCGTTCCTCCAGCGCCTTTAACTCTCTGTCCATGGCTTCACGCCATTTTTCCCTGTGTTCCCCCCCCAGAGCCTGCTGAACCGCCGCAGGCTCCTTAGGGAGAGTGTTGCCGTGGACTGCGGTGACGAGTCTGAGAATCTGCAGTCCAGTCTGTGAGTAGCGGGGAAGAGTTGCATCCTCGAGATAAGCTGCTTCATCTCCCGCTTCTGGATCAGGTATGAAATTCGGTCCTACTTGTTCTGCTTCGTTGGTGTTTACTGTCGCAGGTGTTACGTAACCGTTGTCGGCGAAGTAGTAGAAGGTTTCGGCGTTGAGACTTTCGCGAGGGTTATCTTCGTCCATGGGGACGTCGACGGAGCAGAACGGAAGGGGTCCAACTTCTTCTGATGCGTTGGCCACATTCTGCTCGTCCCAGTCAGCTTCGTCTGCTGCCGAGGCGAAGGCTCGATCACCACGAAAACCACCTGTGGGATCTTGGTCCTCTTGCAGGTTGGCAAGGTATGTCTGGAGCGTGAGTCGTTCGTAGAAAATGACATCGCGTGCTGCTACTGTTTCCTTGGAGTGGACGTCAAAGATTTTCCACGCGTTGTAGTTCTTTTCGATGCCGAGGTGTAGTCCCCACTGTGCGCGTTGTGAAAATCGGCCCGCTCATGCTGCTGGGGGTCGGTACTGTACCATGCATTTGTCAGAATCCCAACCACTAGACCATTGGGAAAAAAGGGCTTGTTTCAGTAGCGGGTCAGTGCGCCCATAACCCCCCACGCAAACGCGCCTGTAACCCCCCCTAGGATCGATCGGGGATCTCACAGTGTAGCTCTACTGACACCCCCCCACACTGGGAGGCCCAGGACTGAGCACAGTGGCAACGGCCAACATGTGCATACACCGGGATTCGAACCCGAGACCGCTCTGATACCATGTCAGAATCCCAACCACTAGACCATTGGGATAAAAGGGCTTGTTTCAGTAGCGGGTCAGTGCGCCCATAACCCCCCAGTCAAACGCGCCTGTAACCCCCCCTAGGATCGATCGGGGATCTCACAGTGTAGCTCTACTGACAGCATTCGAACACTCGTAACATTTTTGTGCTGCCCTGCTTTCCTGTCCACAGCAGATGCGGTGATGCGTTGTTCGGTAGTGATGAAGATGAGAGCAAGTTGTGCAGCATGACAGCGTGGTCCATCGCGTCAGGCCACTTGTGGTTGGGTAGCCGCATGCCACGCAACAGTTTGCGCATGCTGTTTTGCAGAGTTCTGTTCATTCTTTCTGCTACACCTTGCTGCTGATGGGCGTAGGGAAGAGAGAGGAGCTGCTTGATTCCCCTTTCCGCCAGGTACTGCTTGAATCGCTGAGAGGTGTATTCTCCTCCTCCGTCAGACTGGAAGCTTTTCAGCTTTACGCCCGACTCTCTTTCTGCTACTGGTAGCCAAGCAGCGAATGCTTCGAGGACCATGTCGCGGCTGGGTAGGTTTAGATGCCAGACGTAACGGGTGGTGGCGTCGATGAAGGTGATTATGTAGTTGTATATTACTTGTCCTGGTTCCTGATTGTACAGGATGTCGCTATACACCTTTTCGAGTGGTGCGTACGCGGGTGCGCTCGGGTTGTGATGAGGAGTGAACGGCCGATGTGGTAAGTCGGCTTTGGGGCAGGTAAGACATGTTCCTCGTGCCAGTTGAAGTTCTCTGCCGTCGAGTAGTAGTAACGAGTCCTTGTCAAGGACTCCTGCTCTTATTGTGTTGTTTAACACAGTGTTGCTTGGGTGTCCCATGCGTGCGTGCCAGATGTCTTCGGAGACGCGGTGTCCGGGTGAGCGTCGATACGCGTCAGAGTTGGAGTAGAAGCTGGCGGTGAAGTTTGCGCTTCTATGGACTTCCCGTTGAGCCGGATTCAGCTGTTGTGCGGGTGTTGGTGGTGCTTCGTCAACGAGGACTGGTGTCGTTGTTGCTGCTACTGCTGTTGTTCCTGCTATTGCCGATGATGTCTCTGCTGCTGCCGATGTTGTCTCTGCTGCTGCCGATGTTGTCTCTGCTGCTGCCGATGTTGTCTCTGCTGCTGCCGAATGTTGTATTGTTACTAACACACGTGCTCGTTCTGCTTCAGTAATGGTATGTGAATACCAAAAGCCTTCCGGACTGAAGTCGGTGTCGAGATCCGGCGGGTGGGTTTAAGATGTGAAGGTGATGATCCCGTCACTGTCTGCGGTGCCCAGGTCTGGGACGAAATCGAGAACGAAGACATTGTTCTTCAGGACCGCCTTTCCGATGTAGAGGCCGCCCTTCCCGTGGTACAGCTTGAACTCCTGGGTGGTACTTTCGGCTTCCAGATGTATGCCTTTCGCCATCAACTGACTGACGCTCAGTAAGTTGTAGCCAAGTCCTTCTGCTATTAAGAATTTGGACATTTGCAGTATGACATTCGTCTCTCGTGACTGAAGTTGCACTACTCCTTGTCGTCGTGTGCGCAGGTTCTGATTATTGGCGACAGTGATGACGACTTCTCGTTGAATTTGGTGCTCGCGTTGAACGAAACGTCCTGAAGAGCACATATGTTGTCCGCAGCAACTGTCCAAGAACCATGTATCCTTCCCGGACGGCTCGCTTTGAGCGATGGCGGCGTACGTCGGGTTCGGTTGAAGTGACTCGCGGCGAGGCGTGCAGTTGTCGAGTTGTTCTTCTGGTGAGTAATATGGTGGTGACTCAGTTACGCAGGAGTCACTCAGCCTTGCCATGCAGCTGACGATGTTTCTTGTTCTTTTCGCAGGTTGTCCCGTCGATGTTGTTGAGACTTGTACTGAAGTTGTCGGATTTGCTTGCGTTGAGGCGACTTGACTGCTTGAAGGGCGAAGTTGGCGTTGCGGCGATGTTGACTGTTGTGGATTCGGGCAGTGCGTACGAGGATGCCCCGAAGTCTTGCAGAGGTGGCAGAACGGAGGTACGATTTTCGGTCGATTGTTGTTGTTGTTGTGGCGCCGTTGAGTGTGAAACGCGAATTCGGGCACTGATACCTTTCTCTTGTGTCGTTCTTCTTGCAGGTCCATGTCTTGCTGCTCGGCGTGGATTTCGGCGCAAAGTGCTGCTTCAGAAATTTTCCCGTGGGCTCGTAGTATGGCGCGAGTGGAGCGCCAGTGAGGACCAAGACCGCCGATGACAACCGTGACGAAGGCGTCCTCTGAAATCGATCCTCCACATCGAAGAAGCTTGTCGCGCAGCTTGCGGCAGCGACTGATATACGCCATTCCCTTCTCGCCTGGTTTCATTTCGATTGTTGTCAGCTGCGCCATTAACCGACTTTGGTTTACGCTGTCTGTTGCTTGATACAGGCTCTTCAAGTGATTGTACGCGAGCTCCGCGGAGTTGCCGTAGCCTCGGTAAGACCGTATGTTTTGTTGTTCAGTTGGAGTGATGTTCCTCAGTAGTATCGTGTACGCCATCATCGATTGATAGTTGTACTGCTGCTTCTCATACTGTGTGTCGTTTGTTGGGTATGGCAGGGACCCGTCGAAGAAGCCAAGGATTTGCACTCCTTCCATCATCAGCTCGAATTCGAACGACCAGGTAAAGAAATCCTTCCCGTCGAAGGGTTTTGTCGTTTGCAGTTTTAGAACGTGCGCGAACTGCGACTGAACTTGTAGTGCGTCCAGCGTGTGGAAGTTTAGAAGAAAAGAAGAGGGGTTGGACTAGCAAGAATGAGGATACAAATAGCAAACCCTAGAAGGGTTGTACTCGCTATAGAGCACCCCACTACAGGCTAGAGCATAACATTCTGACACACCCCCATAGCCAAAGTGGGGTGTAATCAGCAGAGCAAGAAAAGCAGTACAAGCTCAGGGTGGATCACAATGTCACCACACATTCTGAGCACAAGTTCAAGAAGCAATAGTTTAAAGTTCACAATTATGAGCAAAGCTAGAGGCTATCGCAAAGGGCAAGTGTGGAGGAGGAGGGACTATGAGAGGAGAGGAGGTAGTGAGCGGCAGCTGAAGCTGCTGGCACACGGCGCAACTGGAGCAACTGGCACACGGGCAACTGGAGCAACTGGCACACTGGCAACTGGAGCAACTGGCACACGGGCTACTGGAGTAACTGGCTCCGCGGCTAAAAGTAGCGGCAGACGAGCAACGGACTCACGGGCGGCTAGAGCAACGGGCTCACGGGCGACTGGCACAACGGGCTCACGGGCGACTGGCGCAACGGTCTCACGGGCGAATGGAGCTGCTGGCTTCACGGCGGCCACCCCCTTCAACCTCCCCAAACTATCCCACCCCCATTTCACACACCCCCTACTGCACCCCTAGGGTCACTCACACCCCACCCCCTAGCACCACTCCGTCGACTCCCACACACCCACCCCCCTCAGCGGCAGCTGCAGCAGTGGGAGACAGAGGAGGAGGAGGAGGAGCAGGGGAGACCACACACCCGCCACCCCCCAGGTCGCGGCCCCCGAAGGAGCCGCGACGGGCGACGGGAAAAGGGGGGAGGGGGGGGGGTGCACGTGCCCCCGGTGCGCTGCGGCTGGCGACGAGGCATGGTCGGGGCGGGGCCGGGGCCGCAAGTGGCGGCGACGGGGCCGCTGGCAGCGACGACGGGGCCGCTAGGAGCGGCGACGGAGGGCGACGCGCGGGACCCCGTCGCCCGTCGCAGCGCCTCCCGGGGGCGACGCGCCGAGTGACGGGGCAGAAACCCGTCGCGCGCCTCGGGGCGCACGGCGGGCAGAAAACCACCGCGCGCCTCGGGGCGCACGGCGGGCAGAAAACCGCCGCGCGCCTCGGGGCGCACGGCGGGAAGAAAAACTGCCGCACGCCACGGGGCGTGCGGCACATAGAGTAGCAGTAGCAGTTGCAGCGGAAGCAACGAGGTGGTGAGCCCACCCACAGGATCGATCCAAGGGGATCGACCTGCTCTGATACCATGTGGAAGTTTAGAAGAAAAGAAGAGGGGTTGGACTAGCAAGAATGAGGATACAAATAGCAAACCCTAGAAGGGTTGTACTCGCTATAGAGCACCCCACTACAGGCTAGAGCATAACATTCTGACACAGCGTTCTCTCTTGTCCCGGTGCAGGTTGTGGTTGTGGCATGAAGCTGACGCAGCCGCGCTGGGGCTCGTACGAAGCGAAGGTAGGTTGCTGTTGTTGATTCCCGCATGCGTAGGATGAGCCATCGAGACTCATGGGCGTCACGTTGTTGTTGTTGCTGCTGTTGTTTGATTGCGCAGGTGCTCCTTGCTGATGCTTCTCGTAGAAGGACATGAAGGAGAAGAGCTTCTCCATCATGCTTGGATCAAAGCCCGCGCCTTGGTTTGCGGGTGTTTCAGTAGACCCAGCTGCCGGTCTCGTTGTTGTGCCTTCCTCTGTCTGTAGGCCAGAGGCAGGAGGTGGAGTAGGAGTAGTACCAAGAGAGCCGTTGGAGGAGCTCCTCTCCTTTCTGGTAGACATGTCTCTTGGTGTATTAGGTGTTAAGGAGAAATAATTTTAACCCTAACCAGCTCTCATACCATGTTGGGCTGAGTGCCCCTTTGGATCTTTGGTAGGGTTAAACTCTGGGTAGAGTGATGTAGTAGCGGAAGCGTTTAAATGAAGTCCTTAAACCACCTTGTGCTGGTATGTGAGGGCTAAGTAAGTTGATTAAAACAAGCAAGTACAAAGGTTTATATAAGAGTACAAAGAATACGAAGAGATATAATTAAACTGTTGCGGTTCGATACAGTGCGACTCGGGCAACTGCTCAATGTCGAGTCAGTTGTGTGTCCTTGCTGTCGCGCTGCATTTGTCAAGTCAAAGGTCGCTGACCTTTGACTTTCGCGAAACCTCCAGCGGTTACTTCAACCTCCGAGGGTTGACTCGCTGGTGCCTCGATATGCTATGCTTCGCTTGTGCCTTGGTGTTTCGACACGACAGAGGCGCTTAAGATTGTTTGTTCCCAACAAAGGTCACATAGATAGACGGGTTCGGCAGTAAAAAATAATGATTGGTTATAAGAAGCATCAGAACAAAGAAAGAGGGGGGCATAGAAAACCGACAAGCACAGGCGGACATTCGTGGATCAATAGGCAATTGTGATGTTGGACCTTGAAAGCAAAGGCCGCATGTAAGAAATTGGAAATGGCAGCTGTGCCTGGTGATGGATGTGTGTGGGGGCTCCCCGCATGGTGTGTCTAGAGTGGAAGGTTGTCGTGCTTCTTGGGAGGGTTCTTCAGTTCCTGTTGCATGAAACGGGGGTGAGGGAACCACACATACACTTTTGAGTGAGTGACTCCAATATAACTGACCCACAAGTCCTTCCTTTCCTGCACTTCTTGGGAGGCTTGTTGAGCTCCTGTTGTACATATACACGCGGACATGCACAGATGCAGAAACACAGCAAGCCACAGTCCAGCTAGTGGCAGAGCAGCTTGCGTGCGTCCTGCGGCATGATGACAGCGTCCACGAAGCCAGCGCTGGCAGTGGAGCATGGGGTGGCGAATTTGACGCTGCCATACCACGTTCAAGCCACCATGACATCGGCTTTCAAGACAACCCACCTTGGTTCGGAGGCGGTCCAGCTCGCGGCACAGCATCTTCCGCGTGTCCTGGGGCATGATCACGGCGTCCACGAAGCCAGCGCTGGCAGCGGCATATGGATTGGCGAAATTCTCCACGTACTCAGCCATCTGGGCCTCCCTGTCCTTCTGCCCACGGAACAGGATCCCTGCCGCGCCCTGTAGTGGGATACAAAAACAAATGGAAGGCGGGAGAAGGGGTTGAGAGGGGTTAAGCCTGCACTCACTTGGGTCACGAAGCCAGCACTGGCAGCGGAGTATGGGTTGGCAAAATTCTCCACGTTACTCAGCCGTCTGGGCCTCCCTGTCCTTCTGCCCGCGGAACAGAATGCCTGCCGCGCCCTGTGAGTGGGGTAGAGATAGATGCAGGCAACTTCCAGCATTCTCCACGTACTCTGCCATCTGTGCCTCCTTGTTTTTCTACACGAGGAATAGAATCCCTGCTGCTCCCTGCGGTGGGATTGATGGGATAGAGAAATAGGCAGGCGTATATTCTCTTTCAGCATTCTCCACGTAATCTGCCATCTGTGGCTCCTTGTTTTTCTACACGCCGCGGATCAGAATGCACGCCGCGCCCTGCGATGGGGTTGAGATGGAATTGGGATAGATAGTGGGTCCAACCACAACCAACGGCTGGCCTCTCACGTGAGACGTTTTTTGCGGGGCCTTAAAAAAGAGGGCTAACCTCTGAATGCAGAGGAAGAGCACTTACAGTGCCGCCTACCTCCTTACCTTGGCACCCATCTGCCTACCTTGGCACCCATCTGCCTACCTTGGCACCCATCTGCTTACCTTGGCACCCATCTGCTTACCTTGGCACCCATCTGCTTACCTTGGCACCCATCTGCTTACCTTGGCACCCATCTGCTTACCTTGGCACCCATCTGCTTACCTTGGCACCCATCTGCTTACCTTGGCACCCATCTGCTTACCTTGGCACCCATCTGCTTACATTGGCACCCATCTGCTTACCTCGGCACCCATCCGCTTACCTCGGCACCCATCTGCTTACCTCGGCACCCATCTGCTTACCTTGCACCCATCTGCTTACCTTGGCACCCATCTTCCTACCTCAGCACCATCTTCCTACCTCAGCACCCATCTTCTTACCTTGGCACCCATCCTCCTACCTCAGCACCCATCTTCCTACCTTAGCACCCATCTGCATACCTTGGCGCCCATGACAGCGATCTCAGCAGAGGGCCAGGCGAAGTTGGCATCACCCCGCAGATGCTTGGAGCTCATGACTGCATCAGGGGCGGGGGAGGGAGGAGAGGGAATGGGAGGCAGGGGGAAGGGGACAAAATAGGGGAAAGAGGCAGTGAAAAATGAGAGGTTCAAGGAGGGGGAGTTGGCATCACCCAGCAGATGCTTGGAGCTCATGACTGCATCAGGGGCGGGGGTTGGGGGCAAGGGGGGAATGGGAAAGTGGGGAGAGAAGGGGACGGGAGAGGGGGGTTGTGGGGAGCAGGGCATGGCAGGACAGGAGAGGGGAGGACAGAGGAGGAGAGGGGAGGACAGAGGAGGAGAGGGGAGGGGAAGGGAGGGGAGGGGAGGGGAGGTGCAGCAGTCAGGCATGCCGTAAAAGTCAAAGGCGGTTCCAAATCACAATAACCATGCACCACCATACACCTTGCGGGCGGGTGATGACAGCCACCTTGAGCATCCTGGCCTCTGCTCTATGCCTTGTTACAGAGGCACATCATAGCACAAATACGTCACAGACTACTGTATGCACCACCATACGCCTTGCGGGTGATGACAGTCACCTTGAGCACCCTGGCCTCTGCTCTATGCCTTGTTACAGAGGCACATCATAGCACAAATACGCACGCGTCACATACTACTGTATGCACCACCATACACCTTGCGGGCGGGTGATGACAGCCACCTTGAGCATCCTGGCCTCTGCTCTATGCCTTGTTACAGAGGCACATCATAGCACAAATACGCACGCGTCACATACTACTGTATGCACCACCATACACCTTGCGGGCGGGTGATGACAGTCACCTTGGGCACCGAGGTCTCTGCATACGCGTACAGCAGCTTGCCTCCATGTGCCTCCCACATATGGTCACTTCCCTTCACAGGCACACAACAGTACAATTACACAAGCCACGTACCATCGTACGCGCCGCCATACGCCTTGCGGGTGATGACAGTCACTATGGGCACTGTGGCCTCTGCATACGCGTACAGCAGCTTGCCTCCCTGTCCTTTTCAACAGATGATCACCTCTCTTTAAAGGCACACAGCAGTATAATCATACACTAATCACACATAACCACGTACCATCGTATGCTCCACCGTACGCCTTGCGGGTGATGACAGTCACTTTGGGCACCGTGGCCTCTGCATACGCGTACAGCAGCTTGCCTCCGTGCCGGATGATGCCCCCATGCTCCTGCTTCGTTCCTGGGAGGCGGGGTGCATGATGGGAGGAGAGGACAGAAGGGTATTGAGGCAAGAAGCAAGACACACCCAGTTTACCGGCAGATATCACCCATTTACCCATTTTCCTCACACAGCACGAACCGGATCCCACAGAGCACGATTTGAGTCTCATCGGGCTCGAACGAGTATTTACCTGACATGAACCGAATTGACCTGGCACAAATCAAATCAAATTTCACTTGGCATGAATCAAAACGAATCTCACCTGGATGAATCAAATCGAATCTCACCTGGCATGGATCAAATCGAATCTCACCTGGCATGAATCAAATCGAGTCTCACCTGGCATGAATCAAATCGAGTCTCACCTGGCATGAGCCAAATCGAATCTCACCTGGCATGAACCCAGGCACGTCCACGAAGGTAACGAGGGGGATGTTGAAGCAGTCACAGAAGCGCACAAAGCGAGCCGCCTGGCGGGGACAGAAGAAAAGGGGGGAGGGTGGACAGGGGAGAGCGGGGGGAGGGTGTGCGGAGAGGGAGGGAATGTTGAAGCAGTCGCAGAAACGCAGAAAGCGAGCTGCCTGGGGGAGGAGGGGAGAGGAGGAAAGGGTTGGCAGGGGACAGGGGAAGAGGGAAAGTTAGGGGAGGTGTGGATAAAGAGTGGGGAAGGGGATAGAGAGCAGTGATGGATGGAGTGGAAGCGTACAAGGCATGTCTTCAAACACGAACAAAAGAGCGCAACAAAAAGCAACTGTGATGAGCGGCTGGGTTGTTGGAGCGAGCAAGGAACTTGTGCCTCCTGGGGGCTGCTCTTTGGGGGTATTGTGAGTGGTAGCACTGAGCAGTTGTGATTGTACCTTAACAGAGGCATCAATGTCGATACACCCTGCCTGCTCCATGGGCTGGTTCGCCACCACTCCCACTGAGCCTCCGTCCATGCGCTGATGGTGCAGGGAGGAGAGGGAAGGCGATGAGGCACACATGTGCACATGGAGGTTCACAGAAGCGCACACATGCACACACATGTGGGAACTAGGTTTGAGGCGCCTCAAAACCAGAGGGAAGGCGATGAGGCACACATGTGCACATGGAGGTTCACAGAAGCGCACACATGCACACACATGTGCGAACTAGTTTTGAGGAGCCTCAAAACCAGAGGGAAGGCGATGAGGCACACATGTGCACATGGAGATTCACAGAAGCGCACACATGCACACACATGTGGGAACTAGTTTTGAGGAGCCTCAAAACCAGAGGGAAGGCGATGAGGCACACATGTGCACATGGAGGTTCACAGAAGCGCACACATGCACACACATGTGGGAACTAGTTTTGAGGAGCCTCAAAACCAGAGGGAAGGCGATGAGGCACACATGTGCACATGGAGGTTCACAGAAGCGCACACATGCACACACATGTGGGAACTAGTTTTGAGGAGCCTCAAAACCAGAGGGAAGGCGATGAGGCACACATGTGCACATGGAGGTTCACAGAAGCGCACACATGCACACACATGTGGGAACTAGTTTTGAGGAGCCTCAAAACCAGAGGGAAGGCGATGAGGCACACATGTGCACATGGAGGTTCACAGAAGCGCACACATGCACACACATGTGGGAACTAGTTTTGAGGAGCCTCAAAACCAGAGGGAAGGCGATGAGGCACACATGTGCACATGGAGGTTCACAGAAGCGCACACATGCACACACATGTGGGAATTAGTTTTGAGGAGCCTCAAAACCAGAGGGAAGGCGATGAGGCACACATGTGCACATGGAGGTTCACAGAAGCGCACACATGCACACACATGTGGGAACTAGGTTTGAGGAGCCTCAAAACCAGAGGGAAGGCGATGAGGCACACATGTGCAAATGGAGGTTCACAGAAGCGCACACATGCACATGCAGGTGCAGGCACACACCTGAAATCATGTCATGATGGTAAACCCAACAATCATGTTTGTACATCTAGGCCAATGATAATGTGCTTACAGCAATGCCAATAGAGAAAACTATGTGTGCTTACAATGAAGACAATTTAGCAAAACGACATGTGTGTGCTTACAGCAAAGCCAACAATCATGTTCTTGCCAAACTCCGGCTGAAGCTCGTAAAACTGGCCCGCGTCCACCACCTGATGCCATACGGATGGGTGAGAAGAGGAAGAATAACAAGCGTCAGAAGGATTTGCGGCATTTCAAGTATGGGATGCACGTGTAGTGAGTAGATTCTTTAGTCGACTCAAAAATCGACTCACTACACGCGTATGGGATGCATGTCAAGCGTGTCTTACAAATACTGGGGGCGTTACAAAGAGAATCCGCACCACAACACTCTACCTTTTCACATCTTTGCCCCTCACTCCTCACCTTATCAACTCGTCGTACGGAACTTCCGCCTTCACAGAGACCTAATAATCACCTCACATGTCACATATCGTATGCCACGTTGAGGTCACTACACACGTCATCATGGCCCTTACCCTCTCAATGATGCCCATCATATCGCACGCCATGAGACACCTTACGACAAATTCATTCAGCATCTCGTTCATGTTGGGATGGATAGAGTTAGGCATTGCCCCTCACCTTCTCAATGATGCCCATCATATCATACGCCATGTTGGGGTCACGGGGGACTGCAAACTCCAGTGCCGGCACTTCACGGTTGCTGAAAGCACACGTTGGGAGAGAGAGGGGTAGCGGGCAGAGGGGGAAATTGGGGGGCAGGGGAGGGATGAGGAGAGAATATGAGCTGGACAGCCTTTTCCTCCTCACTTAATCTGCACTGCAGCAGTCCGCGCTAGGTCGGTAGTGCGAGCAAACTTAGGAGGAGGGGGTGAAGCTAGCAGGAGGAGAAGTTGATTCGGCAGCAGGAGCAACGTATTTCAGGGAGACGGATGGGATGGGCTGGGGGGAAAGGCTTACGGAGGGTCAAAGTTGATGCGGCGGGGCGGCTGCTCCTTGTAGTTGAGAGGAAGGAAGTCAAACAGGTCTCGCACCCTGATGGGGGTAGGTGGAGGTTATGCGGGGTAGGGGGGGTAGGAAGAGGAAAAGTCTCAAAACACGATCCTTGTAGCTGAGCGGCAGGAAGAGGTAGCACAACCTGACGGTGGTGGGTAGAAGGTAAGGGGAGTAGGGGGGGAATAGTCCCAAAGCACTATCGCTGAAGTTGAGCCCAGGTGTATGTATTCCTTCCCGTATGATAGAATCCATTTCTTGGTCAAAGGCCAGGTGTCTATCTCTGAGGCGCCAAGTGAATAGGTTATGTTAGCCCGTGTGCATGTGTCTGTGTTCCTCACCGTGCGAGGGCGTCCATCTCGTTGTAACGAGGTGACTTTTGAGTCGACTCAAAAGTCACCTCGTTATGTTAGCCCGTGTGCATGTGTCTGTGTTCCTCACCGTGCGAGGGCATCCATCTCGTTGTCGAAGGGCATGTGAACCACGCCCGACTTGGTGTGCTTTGAGTCGACCGGAACCACGCATTTGAGGTGATTGGGAACACACATTCTCTTTTCCCACATCTCACCACGTGAGTCCAGACGTATGCATCACGTACCGAGCCCGACTTGATGTGCGCCTCAGCCTCTTTTTGAGTCGAAATTAGGCGTCCATCTCATTGCCAAAGGCCATGCGCACCACGCCAGACTTGGTGTGCGCCTCCGCCCCTCCCAGTTGCTCCTGCGCATACTGTGAGAGTGCGTGCATCTCTGACCGTGACACGGCATGGCATAAACCACTCACCATGTGAGCCAAGGGGTGTGTATCCCTCACCGTGCGAGGGCGTCCATCTCGTTGTCAAACGCCATGTGAACCACGCCCGACTTGGTGTGCGCCTCTGCCCCTTTGTTTGAGTCAACTAAAAAAAATCAGGTGTGAGGGCATCTCTTACCGAGCGAGGGCATCCATCTCGTTGTCAAACGCCATGTGAACCACGCCCGACTTGGTGTGCGCCTCTGCCCCTCCCAGTTGCTCCTGCACGCACGAAAGCATTGATTGATGGATGGAGAGGAAGGGAGGCAAGGAGGAGAAATAGGAGAGAAAAGAAGTGGCGGTGGGCTGCACGTAAGGCTGGGTAAGGAAGACTGGTGACCCACTTCGTCGTATACTCACGTTGTCAACACGTAAATAAAATCAATCAGCTCGTACCTCATACAAACGAGACCTGAGCGACATAATAGCGGAACTGATTAACCTTCTAAATCACCTGAACGAACAAATTTTGTTACGCGCCGAAATGATCTCACATATCACGTTGCACGACATCAGGGCCGATCACGAACACAACTGAGAGCAAGCCGAGTGACCTTATAACGCAAATCAAGGACCTCTATAACGCACCTGAGTGACCTCCTCGTATGTCACTTGCCGCACGACATCAGGCCCAGTCACAAACATGTGTGACGTGCCCTTCATCTGATGGGTTGGGAGGGAGGGTGTGAGGAAGGGTGTGAGGGATGAGGAAGGAGAGAGAAGTTGTGAGTGAGCGCATGCTTGCACATAAGTGCGAGGAGGGTGGGCATGTTCGTATGTGTGTGTGCGCGCGCGCGCATGCGTATGAGTCTGTGCGTGTGTGCGAGTGTGCGCATCTACGTGTGTGTGTGTGCGCAAGCGCACAAGCGTGCATATGTGTGTGCCTGTGCGTATGTGTCTCTGTGTGTGCGCATGTGTGTGCGCATGTGTGTGTTTGTGTGTGTGTGTGTGTGTGTGTGTGTGTGTGTGTGTGTGTGTGTGTGTGTGTGTGTGTGTGTGTGTGTGCTTGCCTGTGTGTGTGCTTGCCTGTGTGTGTGCCCTCTCACCATGATGACAAAGTCGGTGAGGCCAGGCGAGTACACAGCACCACCTGAAGACAAACAAGGCCGCCCCAATCAGATCCCAACACGCAGTGAGAGAAAGGATTACATGGAGAGGCCCATATCAGGAAAAGTGGTACAGGAGGGATGGAGCGGTGTAGGGAGAATTCGGTACCGAGTGATGTAAGAGGATGATGCAGGGTACAAGGCATGGCGGAGAGATTTGCAGGGGTGAAGAGCAGTACCTGCGCATGGTCCCATGATGAGCGAGATCTGAGGGATGACTCCAGATGCGAGCACGTTAAGCTGGGAGGAATGAGTGAATGGGGAAGAGGATGCAGGAAAAGAAGGGGGAGGGGGGGAAATTAGAGGGATTCACGCCAGGTGTGGACAAGAGCAGGCAAGAAGGAACGGCAGTAAGGGAAGCCAAGTCAGCAGGGGCAGCAAGGCAACACGAGCGGTAGGCAGTGCGCCGTGGGCAGCCACAGCAGCAGGCAGTAGCTGGAAGACCTTGGCATAGCCGCTAAGGGAGTGCACCCCCTCCTGAATGCGAGTACTGGCAGCAGGCAGGCAGGAAGGGCAGAGATAGCAGCAGGCAGTACCTGGAAGACCTTGGCATAGCCGCTAAGGGAGTGCACCCCCTCCTGAATACGAGCCCCTCCTGAATCGTTCAGACCGATCACCTGAGCGGGGCATGCACGCATTACACGGATGGACTTGAGGTGAATCCTCCATGCAGTGCATCAGCCTTACTCGAACATCAAAGCTTTTATGTTTGTAATCATCGGCTTGAAGCGAGACATCATTGGCTTGCAGTGCATCAGCCTTACTCGAACATCAAAGCTATTACGATCATCAAACATCATCGGCTTGAAGCGAGACCTTGCATGCAAACGTGCATTCATTCAATACATCGGCCGTGCATACTAATGAAGGATCATTCGGGTGGAAAGTGAGGGTGAGGGGGGAAGAGAGGGTGACTCACAGGCGCGCCAGCCTTCATGGCTTTCTCCATGACCTGCCATGTGAATGTGTGGAGACAGGGGAGACAGGGGAGACAGGGGAGACCGGGGAGACAGGGGAGACAGGGGAGACAGGGGAGACAGGGGAGACAGGGGACAGGGGAGACAGGGGAGACACGGGAAACAGGGGAGACAGGGGAGACAGGGGAGACAGGGGAGACAGGGGAGACAGGGGAGACAGGGGAGACAGGGGAGACAGGGGAGACAGGGGAGACAGGGGACAGGGAGGAGTATTTTGAGTCAACTTCAAGATCACCCACAAAATGCACCCCCTGAGTCACAGGCGCGCCAGCCTTGATGGCTTTCTCCATGACCTGCCATGCTCGTGGTGGATTCAGACGGGATGGGAAGGAGGGGAGGAGGAGCGGTGAGGACAGAGGATAGCAGCTGGAGTAAGGATGCATGGAACCGGAAAGAACAGAGAGGAAGGAGGAACTTAGGGAGATAATCTCCAGCTGAGTTTCCAAAAAACTGGTGAGTAGAACGGAAGAGAAGAGATGTGACAGAGGAAGGCAAGGACGTTTGAGAGGACCGCGAGGAAGAGAGGGCAGACGTTTATGGAGACGGGCGAGGTTCAAGCGGGGAAAGTAACGTGCACGGCCTGTGGACACAATCACACAGCAGGGCGGCACCTTGATGATCTTAGCAGCATGCGTCTCTGACAGACTGCCACCGAACACTGTGAAGTCCTGGCTGAACAGGAACACCAGCCTGCAGGCAGCAAGACAAGAGAAAAAGTCTCGATATAAGGAGCCTCAAAACAAGCACTGTGAAGTCCTGGCTGAACAGGAACACGAGCCTGCAAGCAGCACGGAGACAGAACACTATTCTTAACTCTCACAATATAGCAGTACATGTCACGGAGAGCACAAGGCAGGTTTCTTTGAGTCTCCTTGATGGTGCGTAATGAGAAGCACGAGCGATGAAGCAAGGGACAGTTGTGGAAGATGTCATATACTGTGATGTAATATGGTACCATGCGGTATGGTATGGTATCATGCGGTAGGTATGTAGGGTTTCGTACCTGCCGTTGATGGTGGCACTGCCAGTAACAACACCTGAAAGACACCATGCCAACCCATCCACGTATTGAATTCCACCATTGTCATTGTATTCCAACCCACACCATCCCACACCATTCCATACCATCCCATAGCATACCAAGCCACTCCATTCCATCCCTCCCGGGCCATCCCGATTCCCACATGAGTCCAGGGAGTTCAAACAGGGAGCTCAGGGTGAGAAACGAAGTAATGCGACAAACTCCAGTGATCTGTTCTAGTTAAGGGGAGTGGTGGGCGGCATGCAGGGCATGAGGCTGTGGGGTAAGTCAATGATGTATACCAACGGCACTATGCGTGACTATGATGGACGTGAACATTGCATGTCATGAATGCGTATCCTCTCCTTCAGGACTTCCCAGTGACCAATCTACCACCCCTCCACTCTGCAACCCATTCATTTCTCAAACATTGAAGTTCATACAAGAGCACTGGGATGAGTTAGAGGAGATGTGGGCACGTACCGTCGCCAGGGATGTGAGTCTTGTCCATGCCAAAGTCATGGCATCGGTGCTGCACCAACATGTCTGCAGCACAAGGAGGAAACACGTACCATGAAACACATTACATCGTACACGTGGAGGGTCATGCAAGGAGCCAAATCTTTGAAAGGGCTCCCCAAAAGGGCTTCTTGGTTACACAATCAGTGCCTCCAGCCAACATGCGTTTTTGGTAAGCGAGACAAGTGTATGACGATAAGAGTTTCAGTGTGTACACTCCCAGCTGTGCGTCCCAGGGAGTGCGTTCCACAAACGCAGCACTTACCGAGCTCCTCAAACGACCCGGGGTCCACGAGCACTTGGATCCTCTCCCGCGCTGTCAGCTGCCAGGAGACACGGAAGAAAAGGGAGAACAGGAAGGCAGGCACGGGGATGATCACATAAGAGCGAACGCAGGCACGGGGATCTCCTTGATTCTCCCTTCACTCGTCCTTCCCCGTGCGCCTCTCACCTTGCCGCCCTTGTGCTGCTTGTCGATCTTCTGCTGCCCGTGCATCTCACCTTCCCTCCCCCCCTTGCACCTGACTCCCCCTGCACCTCCTCTCCCCTGTGCGCAGCTCACCTTGCCGCACTCCCCATGCGCGCCTCTCACCTTGCCGCCCTTGTGCTGCTTGTCGATCTTCTGCTGCCCGCCTCCCAGGCGAGCGCGCCTCTCGCGCTCCTCCAGAGCCAGCACGGCGGGCTGACGGAGAAGAGGGGGCGGGGAGGGGGTAGCGGGGAGGCCAGGCCGGAGGGATAGGGAAAATGAGGGTGGATTCCGGAAAATGTCGCCTTGAGGAGAGACGAGGGCCTCTCTTGCGCCCCGCGGGGACTAGCACGGCGGGCTGGTTGGATGCGGTGCAGGGTTGAGGGGGAGGATGGGGTGAACAGGGAGAAGGAGCGTTTGTTTTTTGAGAATTCCGGAATATGTCGTTTTGAGGAGAGACGAGGGTCTCTCCAGCGCTCCTCGGGGACTAGCACGGCAGGCTGGTTGGATGCGGTGCCGGATAGGGGGAGGATGGGAGAACAGGGAGAAGGAGAAGAGCGGAAGGAACAGGGAGATCTTAGGACACATGCCACTCACTTCGAGGGAAAGCGCCGCGAAATGGAACATGGTAACCACGGGAAAAAAGGGTCTCGGGTGTTCCTGCGCCGAGTCAGGATGCGACAAAAGGATTTGTCTAAAAAGTCTCTCGTGGGAATCCAAGAACGATCGGCGCGCTTTGGAAGAGAAAGCGCAGATTATGCAGTTGAGAATCCTATCGGAAGCGCCTCAGAACTCGGCGCGCTTCTGAAAGGCAGATAATCCAGCCAAGAACCCAAGGCGACGGCTTTGAAGGAAAGTCGGAGATGCCCAGATCAGACGAGAGAAGCACGAGGCGAATACTGACGGCACATGCATCCTGGGGGTCGGCCGTTCATGGCGGACCCTAACATGCGAAGCTGGAAATTACAAAGTGCTTTTGACTCACGGCAATGTTGTCAAGGGTGCTTACGGGAAGGCTTAAGCAGAAGCGACGATGCACGGACGGACCCTGAAACGGGTTGCGACTATGGAAAGATTCGGACACTCGCATTTCTTTGCGACATCTGTGAAATGTGTCTAGCACTCACCCTCTTGAAGTTTGCAACACCGGTGGGAGCAGTAGCGGCTGGCAAGGCATCCGTCGCCGACCCTCTTGAATGTGCCTGCAGGTTACAAATGCCTTTCTTTTCAGTATCAAGAGTCGCTCTTTCTCTAAAAAAACCACGCTGAATGACAATCGCAAGAAGCTAATGCGAATGCTAGCTGCTCTACGAATAGACGAATTTGTTCAGTTGCAGCAATGGCGTAGAAACGGGACCTAATATTGCGTCAAAATGATAACGAGATGTTAGAATGTCAGCCTCCAAACGCTCCTACGCTTACAGGAGCATTGCTGTCTAGCCAAGCTGCGGTGAAACCAGTTGTCGGCCTGGCGGCAGCATTGCCGGTCGCGACGGCGACGGCCGACTGACACGCTCCCAGCAGGCGAGATCGCGAACGCGAGATTGCGCGGGACAACATCTTAACGCTCCCGTTCAATCTTCACGCAAGATCTACTATGCTTGTCTTTTACCGAACGACTTCGCCTTCGGAAGCGCGAGGCTAAGTTAAGACAGCTCCACTGAACCGTGAACCTGATCAGGGACTAGCACAAACCACGCGGTAATGGCTTCTGCTAGTTACAGAGCAGACGAGACGAGCTCGTATAATCCCGAAGAACTGTTCCCAAGAAAGGAACACGAGCTGCTGACTGGTTTACAACTGGGTATGAATGGAATGGGCTGCTTGTCTGTCTGCCAAAGAGAGCATCTTCATGGCCTGAAAAGCAGCAAAACTGGAAGCTTGAGCCTAGGGATTCCCATGCCTAAGCCGAGCAATAGGGGCGTTGGACTTGGAAAGACTTTCGCCACGCCGGTAACACCAGTTCCTGTTACACTGCTGACGATGACGTCCATAAATTTCGCGCAATTGCGAATCCCTGCCACCACGAAAGACACGTCAGTGGCAGCCAATCGTAGAGGCAGATGCTATCGAAGGTAGTGGAGATTTTGCTCACAATATCCCAGAATCACGGAAGCGGTTGAGAGAATCTGGTGCTGCTTTGCGTTGACGTGGCTGAACTGGTTTGACAACCTTCCTCATTGAGGTCCCCGCTGTGAAGCTGCGCCAAAAGCTTCAGATTTTACCAGCTGTAAGGAAATTCCCTTTTCCTTACTTCGCGTCCCTGCTCAACGCGTACACCACTGTAGCACCTCAGTCAGCACCGTTACCACTCGCGACCATCGCATCATTCATCATCCCGCCATTTTCGCACATCGCATCCCGACCTCACGGCTCGGCTGGTAACCCGCGCTCCGGGCCTACGCTTCGACACTTTCCCAACCTCAGTCCCAGGCTCATCGCGCGACCATTACCGTTATCACTGTAGTTTCGCTATATATTGTTCGCTCATGCCTTCGCTCATTGTACCTTTGCTTCGATAGTGCAATTCTCGTTCGTTCACTCAATTGCACTCGTAACACTTGGTATTCAGAGCCTACGATCTCATCTCGGACCGCATCCACACCTTCGCTTCCCACTATCTCAATTTTTTGGGGGGGGGGAGACGTCTCTCAGCGATACAGCACCGCCGCTCGTAGGGCTCTCTCGCAAGCACGCACGGCCACGACCGAGGCTCTCGCTGAGCTTGCCCGACACCCCCGCCATGGCCGATTTCAATCTCGCCACGTTGACGCAGGAGCAACTCGATCGTCTCGTGCGACAATTGGAGGACTCGGCGCTCGAAATCGCGACGCTCACGGCGGAACGTGACTCCGCCCGTCAACAGTCAACGGTGAACGTACCGACGACATCCCACGCACCAACCAATGCATCTGCACATTCGAAGGAACCAATTGTCATCTCGTCCGGCACACCAACACAACACAACAGCACGGGACAGCGCTCAGGCGCAGCCAATGACGGCGCCGCCCAGCCGATGCCCAGCATGGGAGGGAACAGGAGCGCGCTAAGCCCACGGGAGCCCCGAGAAGCCCGTCGGCACGTGGAGTTTGCGGCGACAAGTGGCGAAAACGCCATGATGGCCCCAATGCCACTCAAGCCGCAACGCCCGCCCTGTTTCGACCCAAGCCAACGCGGCGGCCCGACAGTTCAATCGTGGGTCTTCACGATGAATGTGTTTTTCGACGTCAACTACGTCGAGTCGGACGCCGCCAAGATCCGGTATGCGGTTTCACTACTCAGGGGCCCCGCCATGGACTGGTGGCGAGTCATCGTGACGTCGCCACGCGCCTACGAGCCACCGTCGCACGAGGAAGGGCCCTCGGGTCCAGCTGTTACCTGGAGTTCGTTCTGCGAAACCGCCCAATACAGCACGTGGGATGCGTGGTGCGCAGGGCTTCGGGCGCGCTTTGAGCCGATCGCGGCTTCGATTTCGGCGCGTCAGAAACTGCGCACTTGGCGCCAGCTCGGGTCAGTTCAAGACTACACCAGCGGTTTTCTCACACTTTGCGAACAAGTCGGCTACATGCACGAGGCGGAGCGGGTGGACCGTTACGTCGGAGGACTGAAGCCGGATATCTCGCACGAGATAATGCTACGCGGACTCTCGAACTTCAACGAGATTCTCGCGCTCGCCGAGAAGATCGACATCCTATGCCGACCGAGACCGGGGTCCTACTACGGACATCGTCCTCGGGGACCGACCGAGCACGCCACTGTACATGACGTCGCAACGAATGCAGCTGCCGCACCATTTAGAGGGCGCTGCTTTGCTTGCAACAGGCCGGGCCATCGCAAGAGCGAATGCCCAGAGGAGCTGAGACGACGAGGAGCAGAGCAGGGGAGGGAGTCTCAGAGGCAGGAAAACGCCAACAGTCAGTAGAAGTTGGGCCAACTACTGACGAGACTGCCTGCTCGCCCAACCACACCGACCCTCACCGAGTCACAGTACCGATTCACGCCATCGATCGGGCTCGGATGAATAAGGAGGGTACAGCGACGGATTGCCCGGTACTGATCTACGGGAAAATACAGGGAGCAGCAGTGAAGATCTTTATTGACGGAGGAGCAAGTCACAGCTTAGTTAATACCGCAACCGCACGGAAATTACAGTTAACACTTAACCGATGCTTACCTGAGATAGATGCACGCTTAGTCGACGGCACGCCCCTGCCATACGGGAAAAGGTGGAGCGAGTAAAAGTCCGCTGTGGGGGAAACTTCGGGTTTACACAGGAAATGCTCGCAACGACACTGGATGGGCACGACATTTTATTGGGACGTGATTGGCTGCGACGGTACAACCCACGGATTGACTGGACGACGGGGAGCTGCACAGTGCGAAGTAGTGGTAACTGGGTCGTTCTACCTCGCTGGCAGCCACCCGAATCTTCGACGGTCCAGGTCAACGCCATCACGATGAAACGGGCTGTCGCTGCTGGAGCTGACGTGTACGCAGTGGGTATCGCGCTAGTGGAAAAAGAGGAGCAGCCGAGTGATTTAGAGAAACTGTTGGCAGCCGTACCGACCGAACTACAGGCACTACTGAAACGGTTCCCGAAGATATTTCCGGACGATTTACCACAGGGACTGCCACCTCAGCGGGCGCACGACCATAGGATCGAGTTAGAACCGGGGGCACAGCCAACTGTACAGCGCCAATTTCGACTGACACAGCCCGAGCTCGACGAGTTGAGGAAGCAGTTAGATTACATGTTAGAGAAGCAGTTTATCCGACCGAGCTCGTCACCGTTCGCCGCACCGATACTGTTCACACCGAAAAAAGACGGAGGGTTCCGCATGTGCATCGACTACCGAGCGCTTAACAGGGTAACAGTCAAATCGCGATACCCCATCCCCCGCGCCGACGAACTGATCGACCAATTGCGAACAGCACGAGTCTTTTCGAAAATAGATTTACGGGGAGGTTACCATCAGATTCGGGTCGAACCATCGGACTGCGCCAAAACAGCATGTAGGACTAGGTACGGGTCATTCGAGTATACAGTAATGCCTTTCGGGCTGACCAACGCGCCTGCCACATTTCAGATGACCATGAACGAGGCGTTTAGGCCACTTTTAGATAAATGCGTGATAGTTTATCTCGACGATATCCTCGTTTACAGTCGGGATAAGCAGCAGCACTTAGCAGATCTTGAAGCATTTTTTAAGGTTTTAGAAGAACATCGGCTACTCACCAAGGGCTCCAAGTGCGAGTTTTTTCGGGACAGACTAGAGTTTTTAGGTCATGTTATTTCGGAGGCTGGGGTTGAGATCGACCCTAAGAAGCTGGATACCGTAAAAGCGTGGCGCCCACCGACGAACATCACGGAACTGCAGAGTTTTTTAGGTTTTGTTAATTACGTTCGCCGGTTCGTCCCCGACATGGCACGTTTAACAGCCCCGCTCACTGATTTACTGCGAAAGGGGGTCCCTTTTACGTGGGGGGAGAAAGAGCATGCTGCCTTCTCTGCCCTGAAAACTGTTCTCTGTTCACCACCCGTTCTACGCATCGCTGATCCACACCGCCCCTTCGAAGTGGTTACAGACGCGAGTGACATCGCCATCGGAGCTGTACTGTTACAGGACTTCGGCGACGGCCTCCAACCCATCGCCTACGAATCCCGCAAACTCCATCCGCCTGAGCGAAATTACCCGATACACGACCGCGAAATGCTTGCGATCGTGCACGCATTCAAAGTGTGGCGCTGCTACTTGACCGGCGCAGACGTGACAGTACGGACAGACCATCGATCTCTACAGTACCTTCGCGCACAGCCCCACCTCAACCCACGATAGATTCGGTGGCTCGACTTTCTCGAGTCGAATTTTCACTATACGGTCACATACAAAAAAGGAGCCTCAAACATCGCCGACGCACTGACCCGCCCCACTGCCCAGATCCATGCAATACTACTCGCTCAGACCAGCCCGCTACTGACAGGCCTATTTACCCACGGATATCAAACAGACCCGTTCTTCACAGGAGGCAATTCACAGCAATTCGCAGCAGCCAAGGGCATCTACTACGTAAAAGCGGGAACCGACCGCATCTGGGTACCAGGGTACACATTACTACGGGAGCTATTATTACTGGAGGCACACGACGGCGTTACCTCAGGACATTTCGGGGTAGAAAAAACACGGCAGCAGCTGCAGCGGTACTTCTATTGGCCTGAAATGTTGACCGACGTGCAACGACACGTGGCATCGTGTCCCACTTGCCAGCTCATGAAGTCAAGCAGGAAGCGGCCGGCGGGACAATTACAACCCATCCCGCCTCCAGAGCGTGCTTGGCAGCAGGTGACGATGGACTTCGTCACGGGGTTACCAGCTGGGGCGAGTGGGAATGACGTGATCCTGGTCGTCGTCGATCGACTATCGAAGATGGCACATTTCGCAGCATGCAGGAAATCAATCACAGCCGAAGAAACCGCCCGACTCTTCATCACCACCGTCGTTCGACTGCACGGGATACCCGCATCGATCATCAGCGACAGGGACACGAAATTTACCAGCAACTTCTGGCGGAACCTGTGGCAGCAGTTCGGCACGCGACTTCAATTCAGTTCCTCCTATCACCCCGAAACCGACGGACAGACGGAACGGACAAACCAGACCATGGAGCAGCTGATTCGAGCCACGAGTGATGATCCGAACACGTGGGAACAACAGCTGCCCCTCATCGAGTTCGCATACAATAACGCGCCATCAGCCACGACACAACAGTCGCCGTTTTACTTGAATTACGGGCAGGACCCAACAGTACCCATGACACCGAATCCCGACAACCCCGTCCCACGAGCACAACAGTTCGCCGAGATTTTGCAAGCAGCACGGACCAGGGCAGCAGAAGCAATAAAAAAATCAAATATCATCGCTAAACGCAACGCCGATCGCCACCGCAGACCCGTCACTTATCAGCCCGACGACCTCGTTTTACTCGACACTCAGAACCTCCGCCTGCCCATCACTCCCAAACTTCGCCCTCGATACTGCGGGCCATTTCGAATCAGTCACATGATCACGCCTGTCACCGCGCACCTCCTCCTTCCTGCTGACTGGTACGTCAGCCCCTCGTTCCACGTCAGCCTGCTTCCCCCTTACATACCATCCACCAGCCAACTCCCACGACATCGACCCTCCAGCATGACACGACCACCAACCGAACCAGTCATCACCCCCGATAAAATCCTGAGCCACAGAGTTCGTGACCCTCGAGGAGCCCGAAAAGTGGAGTTTCTGATCCGCTGGAAAGATCATACCCCCACCGAGGACAACTGGGTTCCCTTGGACAAAGTCGAAAACCACCCTGTCGTCACGGACTACCTGCGCAGCCGAAACTTCAGAGACGTCCACGCGCTTTCGTAAGGAGGACCTCAGGAGGGGGGGTAGTGTAAGGAAATTCCCTTTTCCTTCGCGTCCCTGCTCAACGCGTACACCACTGTAGCACCTCAGTCAGCACCGTTACCACTCGCGACCATCGCATCATTCATCATCCCGCCATTTTCGCACATCGCATCCCGACCTCACGGCTCGGCTGGTAACCCGCGCTCCGGGCCTACGCTTCGACACTTTCCCAACCTCAGTCCCAGGCTCGTCGCGCGACCATTACCGTTACCACTGTAGTTTCGCTATATATTGTTCGCTCATGCCTTCGCTCATTGTACCTTTGCTTCGATAGTGCAATTCTCGTTCGTTCACTCAATTGCACTCGTAACACCAGCCATGGAATTGCGCATTGTACCAGCCAATAATATTGATTTCTACTCCTGAGCCTTTGCTCCAAACAGAAATACGGTACAGGGCTAATCGGCAAACATTCAACAAATAGACACGGCGTTGAAGATACATGCACTTTGAGGACACAAGGCACTAGTCAATCCAAATGTCTGCCCGAAAATGCATGGCACCTTCAGGAAAGAACACATCAGGAGCCGCAAGAACCTCATCCCATGGTTTCTTAAACAGGTCCCTTGATCCCCACCCATGGTATGGCTCTGAGAAAACACATCCACTGCGAGACTTCACCACGCAATACCCCACTGAACCACTGACACTGCTAACCCCCATCCCGCCAGCATCAGCACCGGGAGCAGCAGGAGCAAAAGCAGCAGCTGCTGATTCGCTCCTAAGCGAACTAAGCCCAGGTGCACTGGTTGCTGCAGCAGCAGCTTGGACAGCAGCAGCAGTGGAACCAGCAGCAGCAGTACCATTCACAGCATTACCACCACCAACGCAACTCTCCCCATCAGCTCTCCCCCCCAGATCCATTTTCACACAGAACCGGTACTGGCAGTTCACACTCTCAGCAGCAACGCCTGGGAAAGTGGCGTGCTTATCTAAGCGCAGAAACAACCCGAATCTTGGGCCGAGTTCCTTCTGACACTCCAGCTTCGCGTTGAGTGTGAACCAGCGACCGGCAATGCAGAACAGGCCGGAAGTTGCCTGGAAGGAGACGGATGGGGTCCAGCCCTGGCACTGGCTGAAGGGGATTTCTAGGAAGAGGGACTTGCGTGGCGGGCGGTAGGAGTTGCGGGGGCGAGACCAGGAATTGGAGGCGGGGGAAGGAGAGTAAGAGGGGGGGTTGAGTGAAGGGGACGACCAATAGTGGGGGTTCGGTGAAGGAGGAAGGATGAGTGAAGATTGTGAGTGTTGGTGGGAAGTGGAGGTGGAAAGGGAGGAATGTGTGTGGAAGGGGGAAGCATAGGGCGAGGAGGAAGCGGAGGAGGAAGAGGGAATGGTGGAGCTTGTCGTGCTAGCGAAAGCAGGAGGTGTGATGTAAGTGGCGCCAGAAGATAAGCCAACAGGAGGAGGAAGAAGAGAAAGAGGAGGAAGTGAACCGCCATGCGGAAGGAACAATGACGGTGGTGGTGATAGTAGCCACGAGTGCTGAACACTGTGAGTGCTAACACCAGAGCTCGTATCCCCCCTATAAGCATCCCCCCTTTGAGCAGCAGCAAACAGCCCTTCCAGTACTACCGCCCTCGCCTCCTCACTCTGCATCTCCTCCAACCCTACCACCACCGACCGCACAAAACCACCCCCCACCCACGCCCACCGCACCTCCCTCACCAACCTCCCCACCGCCGCCCTCCTCTTCGCCACCCCTGCCGCCCGTTCCTGCAGCCCACAAAACCCCACTTCGCCGCCCGGACCCGCTTCGCCAGCTGGATTCTGTTCTCCTCGAGAATCCAGTTCGCCGCCCGGGAATCTGTGCCGGGCCCAAAGGATGAGGGTGCAAAAGACAGACTCTTCTGAATCCACGGGTAGGTCGTCGGACTCTAGGAGGGCTCTTATGCCAGCCTCAGGGAGAGTGAGCAGCTCGTTTGCAGAGGCGGGGTGGCTCGAGTGAGGGTTGGTGGAGTGAAGGGTGGTGTGGTGAAGGGAGGTGGTATAAAGAGTGTTGGGTTGAAGGGTGTTGCAGAGAAGAGTGCTGGGGTGGAAGGAGTTGAAGAGCGGTCCGTAACGGTGCACGACGCAGGCCTGGGAGGCATGGATGAGGGGCGTGAGCAGTGGGTTGAGGCGGAGAGATGGCGGGAGAGAGAGTGCGAGTAGCGCCTGCTGAGTGGTGAGGGAGGAGGGAGTGTGGGCGGCGGAGGAAGAGGAGGAGGAAGAAGAAGAAGAAGAAGAAGAAGAGGAGGTGATGGAGGTGGTGATGGATGGGTTTGGAGAGTTGGTTGGCTGAGAAGGGGCTGCTGTGGTGGCGGAAGTGGTGCTGCTGGGAGGGAGGGACGCTGGAGCAGCAGAAGAGGCAGAAGCGGAGGTCGAGAGAGAGGCGACCACAGAGGGGGCAGGGTGGGGGTGGAGGTTTGGAAGAGAGAGGGAGGTGAGGGAGGTGAGGAGCGAGGAGCAGGTGGCAATGCCCTCGTCCACTCCGAAGCGGTCTGCCAGCAGGAGCAGCTGCAGTGTGCGCTCAAAGGATGTGACTGTATCGGGGGGCAGCAGGCCCTGGTAGATGAACTGCAGCAGCTCCATCATCAGCGGCTCCTCTGGGGGGTGGGGGGGGGGAGGTGGGGTTGGGGAGAAGAAGAGATGGGGAGAAGAAGAGAGGGGGAGAGAAGAAGGGAAAGGGAAACGGAAACTCAGCAGGGGAGCGTGCCCTGGTAGATGAACTGCAGCAGCTCCATCATTAAAGGCTCCTTTGAAAGAAAACGGGAAGACAAAACAAGGAAAGTAGTGAAAAGAAGAGAAAGGAGATTTTTAAGGCAGTTGAGAAAATTCATCACCAGAGGCTCCTTAGAAGGGCGATTTGGTGTGTTCCAAACCACACCATTCAGCGAACTTGATTGTCCTAAATTCTTGCACCTTTTGTTTTCATGTGTGGCATGGTGTAGTGTGGTATGGAGTGGTGCGGTGTGGTGTAGTTGGTTTGGTGTGGTGCGATGTGGTTTGGTTCACAAGATTCCATGCATCTCTGTTCGGACCATGCTCGGCTAAACTACACATCATCTCGAGGTACGACCCCGTGCGTCGGCGCTTTCTGATAGAGAAGATGACAACAGTGCAGGCTATGGATCAGACACGGGACCTGGATATTTATGCGGTTCGGAGTTCCGTTTGTCGTCCCTCATCAGTCCCGGGCACGGAAACCTCCTGCTCGCGCTGGCAATAAGAGCCTTCTGTGCCCGAGACTGGCGAGGGACAACAAAAGGGACTCCGAACCGTATAAATATCCAGATCCGTGTCGGATCCAGAACCCGCACGGTTGCCATCTTCTCCATCAGAAAGCAACGACGCACAAGGCCATTCCTCAAGATGATGGGTATTTTAGCCTGAAAGTTGTTCAAACAGAGATGCATGGAATCATGTGTACCACAGCGCAAACGTTGTACGCCACACCGCACCGCACCACACCACACAATACCACACCACACAATACCACACCACACTAACGCTGATGGCACGTCCCAAGTCAAGTGCTCGGCACAACACACCACACCATGCCGTCCATCCATGCATGCCTCAGAACATACCCTGGGCAGAAAGGTGGATGTGCACGAGCCGTCGATCGAGTGTCTCACTGAACCCGCTGGTGAAGAGGGCGCGGAAGAAGGTTGACTTGGACGCCAGTACCACCGACGCTGCTGGTACGTCCCGAGTCACCGGCTCAGCAGGGGAATTTGATGCTTGAGGCGCAGTGGCGACGGCAACATGTGGCGTTTGAGGAGAAGGAGTAGCAGCAGCAGCGGCAGGGATGGGCTTGCGAGACGTTGTTGTCGCTGGTGCTGCAGAGCTGGTGTTGTCGGCGTTGTCTTCACCAAACTGTGATGTGTCCATGGCAGGTGAAGCGTCACGCATTCCTGAACGGGAGGCCATGAGGGCATGGCATGAGAAACGGAAATTAGATTCAAAGTGGCTCGTAAAATGTTACGCATTTAAACACGAACCCACTAAAACATTTGCGAGTTTATACAGCGCAGACCAGCAGCGTTACATAATAACCACGCTAGAAAACACGACCAGATTCGAAAAATGGTTACCGAAGAAAAACCAACTTCCACGGTTAAGCTCAGTAGGTCTAGAGACATGGTTGTACCTTGGGAGGGTGGATCAATCACAAGCCGAAGGACGCAGTCAGAAAAGGAAGGTTCTCGGAAGGCGAAGGCGAAGTCGAACCGCGGTAGGTTCGCCATTGCCGATGGCGTAGCGACCGCGACTACGAAAGAGAAATTGAACTTCGGCCTTTCAACCAAAGCGTTGCCGACTCGCAGCGTGAAGGAACGCGAGACACAAAAGTGTGGAAATCGACTTTGACATGAAAAAACACCTAATTCTAGGCCTAAGGCAGCGCGTCCCGCGTCAGCAACTCGAGTATCTTCAGGCGAACCTGGTAATTGTGCTCTATCTGACTGGGATGAGAAGCAAATGTGTGTTGTTGAGGGCTGTTCAGCGCGTACGTTTACAGTTCGTTTACAGTTCATGACCCATTGCGCAAAACGATATCAAACGGTTTAAAGCGATTTGCATTTTCAACCGTTTTAAACCGTGACGCAACAAGGTCAACCGCACAGGATGAACTGTAAACGTACACGCTGGACCTGCCCTGACTGGTATGGGGAGGAGCAGGCAGGTGGTGGTTTTTTGGATTAAAAAATACCGCGATATTGCTCGGTGAGTTGCGCTAATAATCGGTACAAAAAAATCAGGATCACTGTTTACCAGCACGAATCTCGAGAATATCAGGAAGGTACAGCGTGTGCGATGGTGTGAATGTGAATTGCGTTGCGAGATCTGTAGGGCTTCATAACCCAAATGGTGGCGAAATTAGCGACTTTCGAGAAGGCGGGGGGCAGTCGTCTCGAATGCATTCCATGAGATAAGGTGTATAGTGTGCGAAGAAATGAACCCAGATCACCCACATGTTGAACGGGGAGTAGGGGGAGAGCAAGTTTGTTTCGTAAGGTTCGGTGTACGCGTTATGTACAATACGGCGGGAATTATTGTGCATGGCGGGTTGGTGAAAACTGCACTGTTTACTCATATCTCTGGAAAATATGTGGCAGTTTTGTGGCACTTGTTTTGCACGTCTTCTTGCAAGCTTCTCCTGAAGGTTCGTGCAAGCGTAATACGAGGTCCAATTCAGCATTCGCTGTGATACGCGTCAGAGTTGTCAGAGCCAAGCCTAGTCAATCTAGCCGTTCTGACACAGCAGCAACTTGGTGCTGTCAGCATTCGCTGCACCGCGCGGCATTGGCCTGGCTCCGACGTAGCGTTTTTCTCAAGGTCTCCTGAGGAAGTACCGCTCGCGGCGTTGTCGCTGCCCTGCGTCGCGCGCGGGCCTAGGAGTTTTAGTAGATCTTGGGAACACAAACGCAATCCTCTGTCAAAGCAGAGCTACTAAACGTCTTGGCGACACTGACCTTGGTACGACCTTCATACGACATTTGGACGGCCGACTCGCGTCTTTTTCCGCAGCAGAGCATGTCGGCCGCATACGCCGCTGGCACGTGTCAGCTGACGTGGCGCCCAGTTGCTTCTTTTAGTGCGTCGTTCGAAGCGCGTGAAAACGCTTCGCGCCTCGCTGGAAACGTTCAGGAAGTGCGGGTTCGGTGTAGCGGCTGGAAAGGGAACACGTGGCGACTCATGAGTGGCCGGGAGGCCATCGGGAGATGGAATGGCGCCGGGAAAAGGACTCGCGTGGGGCGATTACGAGCAGGCCCGGATGACGTGAGTGTGGTTACATGTGTGTGGTCAGGTTACGGGGTGGTTGGTATGGGGTGGTGGTGGGTAGGAGGTGAATGGTCGTGGGGTGTGTTGGGTGGGGCTTCGCATCGTACTCTACCGTACTGCACCGTGTAATCATTCACTATGCTCCCTCCCTCCCTCTCTCACCCTGTTTGCTGCAGCAGCCAAGCCCCGCATCGTCCATGGGAGTGCAAACACGGAGGCAGCTGCTGGTGGAGTATCTGAGGGGCGTGCAGTGCAGCCTATGTGTGCCTACCACCCATTGCACCGTGCCATACCCTACCCTACCGTACCATTGTTCCCCCCCCTCCCCCCCCTTGCTTGCTGAAGCACCCAGTCTCCTCCTTCCCCATGGGAGGGCAGACACGGAGGCAGCTGCTGGTGGAGAATGCGAGGGGCGTGCAGCCTATGCGTGCCTGCCACGCTTACCATACCATACTGTAACTTTACCGTACCGTACTGTACCATTGTGCACCCTTCTCCTTCTTGCTTGCTGCAGCAGCCAGGCCCCACGTCCCCCATGGGAGGGCAGACGCGGAGGCAGCTGCTGGTGGAGTACGTGAGGGGCGTGCAGCCGGACTTCATGGAGAAATTCTTCCAGCACGCGGAGCCCCAGGTGAGTGCTGGGTTGCCATGTCAAGCCACAGCATTGTGTGGTGCCAATGCGCCGTGGCAGCAACAGGGAGCATGTGAGGTGAGTGTGAGTATGTGAGGGGCGTGCAGTTCAGCCGGGCTTCATGGAGAAATTCTTCCAACGCGCGGAGCCGCAGGTGAGGAGATTGAGAATGCGAGCATGTGAGTGAGTATGTCAGGGGCGTGCAGCCGGACTTCATGGAGAAATTCTTCCAGCGCGCCGAGCCGCAGGTGAGCTCTAAGGAGAGTGTGTGGCGCGAGGGGTGCACTTTTGAGTCGACTCAAAAGTCACCTCGTGTGGCGCAAGGGGTGCATGCGAGTCTGTAAATTTGAGGGGCGTGCAGCCGGACTTTTGGAGAAATTCTCGCAACACGCTGAGCCTCAGGTGAGGGGAGGGGTATGTGGGCATGCGGGCACTGGGTGGGCATGTGACTATACTAGTATGTGAGTATGTGAGGGGCGTGCAGACGGACTTCATAAATTCGTAGAGTTCTTATCTTACCATCCAATTGCGTTCTTTCTTCCCTCTCCCCCCCTTCCCTTCCGGCCTCCTTTCCTTCCCCTCACGCCAGTTGGTGGACGCGATGAGACAGACCGTGAGCAGCATGCTGGGGTGATTGCTCTCAACCATCCTGCCTTCGTTCTTTCCTCCTGCCTGCCTCCGTCCTTGTCCCTACCCTTCTTCCCTGCTCCTTTCCTTCCCCTCACACCAGTTGATGGATGCGATGAGACAGACCGTGAGCAGCATGCTGGGTCGCTGCTCAACCCTTCTGCCTCCTTTCTTCCTTCCTGCCTGCCCCCATCCGCGTCCCCTCCCTTCCCCCTCCCTCCGTCCTTCCCCTCACGCCAGTTGGTGGACGCAATGAGACAGACCGTGAGCAACATGCTGGGGTCACTGCCACCGCAGTATTTTGAAGTCACCGTCACAACAGTACGGTGCAGTGGGGGGTGGTGGGGGGAGGGAGGGGGGGAATTCGGGTTGCTGAGTGGATGATGGTGCATGTTCCTGCAGTGCACAGGGTGCTTCCCCCGTGGCACAGGGTGCTTCCCCCGTGGCACAGGGTGCTTCCCCCATGGCACAGGGTGCTTCCCCCGTGGCACAGGGTGCTTCCCCCATGGCACAGGGTGCTTCCCCCGTGGCACAGGGTGCTTCCCCGTGGCACAGGGTGCTTCCCCCGTGGCACAGGGTGCTTCCCCCGTGGCACAGGGTGCTTCCCCCGTGGCACAGGGTGCTTCCCCCGTGGCACAGGGTGCCTTCCCCCGTGGCACAGGGTGCTTCCCCCGTGGCACAGGGTGCTTCCCCCGTGGCACAGGGTGCTTCCCCATGGCACAGGGTGCTTCCCCCGTGGCACAGGGTGCTTCCCCCGTGGCACAGGGTGCTTCCCCCGTGGCACAGGGTGCTTCCCCCGTGGCACAGGGTGCTTCCCCCGTGGCACAGGGTGCTTCCCCCGTGGCACAGGGTGCTTCCCCCATGGCACAGGGTGCTTCCCCCGTGGCACAGGGTGCTTCCCCCATGGCACAGGGTGCTTCCCCCGTGGCACAGGGTGCTTCCCCCGTGGCACAGGGTGCTTCCCCCGTGGCACAGGGTGCTTCCCCCGTGGCACAGGGTGCTTCCCCCGTGGCACAGGGTGCTTCCCCCGTGGCACAGGGTGCTTCCCCCGTGGCACAGGGTGCTTCCCCCGTGGCACAGGGTGCTTCCCCCATGGCACAGGGTGCTTCCCCCGTGGCACAGGGTGCTTCCCCCGTGGCACAGGGTGCTTCCCCCGTGGCACAGGGTGCTTCCCCCGTGGCACAGGGTGCTTCCCCCGTGGCACAGGGTGCTTCCCCCGTGGCACAGGGTGCTTCCCCCGTGGCACAGGGTGCTTCCCCCATGGCACAGGGTGCTTCCCCCGTGGCACAGGGTGCTTCCCCCGTGGCACAGGGTGCTTCCCCCATGGCACAGGGTGCTTCCCCCGTGGCACAGGGTGCTTCCCCCATGGCACAGGGTGCTTCCCCCGTGGCACAGGGTGCTTCCCCCGTGGCACAGGGTGCTTCCCCCATGGCACAGGGTGCTTCCCCCGTGGCACAGGGTGCTTCCCCCGTGGCACAGGGTGCTTCCCCCGTGGCACAGGGTGCTTCCCCCGTGGCACAGGGTGCTTCCCCCGTGGCACAGGGTGCTTCCCCCGTGGCACAGGGTGCTTCCCCCGTGGCACAGGGTGCTTCCCCCGTGGCACAGGGTGCTTCCCCCGTGGCACAGGGTGCTTCCCCCATGGCACAGGGTGCTTCCCCCGTGGCACAGGGTGCTTCCCCCGTGGCACAGGGTGCTTCCCCCGTGGCACAGGGTGCTTCCCCCGTGGCACAGGGTGCTTCCCCCGTGGCACAGGGTGCTTCCCCCGTGGCACAGGGTGCTTCCCCCGTGGCACAGGGTGCTTCCCCCATGGCACAGGGTGCTTCCCCCGTGGCACAGGGTGCTTCCCCCGTGGCACAGGGTGCTTCCCCCGTGGCACAGGGTGCTTCCCCCGTGGCACAGGGTGCTTCCCCCGTGGCACAGGGTGCTTCCCCCGTGGCACAGGGTGCTTCCCCCGTGGCACAGGGTGCTTCCCCCATGGCACAGGGTGCTTCCCCCGTGGCACAGGGTGCTTCCCCCGTGGCACAGGGTGCTTCCCCCGTGGCACAGGGTGCTTCCCCCGTGGCACAGGGTGCTTCCCCCGTGGCACAGGGTCTTGGTCTCCCTGACTCATGTTTCGAAGGGCTGCAGTAGCCTAAGTTGGGCACTCACGTTTTTTGAGGTCTCGTAAACGTAAATTTCGCGAAATTCTACGTTTTCGTTTACGAACGTTAAGTTACGCGTAAGTCTGAGGTGGCAACGTAAAAAAAAAGTTTCGGGTTTAGGGTTTTTTTTTTTTCCCTGGATTATGTACGGGTACTAGACCCTACTACTAATCCGCCATGTGCATTTCTAGAATAGCGATTTTACTAGGTATGGAGCACCTTTCGAGACCGTGAAAAGATTCAGCGTTGACTAGTAGGAGAGGAATACGATAGGATACGAACGAGCTGGTAGGTTGACGTCGAACAAGATAGCGAGTTACGGATTTAGGTGGGAGGGAGATGACCGTGTTGTGTTAGGGAGGGGGAGGTGGTGAGGGGGGGAGGGGGAGGAGGAGGAGGAGGAGGAGGGGGAGGGGGAGGAGGAGTAAGAGGAGGAGGAGGAGGAGGAGGAGGAGGAGGAGGAGGAGGAGGAGGAGAGGAGGAGGAGGAGGAGGAGGAGGAGGGAGGAGGAGGAGGAGGAGGAGGAGGAGGAGGAGGAGGAGGAGGAGGAGGAGGAGGAGGAGGAGGAGGAGGAGGAGGAGGAGGAGGAGGAGGAGGAGGAGGAGGAGGAGGAGGAGGAGGAGGAGGAGGAGGAGGAGGAGTAGAGATGGGGTGCTGCCTCTAACTGGATTTTGTGTCTAGGGTATTATCTTTTCTTCAAAGTTGACATGATGCCTACAGAATGAGTCTCCCTAGTACTCTGTTTTTTTTTTTTCCTCGGGCAGCCCAAAAAAGGTTTTCTGGTGACTGTAAACCTAGGGTCGAATCCACGTTCGTAAACGTAAAAAACGTCGTAAATAAACGAAAACGTAACAAACCGTAAACGTAAAATCCAACTTAGGCAGTAGCAGACAGGACGCTTAAGCAAAGGAACAAACAGTGAAAACTGGTGAAAAAAACGCAGATCTGAAAAACCCTTAGCTTCCGAAAAGCCTCCTTGCGTAAACTAGTTTCGGCGGATGGGCGAACCCAATCACGCCTTCATCAGTACAGCACAATTCGGAACTCAGAAACAGAGAGTCTGGTAGCAGCTAAAGTAGCTAGACTACCCTCGAGATCTACATACAAGAAACCCAACTACCCAGAATCCAACTAGGAAAGGGGTTCGCCAACTAGGCAATGAAACAAATTCAGGGTGCCAAGTCAGCCTTCGGGAACTTCTTCGACAACATTGGCGAGTGACTTTGGTAACCGCGCCCTTACAAGTAACCGCTGAAGGTTACGCGCACACTTCCATGCAATTATAATTCTCCCCACATAAAAACCGCGAGACAGGAGACGACTTTTGAGGCGCCTCAAAAGTTGCTTCCCCCGTGGCACAGGGTCTTGGTCTCCCTGACTCATGTTTCGAGGCGCCTCAAAAGTTGCTTCCCCCGTAACACAGGGTCTTGGTCTCCCTGACTCATGTTTCGAGGCGCCTCAAAAGTTGCTTCCCCCGTGGCACAGGGTCTTGGTCTCCCTGACTCATGTTTCGAGGCGCCTCAAAAGTTGCTTCCCCCGTGGCACAGGGTCTTGGTCTCCCTGACTCATGTTTCGAGGCGCCTCAAAAGTTGCTTCCCCCGTGGCACAGGGTCTTGGTCTCCCTGACTCATGTTTCGAGGCGCCTCAAAAGTTGCTTCCCCCGTGGCACAGGGTCTTGGTCTCCCTGACTCATGTTTCGAGGCGCCTCAAAAGTTGCTTCCCCCGTGGCACAGGGTCTTGGTCTCCACTCCACAAAGCAGTCTGGTTCAACCTCAACACGGCAGGTGGCGTGGGGGAAAGTCTGGCGCAGCTCATTTTCAGTGTGATGATGGCGGGTTACATGTCCCTGTTTCATGTTTCATTGTGGGTGTTCAACTGAATTTCTCTACATCCCCATTTAATCCCATCTAACCCAACAGGGCAGGTGGGGGAGAATCTGGCCCAGCTCATGTTCAGCGTGATGATGACGGGTTACATGTTCCGTAACGCACACTACCGCCTTGAACTCTCCTCCTCCTTCATCTTGTCTCCCCACATGTTCTCCTCCCTATATATGGCAGGTGGGGAGAATCTTGCGCAGCTCATGTTCAGTGGGATGATGACTGACGGGTTACATGTTCCGTAATGCACAGTACCGCCTCGAACTCCTCTCCTCCTCTGTCATCTCGTCTCTCCACATCTTCTCCTCCCTACACCTGGCAGGTGGGGGAGAATCTGGCACAGCTCATGTTCAGTGTCATGATGACTGGTTACAAGTTCCGTAACGCTCAGTACCGCCTCGAACTCCTCTCCTCTCTCTTGGAATCCACACGTGCCCCCTACCTACAAATGGCAGGTGGGGGAGAATCTTGCGCAGCTGATGTTTAGCGTGATGATGACGGGTTACATGTTCCGCAACGCACAGTACCGCCTCGAACTCTCCTCCTCCTTCGCTGGCGCCGTCGCCCTCCCTGCTGCCTCCTCCACCTCCTCCCCTACCTCTCCTACCTCTCTCCCATCCTCCTTCCCTCCTCACATCCCTTGCTCTTCTTCCTCCACTTCCTCCTCCTCGGTTCAACCACTACCAGCGTCATCAGCCTTTACGTCTTCAGACAGACAGAGGGGGAGCAGCAGCGGCAGCAGCAGTGGCAGTGACTCGGAATCTGGCTCGTGGGTAAGCTGATTCACAAGTTGTGTTGTGTGGCCATGGCACGGGCATGGGCAGTGGGTGCAGGAGCGTATGGATGGGCATGGGTGCATGGTTGCGTAAGCAGGCACGCATGCCAACGAGAGTGGTGCTTCGTCCCGTTTGTTCTCCTTTCCCCTTCTCCCTCCCCCGTTTTTCTCCCTCAAATACGATTGGTCGTAGAGCTGTCTCTTTTTGAGAATTCTCAAAAACCAATTGTTCGTAGAACGGTCTCTCCCTCTTCACTCCGCGTGCATTGAGGTCGTTTTTGAGGCGCCTCAAAAACGACCTCACATAGGATTGGTCGTAGAACGGTCTCTCCCTCTTCACTCCGTTCACATCCCTCCCTCCCTCCTTTTCCCCTCCCCCCCCGCCTCCCATGTTCTCCTTACTTTTGGGCCGTATCCAGCTTTTGAGTCGACTCAAAAGCATATCCAGGAGACTCACGTTCCCCGTTGTTCCCCGTTTACGAGTGTTCGTTTGTTCTCCTTTTGGGCTGTATCCAGGAGACCCACGTGGCATGTAAAGTGCTTCAACGCTTTTGTCTCCCCACTCTGCTTCCTATTTTTCACTCCAACCCCTGCCTGCCCTTTCTACCACCCCCAACCCCTCCCGCCCTTCAGCCTCCCACTGACAACGCCTTACCTCTGGGTCCGGTCCAGAAGACGCACGTGGCAGGCGAGGTGCTTCGGTGGGACGCCGAGGCTGAGCGGGTGGTTCGGGTGCCGGCAGTGGACTATGTGGAGCTGCTGGAGGGGGAGGTTCGGGCATTAAAGAGAAGATTGGAGGAGGAGGAGGCGAGACTGGCACGAGTGGGGGCCGGGGGAGGAGGCAGTGGGAATGCGCTTTTGGAATACCTCAAGGGATTGGAACCGCAGAATATACAGGTGAGCAGAGAACAGAGAGCATAGAGCAGAGAGCAGAGAGCAGGTGAGTGATGGTAGGGAGGTTGCTTACTCGGGGTGGGTTACAGTTGTGGACTATGTAGAGCTTCTAGAGGGGGAGGTTTGGGCGCTGAAGAGAAGATTGGAGGAGGAGGAGGCGAGACTGGCACGAGTGGGCAGGGGCAGGGGGAGGAGGGGGGGACGTGCTTCTGGAGTATTTGAAGGGACTGGAGCCGCAGAATATACAGGTGAGCAGAGAGCAAAGAGCAGGGAGCAGAGAGAAGGGAGCAGAGGGAAGGGAGCAGAGTGGAGGGAGCAGAGAGGAGGGAGCGGGGAGCAGTGAAGAGTTACAGCAGGTGCGGATGGCAATGCTCTGGCAGTGAGCCAACCTTTGAGTAGACTCAGCTTTTGAGCCGACTCAATAGCAGAGTTACAGCAGGTGCGGGTGTCAATGCTCTGGCAGCGAGCCAAACCACCCTTTCCCACCCATCTTCACCTCCCCCTTCCTCTCCTCCTCCCCCTCCCGCATATTCCGCCCCTCACAGGAGCTGACAGCCAGTGCGGATGACGATGCTCTGGCAGGCAGTTTCTTTTCTGCCCCCCTCAATTCACGCCACACACATCACCCCACCCCTCCTACCACTCCGCTCATCCTCCTCCTCCCCCCACAGGAGCTGACAGCCAGTGCGGATGACGATGCGCTAGCAGCGAGATTCAATCTCCTGGCTTCTGAACCGTTTTCCCAGCCCTTCCCCTACTCCCCCTCCTGCATCTCCCTCCCCCCCCCCCCCCCCACCCCCCCCCCCCCTCTGCAGGAGCTGACAGCCAGTGCTGATGACGATGCGCTGGCAGCGAGATTCACACCATCTTCCTGCCCCTTTCTCCCCACACCCCCTCCCCTGTCCGCATCTTCCTCGCCTCACAGGAGCTGACAGCCAGTGCTGATGACGATGCACTGGCAGCCATGAATGCGTTCATCCAACGGCTGTTAGGCGTTCCTGATGTTGGGGAGATCAAGGTGAGGGGGGGCGAGATTAGGTTGAGATGGGAAGGCTCCAGGTTGGGAGAGGTGTGGGGGAGGGTGGGAAAAAGAGGTCCGGCATGGATGCATTTGTTTAAATCTGCCAGCCGTTACTCATGTTGGGGGGATCGTGATGAGAGGGATGGGGAGATGATATGGGGAAGGGGAGAGAGCAAGGTAAGAAGGGGAGTGAGGTCAAGATTCTAAAGGGGGAGATGAAGGTGACTAAGGTAAGGATGTGAGAAGGGGGGAGGTGAGGGTTGACAAAAGGGGGGACGATGGTGAAGGAGGTGTGTTGGGTAAGGCACGAATGGTTATTTCTTTGTGTGAATGTGTGGTGTGACAATTCGTGTGGTGTGATAATGTGTGTGGTTGCATGCTGTATGCGTGTGTGCTTGCGTATGGTGTGCCCTTGCGCATGTGTGTGGTTCGGCATTTGAGACTAGAGTGACCGAGCTGGCGAGTATGTTTTTGTGTTTATATCCATGTCCTCTCCATCGTTCCTTCTTCTATGTTCCTATGTTCCTTCTTATTTCTCACCATCTCCCTACAAACCCTACTCCCAGTCCGTGGCATCAGAGACTACAGTGACCGAGCTGGCAAAGCTGCTCTATTGGCTCATGGTGGTCGGCTACAGTCTGCGCACGTTAGAAGTTCGATTCGATATGGATAGAGCCCTCGCTGCACCTGCAGTGCAGAAGCGCGCCGAGCTCCCGCCCCCAGGCAATGACGGCTGGATCATATGAGTTGCTGTTGGAATAATAATGTAAGCACTCGTGCAAATGGCAGCATCTAATTGTCAATCTCATGTTTTCATATTGTCATGCGGTGTAATGATTATTTTGGGATTGTTCTGGACTGGAGCTTTACGTATTTGTAAACATATTGTTGGGAGGTGCACCACAATCCCTCGCTCAATATCTTCCTACTGTATCTCAAGTTTGTGTAGATGACATTCAAGCTGGGATGAAATAATTCTCCCTAGCTGAAGCCCTCAGTATCGAACACTAGGCAATACTGTGTTTCTGCGGTGGTTCCGTCGACCTCCTGCTCACCTTCCCCACCGTCAACCTCATCCTATCCGTTGGGAACAGTGCGACTCCAATCTACGGCCCTCCGGCTTTCCCTCCTCACTTCCACCCTCCACTGGCTATCGACTTACCTACGGAACAGCGTACAGATGTTCTGGCTTAGAGGCCCTTCCTAAAAGAGTCATTTCCTCAACGAGTAGAATTTTCACATAAGTCCTAGGTGTATCCCCTCCTCTACAGTCCCATTTTTGGCGGGAAATCTTGCATCTTGACTGAATCACTGCGCGAATCAGTTCTGCAGCCAATCAGAGGACGCAAATCGAACCTGTCAGAACAACAAGAGAAAATAAAACGAGAGGAATTTTTGATTCAATATTTAGTACTAGCAGTTGTGTTTGTCTGGTTATCTTGACCTCTCTTGCGTCTACATCCTGTCGCGCGGCTCCCCGTGAGCTCCGACGATGCCATCTCATTAATCTCGCTTACAGTGTAAAACAGAAAACGGTGTCTTCATTCCGGCCTTAAACCTAATTTATTTTGTATTTTTCTGCCCGTTTGTCCTGCGACACTGATCAACGCGGCGAACCGTGCGACGAGAAGTTGAGGACAGCGTAGTCCGAATGTACGTATGTGACAGAACAACACGAATAGTAGCAAAGTAAAATCGCTCTTCATGCAATTCTCCTTTTATGGGACTATAAGTTCCCTTTTGCCCGGGGTTTGTGAGTTTTCCACAAAGGCCCGCGCCGCGCGTGTTTTTTACTGGGACTCTAATCAAGAACATCTGTACACTCTCGGTCCAGCTCCTGTGATCTTATCACCACCACTTCCAGCCTGGCTATTGGTCGAGCTGCGTGGCTCTACCGCGTGGCCAGGCTCGCAGGCGAGCAGCGCCAGGCGATATGGTCTTTTCAAACTGTTACCTGACGAATTCGAGTTCGAAAATACTCTGCTGGCGAGATTCACCTAGTTGTGGACCAGGCTGTCGAGACCCCAACATCATCGAGCAATCAATGATCGATCCCGTTGAGTACGCTTTTTCCGTACAGCCTGTGTTAGCGAGAGTGTAACGGTGCTGCGTCGACCAGGAAATTAGGTTGATGAACCGAAGCACCACGGTAATGCTGTCTATCGGGTTAGAGTGGTCCTTCGTGCGATCAGCAAGTCAGCCTTCCGCAACACGCGGTTGACCGGTCATTCATTGCAATGTCGGTCTGTCGCATCGTGTCGGTGCGAGTAGCCAAGGCGATTCGGGACTGTCCCAGTCTCCAACGTGCCGCGTGCGGTTCGAAATCAGAAAAGAAAATAACGTCATTCTTATGTTCCATAAAAGCTAACCGTCCGTCTCATTCGTCAACCAGCTCAACAACACAACCCCGAAGCATTCCAGTTGCCAGCACCTCTCCCCGATAACGCAGGTCCGCTTGTGAGGCACCTATTTGTAGCCATCTTCAACAGCAATCATGGGTTCAAGCACTGCGTCTCTGAGGAGGCTCGAAAAGTCTTTCCTTCCGTTTCTGTTTCTGTCACTGCTGCTGGCGTTCGGCATGATGGCGTGTGCACCAGCAGAGGCAGCACGGGTGTTGAAGGCGAATCTGGTCAACCCGAATGGACCAACCTCCGCACACAATGCGCTTCAATCCCCAGCATCTGACCAGTTTTCTCCTGTCCCAGCAGCTGAGCATCCGCCTCCTGTCCAAACAGCCGTGGGATCTGAGCCGTCAGATGGCTCCACTGCTGTGACATCTGAGCCGTCCATCGACCCCCTGGTCGTTGTGTCTGCTGTGAATGGTGGTGATGAGGAGGCAGGCAATGAGCCGGATGGAGCTGATTCCAGCGCTGCTGCTGCCGCTCCTGTTCCAACCTCCTGGTTGAGGCCGGCACAGATGCCCAACGACCCCCAGATGCCCAACGATCATGGTCCCTACCCTCTGGAGACCGATCCCTTACCGGCTGTGGGATCAGGGGAGGAGCCTCCAGAAGGCAATGAGGATGGGCTTGTGCCAGAAGTTTACGTCGCTCTGCCAGAAGAAGTGGCGCCTGCGGAGGCTCCAGCAGGATCCCAGGGCGTTGCACCCACGCCTGGTGCCGCTGAGTCGAGTGCTCCTGCTCCTGCTGCTGTTCCAAGTGCCTGGCTGAGACCGGCACTGGTGCTCATTGACCCTCAAATGCCCAACGACCCTCAGCCTAACGACCATGGTCCCTTCCTCCTGGGGACCGATCCCATGCCAGCTGTGGGATCAGAGGAGGAGGCTCCAGCGGGGAATGAGGATGTGCTTGTGCCAGAGATTTACGTTGCTCTGCCAGAAGAAGCAGCACCTGGGGAGGCTCCAGCAGGGTCGCAGGGTGTTGCACCCATGCC